TAACAAATAAGTAATAGATATATGTATATAATCATGAATATATTCATTACCACTATATCTACATGGAGGAATAGAATTCGCTTAATAAACGTTCCTCGTCGTAATAAAAGACATATTTCATACTTTGGACACATGAATCTCGCCCAATTACTTGAGCTCGATTGACGTCCAAGTCGGCTTTCCCCAACTTTGGTCTTTTTGAAATGTAAATCAAAATCCAAAAGCCGTTCCGATCCGCTTTGATGTGCTAATTGTAGATCCAACTTGGACGAAATTAGGGACTTTGCATTATATTTAGTTTAAAGTAATGCGAGCGAGAACAGGAGTGTACCCTTTCGCAAGGACGTTTTCATTAAAAGCCTTTTAAAACCTGATTCCTATTTTTATTGCGCAAGGGACGTATAATGTATTCTGTATCGAATTAAAATAATTTAAACTCCTCTATATTGAATATTATTAAAATAGAATAAAAAGTACAAGACGCGCAATTTAATGATAAACTTTCCATCGTATAAAATAAATTAGTTTAAGAAAATATATCTTGTAGTTCAAGAAACACAAAGAAAATGCTGTTACGGAAAAAACAAATTTTATTGAAAAGCTACTTTTATATAGATTCTTGACGTTCGATGTAAAAATACATTACCAATTTCATGCTGATATTTTATAATATTTTTTATACGTGAAACGAATTATAAAAGGAATTTCAGAAGTAAACAAACTTTCAATGATGTTTTAAATTAATCAGCAACAGCAACAATGAGTTCAATTCTACAGTAAATACTCGTATCAAAGGAAGTGCAAGTTCAAAACTTCTACAGATCATCGTTACTGTAAACAATTGGACATTATGATAAGGTACATGACAACGGAGGCGGGTCACTTGCACTATTCTAATGCTGGTTTATGACGATAGATAAGCTACTTCATGATGAACGGTCATTAGATCAACTGGAATGGGAATATCTCTGATACTCCCCAGACCTAACTTTAACTGATTGTCACCCTTTGTAAATCCTTTACAATTTCTTGCAAGACAAAATCATGTGGCATAGTCAATACTACTTACTTGTAAAACTTTTTCTGATCTCGCCATTCAATTATTTTTTCAACGGATAGATGGATTCATATGTTAATAGTAATGCATACTTTTATTAATTTTATGTCATGAAAAAATAGTTATTTCCATTGAGACTCACGTTATGATCATTCTGAAGTTTCATTTGGTTTATCAAAGATCTCATAGTCAGCTCCTGCCTCGGTGGCAAGAAAAGTAACACAAAATAAAGACTTATAAAAAAAATATTTTTAAAATTGCCATTTAATTGAAGGAATAGCATAACAATTAACTAGCACTAAGTCAAATCGAGAACTTCCTCCATTTAGGAATCGGTTAAACGTAGAATCAGTCACTCGTATGATATTAACTTTCTGAGAATTAATTCAAAAGTTCTTGTCAAAATCGGTGCAGCCCTAACATTGATTATAACAATGATAATAATGATTATAGTGAAATATAATTTATAACGTAATCATGATTTATATTTCTATACGCTTTTATTGGAATTCTGTTTATTTGAAATTATCAACAGAAACTTCAGTTTTATTTATTAGTTTAGATATGTATGAGCACATTACGTCTTTTCACCTATTTACGAGTATGTGTATACATATGGGATTATAAGTAGTACTATAATACTAAGAACTTCCACAGTGCGGGAATAATGATTTTAAAATGGCTTATATATTTGTTTTTATTTGTGATCCAAATCGATGGCCATTAATAACATAGCCCAGAACTAGGTCGAGTTATAAAGTTCTTGTAAAATGATCGGCTAAAGTTTGTTGGCAACCAACGTTGGTTGCTATTGCAAATGCAATGTCGCATCAGTGCTTTTATGACTGTGAAAATTCATAGAAATACCGCGGTTAAGTTCTGAAACGACCTTCCTTATGTTTTATGACTAAACTTTAGAACACTCTAGATTACCTTTATTAACTTTTGCTTCTAAAATCTAAGATATGGTTTGTTGTAACTAATATCAACGAAATCTTTCTTTGATGAATTAATGAGTTTATGATCGATAGCACACCTTGGGAATGATACGATCGCTTCCTGGCTATTTCATCTCATATAAAATTGTGTATATAATATATGAGACAAATATATATTTAAAAAAAACCCGCTGAGTTTCTTTCGCCGGTTCTTCTCAGGTCAGGGTATTTTCTTTTCCGAACCGGTGGTAGTCTCAAATGACCATCAATAAGAAAGTGTAATGCTTCTATATTGTATAAAGTTATTTGAGTTGAGTTGACAACTGACGATTTTCATTATGTTATATTATTACATACATATAATGGAACCTAATTTCCAACAAGTCCAAATGTAGTATAATTTCTCTCCATAATACCTATAGCATTAAAAAATAACGCCGAATATTAATTTGATATCTATGAATACCTATCTTAGACAGGCTCGACACACTCACGTTCTCGTCACGTGAACGAGGTTCGTGTATAAATTACGTTAAGTTTCAGTTGTCAAAAACAATTGGAGGCAGCACGTTGGAGCCATAAGTCAGGGGTCCGTGACGCGGCGTGAAACGTAATGGTGCTTAAATTACACCTGAAAACCACACGTGCACGACAAATGATGCCATATTTCCGACAAAGTTTTAATTCAAAAGCCCTGATATAGAAAGTACTGGAAACGAAAATTAACACACGAATTATTGTTGTACGTTTCAGTTTATACGAATTATACAGGGTTAGAATTAATATATTATATAGAAAAACTTTTTCCGTCTGTTATTATAAGTGAGAATGTTCCATTAAACGTATAAATAAAGTCCTAATACAAACAGCGTATCCTATATTATAAACATAGATATAAAGCTTAACCCGGGACCACATCACTCCCTTCGCAAGCAAAGGGGAATATTTCCCAAACGTTTTGTATTATTCAAATCATATGGGAAAGAGCAGATTTTATAAGAAACCAGTTCGCACTTCCCTTAAATAAATGTACGATACAAAACGCTGAGACTATCACATCGACGCTTCACCCTATGTAAAAAATCATATAAAAAGTATGGAAACCAGATTTTAGTTCAAAATAAATTAATATTTTGTCATTCATGTCTATTAACCGACTAACCTTACAAAGCATATTATATAGACTATTTTTACGATTATATTTTTAATTGTTTTATATAAACAAAAAAGTCATAGCTCAAATTACTGTCCTTTACTAATGCCAAACATGTTCTATTACGACGAATAATTTCTTTGATCTATGATGTAAATGGCAGACGTATTAATGGGGGGAAGTTAATTAATTATTAGACGTCAGCAGAGCAGCCATTTATTAGGTCCACAGGTGTGCAGCGTTTATATTCCTAATTAGTGAATTTACCTTAACGTCTGGTGCAGCGTAAAAAATACAGCGAGTTAAAATAATTACGATTTAATATCGCATTTTCTTCGTATTTCTCTTTCAAATTGTTATATAAACTATACAGTTTTAGTAACAATTTAAATTAGTATATACATACTTTTTAATATTTTAATATTATTTTTAAATTAAATATAGAATCGCTGTCGCTTATGACTTCGACTACAATATTTGTATAGCAACTGGCATGTGTTTTCAAACAAGCAGTTGCATTTCCATGGACAGATTTAACATATTGCCTTTAAAGCTAAATTATTGTCTGTACAATATATTACAGAAGTTTGTTTTATGTTCTTAGACAAAGAAAGTGTTCATAACAATGCAATTACATAATACAGAACTTTCAATAAGCAATGGAATGAAAGAGAAATTTAAAGGACATATTTTTTTTAACCCCTGGACATTTTATGTTCGCTGTTCAAAAGCATTTGACCCGACTTACACTGGAGTCGATAATATAAACTTTGAAAACTCCAACGTTCCAATATTTTTTCTATCAATTTATTAAAAATAAATACTATTATTTTGATCAGAATCTACTCATGGTCACGCTAGATATAACTGTCATCTGATCCTGAGCTATTTTGAATTAGATTCCTACCCACACATATTAAACGTACACGGAAAAGCTTTTAAGTTCAGTTAGGTCACTCGAATCCTTTAAAACTTGTTTTTTGTATTGATCATATGTATATGCTACCGGTTTTAGTGAATCTTGTAGTTCATTTTAAATATATTAAGCCCTGATTTCTTTGCGTTTTATTTTAATTTATAAACTACTTTTTAATAACTTCAACGTCATTTTTTTATGTCATATCGTACATAATGTTATGTGGTACGCCTGCAGGCGCTAGATCGTAGCCTTTGTTTCCTGTTTGCATTTCCCGCAAATACGTAATAAGCCAGAGGGTTCTGTGCCTCACTAAGGAGTTTGTTGCCGGTTTTAAGGAAAGGCTTCCACTTCTATTACAAATTATAATTTAACAGACGTACTTTTTTATTTGCTTATTATATAAAAGAAAATAAGACGTCTCTCATCAGAGAATCTGATTCATGTAATGTTTTTACTTACCAAAATTATATTGTTATTTGTATTCATAAAAAGACGAAGATTATTTTAAAATAAATCCTAGAATATAATATATATAATATTAACATAATTAATATTATTTCGTCTTCAAATATTCTAATATGTATTCTACTGTCGTATCTCAAACACGTCTTAATTATTCTTGTAAATAGTAAATTAAATTTTCTACATCAATATACTTAATTAAGGACCCTGTTCTGCTTCGAGTTCCGTCTCTTGATATCAAGATCGTAAATTATCTTCTGACGTCAAACTGAGAGGTGAGTGCCGAGAAAACATCTTAAATTTGTCTCTTCGAAATATACATTTGTTTTTATACAAACTATGGAATTTATATTATGATTTAGTGCTCCAATATTTAATTCTTACAATATCGATACAACATCAAAGCAATTATTATTACCAGATTACAATAAGGAAATCCAAAGAAATCTTATAATTTGTCAAAAGCATAAAATGTTAAATCGTTGTACATTAGAAAGAAAAATTATAATTTATCAGAGGACACCTTCACGCCGCGGGTACCGAGTCGCGGCTACATTATTATTCCTTTTACCAAGCTCGAGGGAAATTCCGGTAATCCCCGGCGGCTTTTTGTTTTGCCCGCCTTTTATTTAATCCGGAATTGGAAATTTCGATTTGCTTTAATCATACTTACGAGACGTAGAACTTAAACAAATCAAAAGTACCTACTCTAAGTTTAAGAAAGAAATATTAAAAACAAAACTCTACTTAACCTTCCTAACTGATAGTTCTCAAAGTATTATATATAATAGGATATTGTATCAAGGATGTCTTAACGATCGGTAAATGGGGTCTCTGCAGCAAAAAGATAACCACAGGAAAGGCCGGAGCCCCCACAAATAGAGCCATTAGCTGTAAACTGTCATTACACTAAGCCGCTATGATTCATACTAAATTGCAGCTATTAATATTAAAATAATACCGGCCCGTCTAATAAATCATTTATAGAAAGAATCTTACAAACATTGTTTTATAAAATAAAGATAAATTTTATTATTAAAACCTTAACCGAACTTATAGTATTATAAAGGACGCTATCATAACTTCCAAAGGATACATTTCTGTTCAATACATCATAACACTTGATCTAGTGTATTGGACTGACCTATTGACATCCTTCTCAGCTGTCGATGTACTGGGTTTTCAAAAGGTTACCACCCACTCACATTTTTCACATTTAATTTTTATAGGGACTCGTTATTTTTATGTTTCAGAGTGTGGCTTTAGAAGGCATTTTAAAAAGTTTTCGTCACAATATAATTTTTAATAAAATTTACTCAAAATTTTCTTTCAACTTCTATTATTTTTAAATTATTGACCTTAATGTGAAATTTACTTAATATAAAGTAAAAGTGAAAAAGTTAATACATTTTATGTATCTCTCTTATGAAAGACTGAAAAGAATTTAATTTAGTATCATAAAGAACAGAAGAATTAGCAATTAAGAAGTTTTCAACATTCCAGTGTTATTAACACCTGTAATATCGAACTAAGAGGACGAGGAATGTGTAAAAACATTGTAATAAATCTTAATGCCCTTTTTAAATAAGTGGGAGGAGATGTTAACGCGTCCTTATTGCCCTAACGTGAAGACTTTCCGTCTTAGAAGATTTCCATTCGCGTAATTAAGTACAGGAGGTACTCGAGAGCGAATATTACGTTATGAGGGTACATTCGCAGGTTTTATTTGCACGAAGTATTTTAATTTGATCATAAGAAATGCTAGAATTTTTTATATCACCTTATATATTGAATAAGATCTTATATGGATGTGATCAACGGTATTAAAATATTTGAGTAAATTTTTTGAATGTGTTTTTTTATTTGTTTGCATTTTATGTAATTCTATAACTAAACTAGTATATCTCACATAAAATCCTTATAAAAACAAGAAGTCCCAAAAGTTTAAACTTTATTTGTGACTATTCGTTTTTTATATTGGTTTTAAAATATTTATTTTTTATTAAATTTAAATACACAATATATCGCGCGATCCTTGATATATAATTAAAGTAATATATTTTTTATTAGAAGCTTATTATTAAGTATCTTTATATGGGCATATACGTTTGTATGACAAAATTAATTTTGTTTCTACACATATCTAAAAATAAAATAATATTTTCACATCTTTAGCTCATGTTTCATTCCTGAGTAAATTGTAACACAGTAACCTAAAAATATAACATAATAACACACAATGAAATACTGTAACGCCATACATAAGTACGGATTTAGTATTTCGGGGAAAAAGACAACAGTTTTATGTAATCTAACGAAGTCGAGACTCCATCCTTTGTAAGGACAACACAAGCAAACATCAATGGCTCTCTCCATTCCTATGCATGACATAAATTTACTTGGAAAACAGGAAAAACACTCTTATTACTCCCATCGACTAGAAAGAAGCAATCTGTTATGCTTATTTTGCTTTCCTTTATAGATGTACAAAGATTCTTTAAAAAATCAACTCTTTATTTGTTTTGATTCGATTAAAGCCCTAATGTCTAAGTGGATTTTCGCGTGATGATTTTGCAAGAAAAAGAGATATTAAACGTTTATTTAAAATAACAAAAAACGAATCTTGTGGGGAACAATCACAAATATCTTAAATTGTGTGAGAAATCAAATTTAGATATGTTGTTTATTTAAAAACGGTTTTTTAATAATTTATTTTTGGTGTTTCATAACCGTATAACTGAGTATTAAATACAAAATGGACAAAGTTTGATACGAATAAGGAAAAAACCTATAAACAGTGATATTATGAACAAAATTTACATTTAGAACGACATACGTACATATACAAAAGGGTTTTTGCCCGCGACTTCGTTCATGGGTCCGTATTAGATCCGTTCAGTATGTACCTATTAGTTGAAACAATAGTTATGTTAACCAACTGCCAGCGACATCTATAGACTTTGTTACGCAACTTCACAGTTACTACAACTGTTCTCTTGATAGCTTAGAAATGAGGTTCAATTCAAAGATAAATTATATCCTATATTTTATTCCGACATATAATCTGCATTACTGAAAATTTTAATAAAAATCAGATCAGTACATTTTACTTTAAAAAGCAACAAACATCTATACATTCTCACCAACATTTATAATATTAAAATTCATAGAAAAATACAAATAAAATATATAATAAATATAAAAAATGTTTTACATCTCGAACGTAAGAATAAACTTATCTTATTTAATGGAAGACGATACATTTTCCCCAAGCATTTGATAAATAGGCCGCGATATTTACAATATGTTTGAGTATTTCATGTAGAAATGGATACTTTACTTCGGTTATTGAGAGCTGAGTATCGGAGTATCATATAATATCTTTTTTGGATCTCATTTCACGCATTAAATTGTCCCTAGACGTATGCTTATTTAAATATTACACTGTTCAATTGAAATATACGTAAAGTATAGTATTAATACAAGTTAAAATCCTCTCTTTTTCTAAGTACTTTTTGGACTTCATTTGAGAGTAAGAAAGAGGCCTTTGCTCAGCAGTGGGCTTTGATGGGCTGATGACGATTCATATTTTTAAAATAATGGTATTTATTTTGTTACGACCCAGCCTATGTTTGTGTTATATACATATATCCTTAAAACCTTTATTATATTGTAATTTTATTAATGTGGTAGCGACACCGCCGCTCAAATTCCCTGAAGACGTTACGGAGAGGGCTGTAATTGATATCGGACGTTGTTAAAACTATCTCCTTCACGTCAATGTATCTTTAACCGTAATATTTAACGAGCAGCCTCTCTAAGACTATCACTAACTAATGAGTAATCAGGAACTATTTATGATGTAAAAACATCAAATAATGTATGTATGTTTAAAGCTTAATTTACCCTTTTACAGTGAATTTCGTATTAAAAGCCAGAGATAACATATAATATAAAACAAAACGCGGTCAAAGCAGTTAGCAAGAGCAGACAAGAGAATCATTACATGTTAAAGTGCAAATCACTAAGCCGTATATCAATTTTTCTATACTTATGAGGTGTTAGAAAAATAACGCTGAAACAGGCCGGCTGGGCGTGGATCGTTTAAGTCCAGACAGACGTTGTAAAGCCTTGATTTATGACTAAAAGATCGCACCATAAATCATGCTACCCTCAACGGGGAAAAATGCACAAAAAATGAACAAAAAAAAACCGCACCAACAGACAAGTATTTACGAGCCCTTGTTATTAATTAAATTATAAAATTGTACTTACAATGAAATAATCTTAGAAATGCGCAATTATAGATAAGATTTTAAGTAGCGCCAAGTTCGACAGTATTAAGTTACAGAAAAGCTTATTCCGAATTATTTGCAATTCTATTAACCGTGAGATAATAACAAAACTTGAGCTGAGAACGCCACATAAGTCCAACGTGGACGATGAAAGGGAAACTTCACTGAACTTAGCATACACTTATATAAAAATACGCATAAAAAATATATATCTAACCACGCTAACAACAACATTTAACAAACGAGATTCAATAAAAAAAAAATTAGATAGAAAACCAATCGCGAATGAGATAATAAAAGAAAAACTCAAGTCTCAAGAAACGTCTCGACTTTAATTTTTCCACAGAGCAACAAATAAATTACAGCCCCGTCTTTGCTTTACAAGTCTTTATAAACTCTCACTTTATTACTTGTATCTCAAAGTTTTACGGCTTTCTGTATTATTTATTTATTATAAGTCCTGTAGGCTGATGAGTCCAAGTTTTTCGAGTAAATACCTAGAAAGCGTGTTCTGAACAGTTCAGTGTTTAAATTACTTTGGTTTGACGTCTTTGAAGAGTTCGTGGCGTAAAATGGCTTTAAGAAATTAGATTAATTTCATTTTATGAAATTTGTGTATTATTTGAATTAAATGTTATTTAGTTTGTTAAATTAAATGTGAGTGTGATTTCAAGCAGGCCATGACCTGATTTGTCGGTCTCGTGCTATTTAACGGTCTATTGCTTCACTCTCCGATGTAGCGTCTTATTTGAAGTATATTTTTTATATCTTATTATTATTAACTGAATTCAGGTATTAATTTTTATATGTAGATAATTATTTCGTTATAATTGGCTCATGTAAATATATTTGAAATATATGTAAACAACATGTTATATAATGATATTATACATTCTATATATATCAGAAATAGATAACATACATATCTTAGCAGAGTACTGTAATTCCTTGTGCCGTTATAATAAATACGGTTCAAGTTTTAACGAAAAACGGAACATATATTTCATAAGTTTAAAGTGTGTTAGTTCTGGTTTCCCGTATTTACTTTGCATGTATCGATATGTATTTTTATATAAAGCATACATTGTATACAATAATTTAAATAATATATGTTTTAATACCGTCGAGATAGTAATAACTAATAAGTAATTAGCGGTGTACTGTTATCAAACTTAAGAGTTTTGTAACAACAAAGTTGTAAGCAACTCTCTATCGATTACGTATTTAAAATATATAGACCTCATAAAATTATAGCGCAGAAAGTTTTTGTGAGAACTTTTTGGTGTTTTTAATCAGTATTAAATTTTAAATATACACAAGACGAATCATATTTTAGGTCAACATTTTTCGTTATTTCCTATACCAATGAAAATAAATAAATAAATTCTCCTCCATACTAATAAATTCGAAAATATTCTGTTTTTCTCAAAACTACCGTACATTCATATTCCGAATAGGACAAAAAAGTTTTTAGTGAGTGCTTTCTTCTATATTTAATTCCTAACTATTGTAATAATTTGAAATAACTGCATCATGCTGATAAGTATCGATTTCATAATTCGCTTAAATAAATAATAATTTATAGTTGAAGAGTAAATAATTTTATTTACTCGTTAAAATATGTTTAACATCAAATAGGTTTTCAGGCCAAAACATATGTGTATATACAATTTAAAATACTTTTCATTTCTACTATTTCTCTACAGTTTTATTTTTTGTTATAAATATTTTTATCGTTTATAATAAAATATGATATACCTCGGAAGCGGCACGAACAATTTCAGTTCGTGTAGATTAAACATCGGCGTCGTAAGAGGCTTAAAAAGCAATTCAGAAGGAGCAAAGTTTCATAATATCGTTCAAGAGATTCATTTTGTTGTCACAAATATACTTTTCTACTCAAATATGAAACGAAGCGACCACTCCGGCCGCAATTAATGCCAACGACAAATTAAAAAAAACGTTCTAGTATGGAACTATCAGATGGTCGAATAACTCCTGACATTTTGATGAAAGATCGTCTTCAAAGAATTTACCTTATATTTCGTCCATTAGTGTATAAGTGTTTAATTTTTGGTAAAAAATTGCCTTGCTTAAGTAAGTCCAAATTTCACGATAAAAACATTCATTTTTCATTTCAAACAATCGTATGTATTGAGTGATGTAGATTGCTAATTATATAGGTCATATATGCTTTGCGGTTAATCACATAGAGAATGCCTAATATTGAGAAGGAGACACTTCAGCTGAGACGGCTTAAGCCGAGTCAAAATATAATACTGACTATTCCATACTACGTACATATAAGTTAGTTCATCAAGAACTGAATATTTAAGCTATACGTGTTGTAAAATTTAAGTTGAATAACCGCAAGGGTCTCACCCACGCCGTGTCCTCTAAGAACTCCCTAATTCCCCTAGCACTGATTTCCATTAACATTTTACATTTTAAACAGAATTCGTCTACTTTAGTATTCGTTGCTTATTATATATTCTAAAGAACTTTAACATGTTCATAGAAGTTATTCTTAACAGAACCAAATTTAAAATATATTCTGATAAGTCGTAAATACTATTACTTCGTTAATCTTTAATTAAATATTAAAACAGGTCTTAATAAAACATGCAATGAATATAATCATAGTTATTATAACGGTACAGAATTTTGATAAAATTTAATTAAAGAGCTCTCCTCAAAACGGCAACAATTAGTTCGCTTAATCAAATGGATCGTTTGAACCGTTGCATCTATTATTAAAGTGGCCACAGACGGTCATTGACCTTTTAATGCTAGATCGCTCTAAAACGAAATGTTCAAAGAAACGAATTGTTCTCCGAACTACTACTAACACTTGACCGAGTACACGGACAAAAAATACATTGTCTTTAATCCTTATACGTAAAAGAGGATTTTTTTAATGCTTTTTTTACCTACTATTTTTAATCTGAACAAATATTTAATTAGCTTATAAAGTAATAGGTATCCAGTTTCAAGTTAAATTGTACATTTTCTTCATTACAATATGGGAAATACTGAAAATAATTTCATATTATATATGAAATCATACATATTATTGATATAAAAAAAAATAAAGCAACAGAAAACGAAATTACTTTTGAAACATTAAAATTCTTAGAAGCACAATATTATTTTATGAACGTCAATTGAAATATTATTTTCACAACTATATTATTCACTAAGAGGAATTTCCCTCATATCTTTTTTAATATAATCGGCTTTTTTATTGTATAAGTAGGTATATTTCGTTCTGAACGAATCAAAGTACTATAGAAGATGAATGGAAATAATTCTATAAACATAATTCAATTAATGAGGCAAATAAAAGCAATGGAATCATACTAATTAGATAAATATGAAGGATATTAATATATGGAATGAATATCATGTTTTACAAAAGCCTTACTTATAAATGGTAGCAGGCTACGTTTTATATTTAGCAAGTTTTATATCGCTTTGAATATATTTTTTGCGTTCACAAGTGTCGGTCTCAGACAATGGATGTTTGTAATAACGTGGAAGCGAATGTATTCGTCTGTCCATTCGTTTTAACCGAACTTCAACCTACTTGACATATTGTGTAACGAAAATTTTTATTACATTATAATTATATAGCATACTTTTTACTAAGCATTAGTATGTAAAGATAGTATTTGCTGTCTAGAATTCCTTTAAAAATATTGTATTTATTTTTCCAATATGAAATCGTTTTCAACTGGACTATACACTCAATTGTACATGTAGTATATCATAATATACACATTAATTTACTTCGATTTTTGAACAAAACTTTGAAAATATATTCAGTACGTAGCGCGCTCTAACGTAAAATCCTGAAATCTCTCTCCTCGCAAGCCTTAACTACATCCCGGCATCTATTGGCAAAGCGAGGGAACGATTCAAGCCAGAGGCTTCCAGCCAAACCTTCCCTCCTTCCCCTCGCCCCTCGCCGCCGCACCTCGTTCCCCTCAAAAAGCCTATCGATCGCCTACCGCCACTACACAACTTACGCTAGCCAAAAGGACACTGCCAAAGCTTTCAAAAGCTGTTATCAATAACAAACCATTAGGCCTACGCTCACTAATAGCATTCGTAACGTTCTAGGAATCCGTGGAGGTGAGTGAACTTTTAATATATAATCTAACGCCGCCCATTCATCACGTATTCCCTCGAGGTGACGTGGATTATATATTGTTTATTGAAAACGTAAGATAAGGCTTTATAGTGTTTGTTAGGCAGTCCGAAAATATGATATTTGCGTTAGAAATTGTGGTTATAGCAAATTGCATAATTGATGCTGTGAAGTTTCTGGAAATAGGTCGCGCCTATTGATATATATCTATGCAGTCTACCCTCCCGCTGACTGCAAACACGTCAGATAGCATTAAGAAAGAAGATTTATAAAGACTTCTTAACATTTTTCCTGTCTTCCCTATTAAACGAACATCTTGTGTATGGATAATCAACGAAAGCTATAACTAAAGTATCATATATGTAAGGAATGTATTTATACTTCAAATTTGATGTCATCGGTTATTGTGAACAAATTGAAACTGAAATTCGACAAACAAAAACAAATCAAAATAATAGAATTAGCAACTGAACATCGGTTCAGTGAACTCGTATTTATGTATCTAACTTGAACTATGTAAGTGACTTTGTGTTTTTTTGGAAAATAAAGATCTCTAAACCTAAGTATATGTCTTTCAGGAGACGACTAGTGTTCCTGTGATCGAAGGGAGCGCTCAGCAGCGGGACGAGCCGCTCGCTTCGGACAAGGACCTGTTCATCGATGATGACGGTTCGGGCCTAGAGATAGACGAGAGCTCCGGCTCCGGCTGGGGGCCCGGCCCTGGACCCGACGACGAAGACGGCCGCGGCTCAGGTGACGCCCCCCACCAAGGGGCCCCCGAAGATGACGAGGACTTCGACCCGAAGAGAATCACCACAACCCTACCGCCGGTCTCACAGACCGAGCATACACACACAGACAGTCCCATCCCAGTAGACGCATTCGATGTAGTCGGTCGTGAGTAGAGGCCATCGCATGCCCGTTTTGTTGCCTTTATTTTATTATGATATAGAACTCTCGCTAAACTTCTATCAAGAAATATTACACGACATTAAAATTCAGACAACGAATTTTGTTTTAGACCAATCGATAGATGGTGAGCGATAGATTCTATATTACCGATCATTTTATTATTTTATTCAAATAATATAAACCCAAATCAAATTCAAATGTTTCAAATGAAAACGGATGTCAGACTTGAGTTAACGCCCAGTTATCCTTATGAGGTCATAATGATAACAATATTTCTAACTGAACATATTTCAATAGCGTTTAATATGTGAGACAATATTATTTGATTAGTCTTTCCAGTAATAATTATCGTGATCTCATTTAACTTGAAATTCATTTAAAAATTATAATAAACTAACATTTAAATGTAATTCTGACGCTGTTTTCGGAGGAGCTGGGTGAGTTTTGATGTTGCATGATATAATTATAAAATAATTTGCGAAATTTTTATATATTATGAAATAGTTTTGTTTTTATTACCATGCTTATTATCGGGTTCTCATTCTGTTTCTGATAAAATATCTTAGACTCATACATCATCACATTGATTATTTAACTCCGCATGATCAATGTTCTATATTTTATATTATTTTTAACTATCATGCTGCCTTTCCTTCCCCGGTCTTGTAGTCTTCGTCATCTATACTAATGGCTACATCAAAATTTTCTAATAACTAAACCAGAAATAATTACTCCCAACGATTCTTATTCCTTAAGTTACGTTAGCAAATAAAGCACTCACCCAATAAAAGCGTTATACATAAAGTATATTACATATATAATGTATTTTCAATGTATGTTTATATATTTTCAGCGCGTGTATTATCCAAGCCTTCGGAAGGCGCTCCAGATATACGCCCTGAGGAGCCCCAACGACCCGATCAAACCGACATCAGCATATCTGGTGACGATATCAACCCGAATATTGTAAGTGCAAAAAACAGACAATACTACTAAAATCATGTGTTTAACGACGTTTAAATAACATATACATGTATAAATTGGGCAATATAGAACTACTTATTTATTAAATTCACTATACCTAGACACTACAATCCTTTTTATCAACCCATTCCATATTGTAAGTTGATAATGAACACGAAAAAATATGTGAATTGGCGCTAAATCTAGAGAAGTTCTTGAAATAATGTGTTCCAAATTCAAAATAATTATAAGATAGAAAAAATAAAAGGTATTTATGACCAGTCTAGTTATAAACGTACAAATAACTGAGTGATTTAATTTGGAATGTTAAATTTTTATAAAGCCTTATGGCTTTTAAGTCGTGTATATAATAAGTTAAATATACTAATGAACGTGATTTTTTTATATTGCACAATTTCTTTATGTTAACAGCTCCTTTTTGTGCAGTTTTTTTTTCAATAAATAATGTTATTTTTTCCGTTCATCCAGGACCAAGATCAATCGAGTTCAAACGTGGAGCCGGAGTCCCGTCCTTCTGACAACAGCGTCTTCATCATGAACGCCAAGCCTGAAGACCGCGCCACCAGCTTCTTCGCACAACCTGGCATACTTGCCGGTAATATAATTATAACACCCATTAAAAAAATCACAACTCTTTTCTTTTTTTTATACTTATTAATATTTATATATTAATTAACAAATTTAAAAACATCCCACTTACTAATGTTCATTTAACGATTTACGTAAGGCACTTATCGAATAGTCATAAGCCAATAATGCTTTACAACATTTTGAAAAACGAGCTAATAATTTCACACTGCTGGAAAGATATTAAAAAAAACATAGCTAGAGCCAGAAAACTTGTTTTTCAAATGAAAAATTGCATTTAATTCACTTGACCTATTTGACCTACATACCATAGACAGAAATATATCAACGTCATACTTATAACATCCCTCTTTATATGTCGTGACTTAAGAATGCATTATGAATATTCTCATTAAAATCTCATTCGTATATTCCAGCTGTGATCGGAGGGGCGGTAGTTGGCCTGTTATGTGCCATACTAGTGGTCATGTTCATCGTGTACAGAATGCGGAAGAAGGACGAGGGTTCGTACGCATTGGACGAACCGAAGCGAAGCCCGGCCGCAGCTTCCTACGGTAAAGGCCACAATAATCGGGAGTTCTACGCGTGAGATACGGAACAAACATTGCCACAAGTCTACTGAGCAGCTAACACATTAGATCTCTTTAATATATAATCTTGTGGCTTTAGTTCAATCCCATCATTAATGTACCAATACGTACATATCTAACATCGATATTGTTATATATCAATTTCAAGACCAATTTTATAGACGTCAGTGAAGTGAGGTTTATGGAATAGTGTCTTAGGTCTTGGACTTTCTGAATACCGAGACATGTTTTTTTTGTGTTCTATCAATCAGTAGTCGAATCTTAATGTGAGATCTTGTTTTTTTAAATGTTCGTGTAAAAATATAATAAATGTGCCATCCGCTTCCTTCAATTGTATATTTGCCAATCACTTTAGTTGTATACTTTATCATAGATTATATATCTCGTAACTGATAGTCTATGGCCACGTCCATATCTTGTCTATGTGTATAAAATTAATGTTATATGTATTTGTCTACGGAACCTTGTGAAATTTGAAATAAATTCTAAACTAACGTAATTAAATATCAAATAATAAATAAATAAGTCAAAGTCTTTAGAACATCGTTTAGTATAAAAAGTACATAACAAGGTTCCATTATTTAATACTTTGTAAAACCATATTCCTTACGAAAATATATATTATATAACAATTTAGAGGATAACGGTTTGAACTATAAATATTTAACCCCATTATATATAACTTAAATCATGATTGTGTCATCCATAATGCCTTGGGTACTAACAATCTACGTTATTTTATTTCTTAGTCACTACGCCGATATCAAAGCTATAATTTCTGCATTCATGCTTATTAATTACACATTTTGTTTAATTAATATGTTTATATCTATTATACTTGACGTATAATTCCGTCATTTAAGCAACGAAATTAAATGCCGCCATTTTGTTATGTCACTGTCATTATTCTTATTCAGCCGTGACGCTGCCTAAATTTAATTTCGTTTTATATGACGATTAAGTCAATTAATTTATTAAAAAATATTAATAGTTATTGTATTTATAATACGTCATTAAGTAACTTTGTATGAATATGGTTTATCTAACTAGCAAACTTATATTATGTAATTTTTAGCATGTTTAATGAAAAATTAAAAAAATATCATCGTTTAAATTATTATATAGGCTGTTGTTCACATCAAAACGAATAAAATTGTGGCCAATTCTTGAAAGTATAAAACTATCTTGATGTGGTTAGTGTTTCATAAATAGACATTCCTCGCTAAACATGAAGAAAATCAGGCTCAGTAAGAATAAGTCTGTACATTGTAATTGTAAATTCTATTATAACTAATTCTACTAATATATACAATAATGTAGTATCAATAACCAAATATAATTGATTTAAAGGCTTCTTGATTATTCATCTATATACAATTAATTATTAATAATGTATATTAATATTGTCTTGAAAAAAAATTAATATTTAAAATGGTGAAATAAAAAAGAAAACTTTTGTTAGTGTTCTATATTTAAATAAAGAGTATCCATTATGTTGTATATGGCATTATTATATTGTTTGCAATGCATTTATATGCTAAGTACGGCATGTAAAATGTCAGTTGCATTCAACACACATCTGGCTAACATGTCATAATAATTTATGCCGTGGATAAAATTTGGATGGTTCAGCTAAGATTTACTGAAATAGTAAAACATGTCTGCATTTCATAGTTTACTTATAACTTAAAGCAGTTCATAAAATACATGTTGAAGAATACATCTTCGTACAACCAATTACTTGTTTTGTGCTCAAATTTTTTTTATGTTAATAACAAAGCATTAAATTAAGAGATGTCCTAAATGTAATTTGGTGTTTTATATAATGTTAAGGCAGCTTTTATCTAAGTGATATTTTTAATGTAATAGCTATAAATTTTGTGTTCCATAGTTATACTGTTCTTGAGTTGATTTGATTCTTCTCAATTTTTTTACTGTTTTTAATATATATGTATATATATATTGATATGTTTGTGGTGTTTTTAATATATATGTAATTATATTGAATTGTGACATCATAACTTATCATGATTGTAATAGGCTTTGATTGTTTTACATGATGTAATAGAATCAAATTTATCAAACATGAATTATAATGACTTATGTAAGTTTAGATTGTAGGGTAGGCGATATATAAATGTCCTTGTAAATAAAGCTCCCTTACATCTAGGTAATAAATACAGGTCATTATGAACAATTGTCGTGTTTTATTTAGTATAAACATTCCTTTTACATTAATAGTAATGAATTTCAAATGGTGATCAATAAGAAAAACAAGAAATAAAACAATAAAGGTACAAAGATCAAATATATTTAAATCGCTAGTGGACTTTTTATGGAAAATAAATGTTTTATTTCAATAATAATATAGCAAAAAATTATTTATAGTTTCATGAAAAAGTATCTGACAGCGGTGGGATTCGAACCCACGCCCTTTCGGACTGGTGCCTAAAACCAGCGCCTTAGACCACTCGGCCACGCTGCCTTATGACAGGGCCTCGAAATAGTAATCAAAACTTTTAAGAAACATATTTATATATTATATTCATATTACATATTGAAGGGTATATTTTTTATTAAAAATAAAATACATATAAACCAGTGCCGATAGCTTTTAAAATATAATTAATTTATAGTAGAATGCAAGTCATTAGAAAAGGAGGGGGAAATTATAAAAATTAAAGGAAAAATAATTTACGGGCGATCTGAGGTCGGGAAGGATATGGGAGTGGGTATTTAAGGGTAAAAAATGGGTTTTCTCGATTTCCGGCAAAACTAAGGCGAGACTAAGGAACAGCAATCCATTTTTATATATATAGAAGATAAGTTAAGAAAATAAATATTTCTAATCAAATAAATTACAGTGTATTTGGGACATCAAAAGGTAAGGTTTCAACAAATTTCGTGGCAAAATATTGTTTTTTGTAAGAAATAAAAATAAAAAACCAAAAATTTAGTTTTTCGATTTTTTCACATAAAATTTGAGGTTATATGAAAAAAATTGTAATAATAGAAGTTTTTAATCTTTTTATTACCTACAACTTTGCCATATAACTTTTTTCTGTAGGACTTTTAGTTTTGCCGGAAATCGAGAAAACCCATTTTTTACCCTAAAATATCCAACCCCATACCCTTACCGACCCCAGATCGCCCGTAAATTATTTTTCCTTTAATTGTTATAATATTCCCCTCCTTTTCTAATGAGTTTTATTCTACTATAATTTATTTTCACTTTTCATTAATTTTAAATTCATCTGCACTGGCCTAATACATATGTACTTTTATATTTTTCTAGAGTCAAAGTCACTTGGGAAATAAACTGGGTGGATTTTTATATCATTTATGTGAATTGCTAAAAAATCAAATATTATCGTCTCAGGAAAAAGCTTAACTGATGTGTTATAAGAACGATAAAAGAATAACCTACTATATAAAAGGGAATTTTTCACGATTATATTTTACTAATAGATATAAAATTAATTTTGATAGAATAGGATATATTATAATAATAATAATTATAAATAAAACAAAAAGCAAGATAAAATTGAAAATATTGAAATACCATAAATAAGGCCACTGATAAATTAGTAACATTTAAAAGTTAAATCCCTCTAGTCATTCCACGATTATCATAAGTAAAATTATAAATAAAATTGATACGTGTCTACCCTGTCCAAAAATTTGACAGTAAGATTACGAAAGAAATAAAAGTAATAAACCTTATTCAGCATTCTGTTTTAATACGAAAAGCAGAAATAGAAAAGAAATCAGAACCAATTCGTTAATAAGAAAAAAAATATATGACTTGTGTATACAGATTTAATTACAAAATGTTACAGTTTATAAAACTAACGAATGAATTTAAATGTTTGAACATAAATTTCTTCTTTCAATGTATATTCATTAGACATAAATATTATTTAAAACACATAGCTGTTTTTGTTTTACTACACTAATTTTCTAAATGAAGGAAGTAGAGGATGTTATAAATCATTAAATCAATATATTTAATGTTACCGGTAAGCAGTCCATCTCGATCAAAAAACCGGTACGTAATTAATCGTTGTCATACATATCTTGCGAATAATTAGCATAATACGGGCTAATTTCACAAAGGTACGAATTATAAATGTTTTAATTTTTACTTTTATAGCATAATTATATTTTATTTCTATAATAAATATCCTATTTTTTTCCGTTCACACAATTAACACATGAACTCATCTTGAATATTAAATGTTAATATTTAGATACAATTCGATGTTGCTTTGCACTGTTCATGATTTAAAATGCTTTCATACTATTGCTCTATGTTATAATTTATCTCGCTAAAATTGTTATAGAAATAACATACATTACTAATAATAATAATATTTTTTTATCCCAGATACCAGCTGAGAAAGTTACTTGTCAATTTAATTATTAAAAAATAATTAGACATAAAAAAATATGTAATTACCAATTTCTAACATTATGATATTTAAATCATGCACACTATCTTAGTACATAAATTCTGCGTAACAGTTAAATACAATGAGTACATAATATCCGAAAATATTAGTTTCATTTAAATGAAAAAAAACAATAAATACTTTTTCAACTATCGTACTTACAAGTTACCACTTAATATTACTTAAAAAAATTCAATAAACTCAACACTTATTAAAATTTTCACATTATAAAGTGTGTTTCCAATAAGTAATTACTAATACTAATTATATCAAAAAGTTTAATCGTCTAATAAATCCTCATTATTATAATGCGGGGTCGTTGCACCTGCATTTCAAAGTCAAGTCGTAACAAAAACTGAAATCTCCAAAATCTCGCTTCAGACAGCCAATTAATCTACCGTAACCTATCAACTAAAATTACGACAGGCGACTGATCAAGGTGAAGTTCACGGCTTCTAGGCCAACGAGAGGTGAGCGAAATTAGTATATAAAGTCGGAGAAATGCTCTCACTACATCCACTCAGCCTTCAGCATCCGAGAACATGGTGGCCAAGCTAGTAATAACCCTATCGTGCCTTGCCCTCTGTTACTCTAGTCCCGTCATTATAAATGGTAAGTTTATCATATCCATATTAAATAATATATAAACGTTACTAAAATATTCAATTGGAATAGAAAATTATATTTAAATTGAAAATTTATCCTTACCTTCTTTATGTATTTTTAGGTTACTTATATCGTGATGGACGAGCCTATGTAGTAGGACAGGGTTACACAAGTAACGTCGGCGGTAAAGCAACAGGTTCAGCCACAATTAATGGTGGCGTTATTCAAGCATACGGAACAGCCTCTACCGATGACCAAAATTCCTTAAACAGGAACGCGGGCGGGGACGAAGCTTATCCCGGTCAAGCTGTAGCTAAAGCCGAGATTTACGACGATCCTTCGAACACCTTCTATGGTTCTGCTGATCCAGTGTCACAAAATGTTCCGACCTACTACGCCGTGCCCGCCCCGGCTACAATATCACACGAACAAAATTTCAACAATCCAGAAGTAAGTTACGAATTCCCTGTCCCTGGAGCCCTTACTGCACATTCTTCAGCTGTGGTTGAGGGTGATTCCGAAACATCTTACACATCTGTTCAATCTGATGGCTCTGGCTCTGCTGAGTCCTCGGCGAACACACAAGGCATCGGAAATTATGGAGTTACTTCATCTAATAGTAAAACACTCGGCAATGGTTACGGATCAGCATCTTCAAATATTAAAAACGGCTACGTATCGACTGTTTCCAAAAACAACGGATTCGGTTCTTCATCTTCGCAGACTAAAACTGGTCTCGGTTCTTTGTTATCTGAAACTAGAACAAATGGTGGTTCCGCAAGTTCATCAGCAAACCAAGCTTTAGAATCTGCTATAGCTACTTCCAGCTCTCAAGGTTCTGGATACGCTTCTTCAAAAGCAGATCTTAACAATCTAGTTGCCGTTCCTGTCAGCTCAGTAAAGTCCATCAACAAACAAGGAGTTTCCTGGAAATTTGGCACACGTTACAACGTCCCGTCTAATGTTGGTCAAGTGTATGCTACCAGTCAATCAAATGGGGGCTCATCGAAGTCTTCTGCTCAAGCCAATAAATTCGGCACCATTCAAACCAATGCTGATTCCCACGGACAAGGAAGTGCTGATGCGAAAGCTAATTTAAATGAGGCTGGATACCTGAACTCCAATGCTATGGGCAATGCTAAGTCGACGGCAAACAGTAATGGTTTTGGGTCGATTAACACTGCAGCAAGCTCTAATGGCTTAGGATACGCTAATTCTGAAGTCAATTCCAATGGTTTTGTTAAGTCCACGGCTAACACCCAAGGTTCGCCATATGGTTCATCCAATGCCCAAGCTGATATTAAAGGTGGATCCATCTCGTCTTCAGCTAATAGTAACGGCTTCGGTTACGGCGAAGCTACAGCCAATACTGGACCAAACTACGGCGCTAATAGGTTCAATAATCCCGCCAACCTTCCATACTTTGGAGGATTTAAGACGGTTGCTGACGCTAAAACTACTGGCCAAGGGTCTGCTTCTTCTTCCGTCAGGACTCAAGGGGTTCAAGCTGGCTACAAAGTTGTGAAATCTTCAGCCAACACGTTTGGCGACGGCACTGCTCAAGCTAATGCCCAAAGCAACTAATAACCAACGAAGGCAGACCACATCAAGATGACTTAATTGGCCATAATCGATACTGACTTGTCTTGATGTATTTGCTTATTTATAATTAAGTTATTTATTTATTATATTAATAAGTCAAAAATTCTTTTTAATAATAAAAGATTTTCATTTATGTTTTTTTTCTGAATTAAACTCCATTATACTATTTAAGATTATCGTGTTTTTAGAATCAATATTATTTGAATAAGAATATTATACACCGATTGCTTCTACAGTTGTAACCGACTTAAATCAAAGAGGTTCTCTATTCAATTGTCAATATTATTATATCTTATATACCCAATTTTTTATAGCGTCAAATTCTTGCCATATAGATATAGTTTTGACAAATGATAACACAAAGTTAAAAAAAAAAAACATTATATTTCTATTCTGTATTTAGCTCCCATCTCCAATTTAGTAATAATTATTTTTATAAACTATTAAAAAAAATATTGCAAATACTACGAGAATGAAAAATAAAAAACAAAGGCACCTTTCACCAGAGTATAATATCACATGAATACGCATATAAAACAATATATTTAACACCTTGATAACAAATTGCAATGGTTTTTAGAAATAAACCTTTTTATTTATAATACATGGAATTAATTTTATTAATCTCAAATGTCGTGATTATTTTATTAAAGTTTCCCACGCATAAAAGGTTTAAGATATTTGTGGAAAGTTTCGTTCACAGGTTCTTTGTTCAGAGGACTCTTCATTGCCTCTTCCATAAGGCGTTCGTACACGCGACCGTCGTACGAACCCAGTGTTGAACAGAGGACCTAGGGTTAAAATCGTAAAAATATTTATAATTAATACTATTGATATCACATTAATATTGGGAATTTAAATTTGGAACATGAATCTTTGTAATTTAATGTAATACTTTAAATTCACATAATCTTTCGATCTAAGTTCATATTTAAAATTTTTTTTTGTTATGAAGAAATGATCAAGCCATAGTTTGCTAAGTAAGTAAATTATAAAATGCATAACATTACCTCATCTCTTATGTCAAAAGCATCAACCAATCCAACTGCATTTGGTCGCAAAATCTCCAATAGATCTTCATATCGCCTTTGCAATGCCTTGACGTCTTTCTCCGATATTTGTGTATACTATAAAAATATTATAAAATAAGAAAACAAGCAACTAAAACAATTTTACATACTCATAATACTCGTGACACTTATATTCAGTTCTATAAAAAATAAATATAAAAAATATAAATTGAAATTTATTATAATTTATAATTTCTGACACAAAATAAATTAGAATCAAAAGAATATACAATCAAACATCTCTTTTTAAAATAAATAAGTCAAATTATGTAACATTCTAAAACATATATTTTTTATTTGTTTAAAAAAAGTTATAATGTTTGTTACAGTCTATAACCAAAATGTCCGGTTAAATGTCATTGATACTGACGTCTATATAAATCAGCTGTAGTCGATCGTTAGTTTTTTCAATTTCGATACGGACCATTGACCTCATACATAAATAACTGTAACAAACTGTGTACGTCGGGTCAGGATTAAAATAGACAACATTGTTTAAGACTAGCTGTTGCCTGCGACTTTGTCCACATATTAAACACTTTGATTATGAGATACAATTATCATAATCATGAGGTATAATTCGATTTTTTGAATATTCCTTAATCAGGTCTTGACTTTTTGACAATAAAACTACCTCATGATAGTGCTGTTTTGATTAAGAAAAAGTATTTTGCAATCAGTCTTTAATTAAAGGAGTATTGAGCATAACAAAGATCTAGACGAATTGTCAACTGTCTTTTATTAAATGCCGATAAAAATATCCTCTTTTTCTCATTATTACTTTCCCTACTTGCGGATGAAATTCATAAACGATATTAAATAGGACCGATAGAAAGGCATAAACTCAAAAATTACAATTTTGATGTTAACATCATATATTTTAAGGTGCCGTATTCGTTAAATATGAAACTATTGATTTTAAATTACAAACAGACACTACAATTTTGTTTATTATTATAGAACTGTTAAGGCTAATGTATATTATTAAAAGTTTACGCCAAATCTAAATCAAGATTTGTTTTATTTATTAAAACTACTTTTTAAACACACTTATATATGTGTGAATCAATTAATTGAGATCAAATTTTTATTTTCTAAATGTGTAAACGTCAAATCTAATCATATTAAGTATGTATAAAAATATGATTCAGTAAATTCATATCTGTAGTCTTTGAGTCGAATGATAGATTAAAAAAAAACATAACACAAAGAAGTAATTTAGATGCAGTCAAATAATAAGCGATGGTTATATCGATTACAATGAATCACGAAATAATCGCGACCTATATCGATAAATCGATTTTTTGTTGTCAAGATCATATTAAAAAAAATGATGTTCAATGTTCATGCTAGTGACCCCGTTATGTTACTGTAAAAAAACTAAACTACACAACACTGACATATTACTAATTCCAGGCCTTATGTTTATGAGGTTGAAAAATTAATATTTTATATCTCTAAATTATAAGATAGATGACTCGATGTTTGTGATTAAACTGAACAAATCGTTAATTAATAAACGACAGGAACTATAAAATATATTTTATGACAAATTAAAGATTTAAATCTTTTAGCTTGATTAATCGAATAATAGGATATGTTATTCTAATATTATATTTTTACGGTTATATTTATAATTCACGCATAATCGAGAATCTTCGTGGATACATTTATTAAAAAATTTTGATATTTGTTTTTCTGTGATATTTTAATTCATTTCCTATATAAATGAGAAAATTATTATTAGTATAAAAAATATTGTTACCAATAGTAAATCGCCGACTTTCTCCAGTGTCCAATAAACCATATAAAGCTCTAGAAGTTGATGCAGAACATCTCTCAGAGGTGATGACATATTACGTGCTAGCTTTTCAATTTGTTGTTTGTATATTGATAGAACTATAGCCCTGCCGTGAGCCTATGGAAAAAACAAAAACTTATAAAATAGTCTAAATATTAAAGATTTTTTCTTTTATTTTAATTTCTATTCTCTTGGAAAAACTGTTATTATGTTTTTAAAGACTTAAAAGATACCTCAGCCGCAGCTGTCAGTTGTACAGAAGCTTTGTTCCAGGCGTCTTCGTAAGATAAACCAGACTTCAGATATTGCTCAAAACTTGCCACGCTCGATGCCAATTTGCTGTAATTTAGAGGTCATTTAATATTTATCATTTAAACAATTATTAAGTAACCAAATTCTAACATACCTTCTAGATACGATCTGGAAATTTCTAACTATTCCATCGAGTGAAGAGTCCCACTTGGCTGCTGATGTTTTGTTTGAAATGTAAGACATTGATGGACTCAAAGGTTGACCTTTAGTTGCTCGGTCCCAAGCTTTCACAAGAGATCTATAATTGTAATTTTTATATACGTTATTAAGAATAATAATACCATTTTTGAATTTAGTAATTTGGAAATAAACTGATTAGAATAATTTCAGTCTTATTAGGAAACTAACTAGTTTACTACTACTATACTTAGTACATATCATTAAAAATACCTATGTTCAAAGTAGAACAAAAAATTAACTTTAAAATTTTCTATAGTATCTATTGAAACTTTATCCTTTCATCCTATAAATTTCTTGCACGCTGTTACTGGCACTCAAGACCCGTTGCGCATAGAAATACATAATATACATAATATATCTATATATATAAAAATGGATTGCTGTTCCTTAGTCTCGCTAAAACTCGAGAATAGATGAACGGATTTATCTTATCTTAGTCTTGAAATGTTCGTGGAGGTTCAGGGAAGGTATAAAAGCTGAAAAAAAAATTAATTTAAGGGAAAACCCTAAAAACAGCGCTTTTCTATTTCCCACACAAACGGGTTTTTTGACATTAGATTTGACAACTAACTAATATGTCAATCATTCTGTCGCACTTTAGAACACGGAGATTTATGGCTTAAAGGTAAACTCCAAAAAAATAATTTATTTCTTGATTGAGGCAGTACGAAGTCTGCCGGGTCAGCTAGTACATACTAAAAAGAAATATGAATATACCTGGCTACTTGTAACAACAGCACCGTATTCTCTCCCTCGTAGGTCATGGTAGCAGTGCATACTCCATACAGCTGCGGTAGGTTGGAGGACAGCATGTACCCGTGACCGCCGCAAGCCCGACGACAGACTTCCACCAGGGAAGTACACTCCGAAGAACTCAACACTTTCATAGCGCAGGCCAGAACGTGAAGCTGTTACAAACAATAGATACTAGATGGCCTAAGTGTTCGTTTTCGTTGTAGAATACATGGATTATTTGTTTTAGAGAACACACAATTAATGAGATTTAAGACTTTTAAAGTTTTATTCATTTAAATGAAACTAATATTTTTCGGATATACTACAATGTTTATTTTTTGGCTTCTTTTTAGCAACCATGATCACGGGCAGACGAGATGCTAGTGATTTTTCATAATTTTTCGTCAATATTGGTATGTACATAAATTGTTTTCATAATTCTCAAATATTTTACCTCAGGCAATGTGTCCAGTTGACCCTTAAGAAGGTTCTCTTTAACAGCGTCAGACACATTGTAGAGCCAACGTACTGTAAAGTGATAGGCGTGGCTGGTAGCGATAGCGATCATCAGCTTGTGCTGCTGTGTCACGTAGTCCAAGATTTGGGGTTCCGGTTCACTGTTACCAATAATAAAATTAATATAAAACAACAAAAAAATATGGACAAATACATCTACTAAACAACAAAGATGAAATTAATTTCATAAAACAAAGATAGACCTCTATAAATTTATTAAAAGATATTTCTTAACTGAGTAATACAATAAGTAAGTGTTTATACCCAGGTTTCATTTGCGATTGTCTCCTGACAGCAGCATATCGTACGGCGATGGTGGCTGCTGATGACAAATACTTGGAAACTGTATTCACAATCATCACACGAACGTTCACCATCGTACTGTACGCTAATTTGCTGCTCGGGGACGCTATAAATGTTCCATCCTTGAGAAAAAAAAATGAATATCAACATTTAGATATCTTTGACCTAAGTTCCAAGTATAACTCAATAGAACTTTAGTTTACCTTCAAAACTTGCGCATTTTTCATGAGCATTCTGTCCCGCGGTATTCTCACATTCTCAAAACCAAGAAATCCATTATTAACTGTATTGAAACCAAGTTTAGGTCCAATTTCCCCAATCTTTATCCCCGGGAGAGGCATGTGTGTTTCTTCATCCCGTAGCTGTACCATAAAAGGTTGCATGCCATAGCACTTATCCTTTATATAAAGTTGTGCCATAACAATAGCGTAATTTGCTGTGTGAGCCACTGAAACAAAATTGATTCATAAATTATTTGTTTTTTGTACGAATTGAATTATTATTTCTAATTCAATATATTTATTGTTAAGAAATCATATGCTTACGTCCTCCAGGCCACCACTTGTAAGAAGTTAATGTAGGACTATGCAAAATAAATTGTTCAGTCTTTTCATCATAAGTTGCTCGTAATTCTAAGCCTCTCAAAAAGGTCCCATGGCCCAATTCAGTCTGTAAAAATAAAACTTAGACTTATTTTTAAGTTAGCACTATAAAAGTTTATAAATTATTTTAAATATTATTGAATAAAGAGAAAAAGGAACCTTGGATATCTAACCTGAGCGTAAGTCCCTATAATTTCCATATTTCTTCCCCTTTTAAGCCAATATTCCTGTTGTTTCTCATTTGCGTGTCCTTCAATGGCCATCAAGAACATACCCGCGTGGAGCATCATAGGGGAGTTGTCTTTCGTTACAGCTAATGATACCGTGTCACGAAGACTTGCTCTGGAAGGCAATATTATGAAAATGTTATGTTCTAGTAATATGTAATAGAGTTCCTTACGTATTTCTCCTGACACTCACATGGAACTCAATCCATGAAGGAAATAGAAAAGGCTAATAACTTTCATACAAAGAAAAAGTCCTGTTGTTAAATACTTCATATCTTAGTGTTAAAATAAAGAATACCTACTTAATCTTCTCGTCCATAGGTTTGTCTCTCAGTTCATCATACTTCAGAAGGACTCGATTTAATTTCACACATTTTCGTATCACGTTTTCATATTTCTCCTTGTGACTGAGGTATTCTTCTGGTATCTCATCCAAGAGACCCTCTGTACTGAGAACTTTATTTTCTGAAAAAGATAATTATAAATTATAGAAGCGAATAATTTTTCAGAAAGAGGGTTGATGTCAGACAGGCGGTCGGTCGTAAAAACAATAAGCCAAAACTATTTACAAAATGTAAGGCAGAACCTGGCTAAAGCTGGGAAATTCCCAGGAAGAAAAAGAAGAAGAAGAGAAACGAAAAATTTAGTGCCTGATAAAAACTTTAAATATAATGTTGGTGACAAAAATTGCTATTATTGTTTATTAGGCACTTTAATACATTTTAATCTGACGTAAAAATAAAAATTAACATAACCAAGCTGTCAACATCAACGGAGGTCAATAGTACATTGTGTTTTGGCAAAAATTCTGATTCATTAAACAATTTAAGAAATTAAAGTACAATTCTTCGACTTACCTAAATACCTCCTTCGTTTAGTGTTTTCGTATCCATCGTCTAACAAATAAGTCAGTTCTTCTATGTTGAAGTTGCATTTTGCTCTCTCTTTTCTTAAATCCTCGTTCTCCGTATTCGCAGACATGTCTCGTTTACGGCTCACCGAATGCGTACTGGAAGATTACGTACGATAAACAAACTTGACAGCAGATAGAATATTTTAAAGAGCAACAACAATGACGCAGCTTTGTTATCTAATGAATGATAATGTTTTTGATATTCGAATTGGTTTAAGAAATCCATACTGGGTTTATAATTAAGGATTGATGTGGGGACAAATTTTTATGAAGCATATTTAACCTTCAAAATACCTACAACTTGTCAAAATATAAACACATTTAAATTATATTTTTTAATTGTAATAAATGACAGTAGTTGTTATGTATTTTGTTATATTTATTTGGTAGATAGCGTTAAAGACTAAAAGAAAAGTAGGACAGTATACGGAGGTGAAATACTAGCTAATTTAAATGTATATGTATATGTTCTTATGTATTTACAAGTTATTCGTAATGTATGACAAATAAAAAATATACAATCTAGTAATGAACAAAATTAAATGAAAATTAATATTATTAAGCAGCCAGTATTACTACCCGTGCAAATATATTGTCTTCTTTTTTAATAGCTCCGATAAATATAATTTATATTATAAATAATTTGCAATATCATTTATCAGTAATAGATAAAAAAATATCTTGAATACATAAACGGCATTTAGTGTAGAATTAAGATAAAGCGGTGACTGAAGATAAAGTAGTAGAAAAGTGCATTAAAATTAATAAAAAATTAAAAGTACTTTCTCAAAAAAACAAAGGACAAAACAACTCATATTTTTCAATGTTTTCACTATACCCCCTTTTTTAACTCCAAAAAATCATTTGCTTTAATTTCACTATCACTGTATATTTCTATAACACCATTTAAATTATTTTAATGGTTTTTTAGGATATAAATAGAAGGATAGGTTTCTGAAACTGCTGGCTACATAGTACTTTAATAAACTGTTTTATTCAAACGTTAAACGGTCGGTTTAACTGGAGGAAATCGTACATTTCAACACAATATTTAATTATTTGTGTACAAACCTCCCGTTTAATTTCAACACGTACTATTCAAATATTGTTGGCGATGAGAGTTAAAATGTCTTAGGTAAATCAAAATTGCATATATTTTGGGTGACTCTCATGTACAAAGGAATTACATATATGTAAACCAATAAAATTAAGGCGTCTATTTGTTGTTCAAAATTAACATCGTTTCACAAAAATCATGTTAAAATACATAACTACATAGGAATTTTAATTCTTGTTATTTTTGTCTGATATCTAGAATGCTTTGACTGATGGAATGGAACGGAAAATGGAATATCATAAAGATATTGGTATACTACCTGGCTGACTTCAATAAGAAAAAAGTTCTCAATTCGACTAACCGAATAACTTCACTTAATGGCAACTCTTAAAACTATTTTTTAATCGAAATGTTATTGTCCTGGAGTAACTGTACAATCACCAAGTGAGAATATGATAGAGAGGTTCTCGAGAAATAAAATGTAATCTCATAAATATGATAAGGCATATCTCAAAAGTGGTAAATATGTTGTAAAAGCCGCAGCAAACCGCTAATTGTATTACATATTTAACACTACGTTGAAACAAAAAATATATAATGAAATCAATAAAACATTGTCTCCTTCCATACTTAACATCACCATAATAATAAAAAGTATTAATACTTCTGCGACTATTTGGTTCACTGACCTATTATAAGAGCGTCAACAACTACAGACGCTAACAAAAGGCTATCATATTTGCGATCATAAAAATATAATAATAAGAGCGTAAATTAAATAAACACCTTGAGTGTGGTACTTTCTGGTACCGACTAAAACTTCACAATATTTTTTTTTGAAATGTGTAATACTGTTAGCCCTGCGGCTTTTACAGCGTCACCGGATGAGTGGGCCAATGCTGGGACCGGCTTGTAATTCCACAATGTTATTGTTCTAGCGATATTTGCAAAATGTACGGATATATCCTACTATTTTATTTCTAAAGAAACATTTTAATATCAATTTATATCTTCGGAAATATAGTATTACTTTATTTATTTCTTCTAATAATATATATCATATGTCCAGTCGATCATAAAACAATAACAGTTAGATTCCAAGTCTCCTGTGGATTATGAAATGCTAAATGAATGAATTTCATAATATCGCTTATTAATTAAATGATACTATTAAGTAGCTTTTCAACTATATATACTCTTACCAAAAAACAATCACAATATTTTCTTCGAATATTACGTATAAATAGATTCCAGTATATTAGTTTAAAACTATGATATTTTAATCAATAAATTATCATTAGCTGCAACAACTAATGACTATGTAAATCTGGAAGAGGTTTTTCTGACACAATTTACTAAATAAAACTTTACTCGGTAGTAAGTACCAAAGTGAAGTGAAAATTATTTTATTTAAATTGTTTGTACCTTTATTGTTATCATTAAGACCGAATGTAATGTAAGATAGCATATGTGGATTGGTTTTTAATGAAGTTTTATTATCTGCTTACAAAAATAACTTTTATTTGGAGTATACCCCAGGACAATGTTGAAGAAATTCTTATATGAATCTTAATTTTATTTATTACCCTTAATCCAGGACAGAAAATATTTTTTTAAAGGTTTCTATTTAGGTTTTATAGTATTTATGATTGAGAATGTGCTATTTTTATATGTTTTTGATTAGAGAGGAATTTTATCAAAGGAAAACTTACACTTAATAATACTATCTAGTTATATTCTATCATGAAATTCTGAAACAATTAGCTACTGTTGCCGAAATAAGCCAATAAATGGACATACTTTAAAATATTTTATATATTTATTTTATATTATTTCACTTTTATTACATCGAGACACACAATTTAGCCATAAAATTACTTTTTTCTATACATAAACCAATTTTAAGTAAATTTTTACTTATTCTGTTTACAAATAAAAATCACTGCCTACCAATAAAATATAAATTAACAACTAACTGATTAGATCTTCTTCGTTTTTCATAGTTTGCCTTGAAGCAAGGGTTTTATGTATTTATGGAAGCTCTGATTGACTGGTTCAGCGTTCATGGGGTTATTCTCAGCCTGTTCCATAAGTCTTTCGTACACCCTGCCGTCATAGGCGCCAAGAGATGAATGCAAAATCTAAAATGTAATACATATTTGAATTTACGAAATGAAAATAACTCAGTGCTCACAGGTGAGTTCCTCACAGTCGTATGGAAAAGAAAACCCACTATTTATTGTAAAATTCAATGGGTTTAGTCTTCCGTCATGTATGTTATAATATAGTAGATATTTAAATTGTTAAATAACTATGAGCAAAAATCACTATACCTCATCCCTCAAATCAAAGGCATCAACAAGAGCAACTGCATTCGGTCTGATATGCTGCAATAACTCCTCATATTGGCGTTGCATAAAATCTATGTCCTTTTCTGATATCGAAGAATACTGAAAAGTATCGTTCATTTTGTTTTTAATTTATTAAGACCATATAATTTATTTACACGTGTATGACTAAGCTCTTCGATATTTTTCTTACCCGTAACAAATCCCCTGTTCTCTGCAAAGTCCAGTAAGATAAATACAATGTAACTAGTTGATGCATTACGATCTTTACGTTATCACTTGAAGATTTAGTTAGTCTTCTTACTTCATTACAATACGTCTCCAAGATAACAGAACGACAATGTGCCTATGGACAGTATATTATGAAAAATTAAATATAATGACTACAATACGCATCGGAAAAGATAAAATTTAAGGAAACGATTTTTTTATTACCTCAGCTGCATCCACAAGTTGGACAGTTGTTAAAAGCCAGGCATCTTCATAATCAAGACCACTTTTCATTCTGTCTCTGATACTTTTAACACACAGGGCTATTTTCCTGAAAAAATACTCCTTAAAATGCCTGATTTATTGATTTCCTAACTTAAATTTGTCCACAACTTACCCTGCTGCAACTGCTTGAAAAGACTTGATTATGCCCTCATCAGTGCTTCGCCAAGAATTTTTTTCACCTTTTAAACTTCGACTTATATAAGAAACAGTTGGGGTTACTGTTTTTCCCGCCTCGGCTTGTTCCCAGGCTTTAACCAAAAACCTGAAATTCATTTCTTTCGTTTCATTGTCTGTTTATCTCCCCAAAACACAGATAAAAAATTAATAGTATTTAAAATTTTCTTATACCTCGCGGTCTGCAATAACAGTATAGTATAGTCTCCCTCATAAGTCCTAGTGGCGGCTACAAATGAGTATATGTACGGCAAATTAGAAGATAGCATGTAACCATGGCCACCACAAGCATATCTACATTGCTCTATAAGCAATGCGGCGTCTGATGTACACACTGCTTTCAAACAACTTGATAAAGCGTGGAGCTGGAAGATTAAGTTTCTGTTTGTATTCAAAAATATAAAAATTTGACAATCAATATTCACTTCATTTTGGGCATTAAGTTGTATAACTACCAGACAGCATTATGATTATAAAATTAAAGTATTTATTTAGTTTAATAGTAAAGAAACATATTGATAGAAACGTTTTTCTATCAAACCTCCGATTTACTCTACAAAAACATCTATGACAATATTACTATTCTGGGAATGAAAAACATCATTTCTTGAGCCGTAAAGAGAGTGAAATAAATTGCTTGTGTGAGTATATTATGTTCTTGTAAAATATCGAGAAAATTTTCCATACAAATAAATCTCCTTAGAAAACGTCTTAAAATGTGTTAGTTAGAAACTGATTTAGACAATGAAACGGTGAGTATTTTTCTAAAATAAGCGAAATCATTGGGCCTTTAGTGCCTGTCCAATTGAGGAAGAATTACAAACTGAATAATTTACAAGGAGCCGAAATGAATATTCAGAACTCTTGTTCTATTTGTATACAATCAAAATGAGAACACTTTCTTTATTTAAGACAATACAACTTAATTTTAAGAATGAGCACCGTTCTTATATTTGGTATATGTTTTCTCAAAACTAATGAAATAAAAAAGATACCACCAGTTTAAACTCTAACAGGGTATGGTCCTTGCACTGTACATAATTAATTTAATTAGCGTTGTACTAGATAAACGTAATATTTATTATTTTTTTGACATATATAAACGTTCCTTAAAAATTAATAAATGAATATACTTTTATAAATATTACTCATTAGTGATATAGCAATAATTATCTTTACATTAATTCAATAAAATATAACAATATGGCACGATAATTCCAAATGCACCGGAGTCGTTTAGAAGTCATCGACATTATCTGTATGTTAATTAATGACGTCAAACAAACGACTTTCGTTGACATTAAAATTTAATCAATTACCTCAGGTAGGGTGCCCACGTCACCTTTCTTCATATCAGAGAGTACAGACTTGAAGGTGTTCCACAGCCAGTTTGCAGTAAGTTGGAAAGCGTGTGCTGTTGCGATACCAATGAACAGCTTGTGCTGTTGTGTAGGATAATCTAGAATTTGCGGCTCTGGTTCACTGTTGGAGAATATCTTGAGAAATATATCTTACAAGGCAAATATCATTCGAATAAAAAGTGACTTACTTTGGCCTCATTTCAGATTGTCGTCTAACAGCGGAATAACGTACTGCTATAGTAACAGCCTTAGATAAATTGAAAGCAGCTTCGTTGACAAGAGTTACTCTGACAAAAACCATTGTTTGATATGTTAGTTTACCATGACGAGCTGGTTTAACGTATGTGCCATCCTGTTAACAAAAAATAATAACCAAGTTATCTTCATTTAAACTAAAAATGTATCTTATTTGTCGCTCTTTTACCTTCTGTACTTGAGCGTGCTTCATTAACATATTGTTTCTTGGTATCCTGAAATTATTGAAGCCCAAAAATCCGTTGTCAGCTGATGAGAAACCCATCCGAGGTCCAATTTCCCCAACTTTAATCCCAGGTAGCGGCATATGGGTATCCAAATCTCTGATCTGTACCATAAACAAGTGGGTGCCATAACACACGCCCTTTGTGTACAGTTGGGCTACGACTATGCAGTGGTTAATGGTTTTCCCGACTGAAATAAATATTTATTTAGTCTATATACTACATATGTACTTATTTCTTCAATATTAACAACTAGTAAACCTGGCGAACTCCGTTTCGCCTCCAAAAGGCTTTGTTTTATGTAACATTTCGTTTGGTGATTAAAAGATGAAGAATTTTTTTTTTGTTTTATATTTGAAAAGGAAATTTTTTATTTCATTTCACAACAGTAATGAATTCATTTCGATTACAAAAATGAATTGTTATTTAGTTGAACTTCTCTAAGTAAGTGAAATATAAATACAATATATTTAATGATAGTTATTGTCCGCGACTTCGTCCGCTTTAATTTCGGATTAGTAATATATGTATAGCTGACCGTTATAACTCTATTCCGACGTAAAGGCTATAAATAACCAGATATTGGAGTTTATAAAAAAAACTATTTAGATCGAACAGAATTAAATATCCTACATATGTCCGTCTCCTGGTATTAAACTATCTCCCCGCCAATTTCAAACCATATCCCTAGAACCGTTCTTGAGTTATAAATAGTGTAACTAATACAATATTCTTTTATAAATATAGATTTTTGCAATGTTTGTAATCAGTCATAACTCACGTCCGCCAGCCCACCACTTATGAGCTGTAAGTGTTGGAGTATGAAGCACAAACTCCTCAGTATCAGCATCATAAGTAGCTGTTGTTTCTAATCCACGAATAAACGTGCCGTGACCAAGCTCCGTCTGAAATATTAAATACATTTTTGTTTCATTCTCATATTATCACACTTTAAGTAGCGACTGTAGTTACCTGGGCATAACCACCAATTATTTGTAGATCCAGTGCCTTAGGCAGCCAAATCATCAGTTGTTCAGAAGTACACTGCCCAATAATTGTGGGTACAAACATGCCCAAATGTAATAAAAATGGGGATATGTCCTTGAAAAGAGCATCTGCTATTCGACGAATTGCTGGAGTCCTACAATATACATAGGTACGTAGATAGTATATAATAAGTTTATAGAAGAATTATGTTTGAATAACAACGATTTATTTATAACGAATATAAGAATAGAATTAGTTCAAGGCCAACACCTACTCGAAATCTTCAATTCCTGTTATTTCTTGTAATTCAGTTTTCATTAGTTTCGAGAAGAAACACGATTTCCTCACAGCATTTTCGTATCTCTCTTTAAGACTCATACATTCCTCGGGAACATCGTCATGGCAGAGTCCACTTTTGAGTACAACGTCCTCTGTAATCAAGTAATCATTGATTTGAATAGACATTATTCAAGTGGCCAACTACACAACTATAACTAATACATATTCATGATTTTGAACGTTTTAGACCTACAATGTGTAAACTTTGGATAAATAAAAATTAATTGTTTTTCTCAACTTAATTTTAATATAACTCCTTAGTCGATTGATAAAAAAGTGTAATATTTTTTATACTAACCAATTTTTCTTCTCTGCGATGTTTTCTCTTTGCCTCCATCAAATATATTAATGATCTCTTCAATGTCAAATGTACATTTCTGTCTTTCGAGTGCAAGGTCTGGATTTATATTGTATTTTTTTAAAACCATTTTGTGTAACGAGCACTGAACATAACATACAGCTCGGCGGAGTATTACAAACTAATATTGTTTGATAGCAAATACAACGAAATGCAAATAAAGTTTAAAAGTCAATCGTGAATCGAATACAATCTTCAAATATACATATGTATATACTCGTAGAATAACATATGTATGTATAGATTGCGAATATATCAGATTGCAATATTTTATCGACTTTTTCGTAATAATATTTTTGATAAATAATATATAACTCAACATATAATTTTTTATTATTATTATCTAAGGTAATTCCGAAAACATGTTAAATCCCAATTAATTTTCCTTATTTAAAATTAAACTTGATTGAGGTTTTATAAATAAAATAAAAAATTTATTTCAAAATTATATAATGTTCGGTTTGTTCATATATAACACCAGTCGTGAGAATTGAAAAAACTAACAAAGTAAATACAAATATTAAATTTTGTGTTTAAGTAGAACCGGTTTCATGTATTTATGAAAACTTTGATTGACCGTGTCAGCATTTAGAGGACTCTTTAGTGCGTGTTCCATCATCCTTTCGTAAACCCGACCGTCATAAGCACCAAGAGTTGAACATAGAATCTGCGATACAAAATATTAAACTTAAATTTTATCGAATCGATCGTAAAAAATGTAATCATAAATAGGAATATTGCCGCACGTTTTAAAACGCAATATCTAACACTATTTACTTTAGCTGTGGAAAAATTTCCATACACTACATTAAGTCAATTCAAATTTGTGTATGTATGAATATTTTTTCTTTGATAATTTTTTGGATTCTGATATTTGTGTTATTTACCTCGTCTCTGATGTCAAAACTATCAACAAGTCCTACGGCGTTGGGTCTAATTAATGCTAGCAACTCCTCATACCTCTCCTGAAGATTTTCTAGATTATCTTTTGATATGGATGTATACTGTGAAATACAAAAATAGCTAAGAAAGATACATTAATTATTATTTATTAATTAAATAACATCCTCACTACACTTCACACAATCACGGTTTTTATAAAAATATAATATTTGTGATCATAATCAATTCTACGATATTGTTTCTACAAGTCAATAAAAGTGAAAGAACGCAGCTATAATTACAATATCATAGTTACTATAATAATATTATAATAGTTACTATAATAATATTACATATAATAATACTATAATAAATATATTATAATTATAAAATAAGCTAAAAATAAATAAATAAGCAGAATACTTACTGTTAATAAATCACCCCGTTTCTCCAAAGCCCAATAAATAATGTACAATTCCGCCAGTTGTTTAAGCACCACAGCCAAATTATTGGATAACGTAGACGAAACTTTATTAATTTCGACCCAAAACACTTCACATAGCAGGGCCCGGGAATATGCCTAAGGTCAGAAATACAAAATTAAAATTGAGTCAAGTACAATATGTAAACTGACAAGAAAATCTAAAAAAATTGTCATTGAGTCTTTTCGATATTTTTTCTTATACACACCTCACTTGCTTTTATCAGTTGCACAGAAGATGAGTTCCAAGCTTCCTCGTAATGTTGTCCTCTTGACACATGCTTCTGTATTGACTCAAAACTCATTTTAGTTAACCTGTAAAGATATATTCAAAATACTTTACAAAGTAAATTCACAAGGAAGTATAATGCTGTTGCTTCTTTCACCAACATTCGGTAAGAACATCACGTACTTCGAATTGTACTTTCTCTTAGCATTTCTTCAGAAACTTAGATTAAGTTGAGACGGACTTATTCAACCGTCAAACATAGATTAATCAAAACGCCTTTAACATACATGATGAAATATTTGTACCTCAACATTAATGTTCATGTTAATTTCAAACCTTAGCAAATATATTTACCCAGCAGCAACCAGTTTAAATCCGTCGACGATTCCTTCGGGTGTGTTCTCCCATTTATTGTACCTCTTATTAAAGTACTCTGACAGAAAACTAACAGTAGCTGGCAGGGATTCACCATCCATGGCGCGTTTCCAGCTTTTTATCAAGTATCTAAAACGAAAATTCATGTTTTTTATAAGTTTGTAAGTAATACTAATAATTTATATAACAAACTAATAATTTATATTGTTTCAGACCTGGCAGTTTGTAACAAAAGTACAGTAGACTCTCCCTCGTATGTTATAGCAGCAGTCGCTGTTGTGTACAACAAGGGCAGGTTTGAGGACATCAGGTAGCCATGACCACCACAAGCGAACCGACATTGCTCGATCAGCAAACCTGCGTCCTTAGTGCTAGTGACTTTGAGACAGCAGGAAAGCGCATGTAACTGTGATAAAACAAAAAAAGAGATTGTAGTAATACATGGAATCTTTAGCTCTAAGCACGGGTTTTTTTGTATCTAATCAATTAGGAAACATTTTCCATAAAAAAAATCCAATCAGCTCAAAATGTACAAATTTGTGACCGAAAACACAAAAGAACTTGTACAGTCAAGTCGAATCTAATATATGAAATGTGACCCTCGTACAGTTTATATACAAATATTAAAAATCTTATTTAAAAAATATATTTTACAATATGTCGTCGGACTATTCGAAAAATTTATAAGCCTAATATATCTCAAGATATATTTCATTTCTTTATCTCATGTCTATAACTTACCTCAGGTAAACGGTCCAGGGATCCCTTGCCAATATCTTCCATGACCTTCGAGTAGGTTTGCCACAACCATAAGCCACTTATCTTGAAGGCATGACTGGTCGCTATTGCTATAAACAGCTTATGTTGTTGGCTCACAAAATCTAATATTTGGACTTCTGGTTCACTAAGGAAAATAGAAAAATACTATATACTTCTACTCTCACCTAACAAAGCTAATAATATACATCTACTATCTACTCCTACTTTTAACAAACTGGATATAAATTTGAGTGATTTGTTTGACAGGCATCGCTCTATTAATTAGACTCTAGAGCTATAATGTCATGAACTACAATTAATATCCCATTTATAAAGCATAGAATCATACTCAGGTTTTATATGCGACTGGTGCCTAACAGCGGAGTATCTGACGCTGATGGTAGAAGCTCGCGCCAACATATACGCCATGTCCGATAGAAGGTATACTCTCACAAATACCATAGATCCATACGTCAACTTTTCGTTTTTGGATTCCACGTAGGTGCCATCCTGAAATTAAAATTCATAAATAACATATGTAATGAGATCTAAGATTTTCGCGAGTACTCATTTAAATGAAACTAATATTTTCGGATTTACTACGCGGTTTTTTATTTTTGACTATAAATATATACATATCGTCTGCCCGTGATCACGGTTGCTGTAAAGAAGCCGAAACATCGGGAGTATGTAGTTTATAGTTAAAATTAAAAAGGGGTAGAAAATCCGAATATATTAGTTTCAATTAATAAATAACATTCGAGTACATAGTTTCATAGACATAAAATGCAAGTTTTATCTGTCAATACATATCAATAAACACCTGTGAAAGCATGTGATTAACGTCAGCAGATATGGCTAATTAGTAATTATAGCAAATATGGGTTAATTGATTGTACTGATAAGCGCTACTATACCGAACCGGCGTAAACTATTTTATATAGGGGTTCATAGTAAAAAAAATACTTTTTTCATATGATCATTGGCGATATAGTTTGATTTAGGACTAGTTTCATTGGTTGAAAAATGCTCCTCCATAATAGAATGTATATCTAAATTCAATATCCGAATTTATATGTTAATATTCTGTCCACTTACTTTTAAAACTTGAGAATTTTTCATTAGCATATTATTTCTCGGTATTCTAAAATTATGGAAACCAAGGAAACCATTATCAGCTGTGTTGAAACCCATCTTGGCTCCAATCTCACCCAATTTAAGTCCCGGTAGGGGCTCGTGGGTTTCAATATCGCGAATTTTTACAATGAATAAATGGGGTCCGTAACATTTTCCCTTCACGTAAAGTTGAGCCATCACGACACAGTGGTTGGCGGTATGTCCCACTGCAAAGAATTATGACATTTTCATCAAAGAACATTCTAAACTTGTACTTCTTGGAACATAACCTCTGTTCGAAGAATTTCAGAATTTCTATGAAAAAAATGCTTATTGCTTAAATATGACAACTGAAAAAGACAAGACTTTCAAAACGGTTTTGGATTCAGATTTTACATTGGATAGATACACTTAAAACTGTAATTTTTGGTCCATTAGCCACAAATTTGAAACCGAATATTTTCGGTCTAAACCTAAAGAAAGTGTGACTAGCTAGACTAAGAAACACAACAACAGCTATTTATACTCTTTTAGTTCATAGCAAAAATACTGACCAATTTATATAAATCTTTCAAGTTTCAAGAATTTTCAAGCAAAACAGACTAATAGGGAATGAATCTAAGTATACAGTTCTAAAACTTACATCCTCCGGGCCACCACTTATAGGATGTCAGGGTCGGGCTATTCAATACAAACTCATCAGTTTCCAGGTCTAGAGTTGCTGTCGTCTCAAGCCCTCTTAAAAACGTGCCATGACCGAGTTCAGTCTGAAACGAAATAATTTATTAATTAAATATACATAAATTCCTTTACAAGCGCTGAGATCATGAGTTATCTTCATGTGGGTAAGCTTGATTTTTCACTATTTATAGTAATCTATGCAAGTCTGACAGTTGTGCATAGTTTGATCAATTTGGATTTGGATTTTGTAATAAGTGACATATATCCATACACGCTTCTATTCTCAGAAAATATATAAAACCATATTTAAAACACAGTCTGTGTCCAATTCGTACCTGAGCGTAAGTTCCTATAACGCCAGACCCATTTTTCAAAAACTCCGCCTGTTGTTCCGGAGTACCCTGGTTAGTGACAGCCGGTACAAATAGAGCGAAATGAAGAAGAAAAGGGTTTACACTCTGCATAATCCCATCGGATATACGATAAGCATTGGATGGACTGTATTAACAAAAAAAGATTATCACACGAGTTTATTTTTAGCAACTTTATGACCTTACTTACATTTTTCTTTAAAGAAATATAACTACAATTTTACTTACGCTTGATGAGCCCTATGCTTTCGATCTTTAGAAAGTTCCAAAAATATGTCATAAAGTACGGAACCCTTCCGAATAACGTTTTCATAGCATTCCTTATGGCTGAGATATTCTTCTGGTATATCATCTTTTAATGTGTCAATGCTCAGCACCAAGTTTTCTGAAAAGTAGTCATATTTTATTTTCTTGAATCTCGTGATATAACTGTAACGAGCATTACTATTTTTTGTTTTTAATCTTTACTATCATTTTGGAGTGGGTACTTAGGTACTGGATTGTATTTCTTTACCACATATTATGCAATATATTTGAAAAAAACCAATTATACAAAATACAAAAAAATGATTAAAGACGACAGGATTAAGTATGAAAAATAATGTCTTTTTTACCTTACATATGATTTCCTCTAATATGTTCCACAATTCTACTATACAATTAACAATGCCGAATTACTAATAGTCAAACAGTAAGTAATATATTGAAAACAGTCCTAACCAAATGTTTTACATTATTGGTTTAACAAAATTAATACGCTTTTTATGTAATCGAAAATTATATTTAATTAAATAGATCTCAGTTTAAATTCTTAATATTTATTCATAATGAGATCTAAGATTTTCGCGAATACTCATTTAAATGAAACTAATATTTTCGGATTTACTACACGATTTTTATTTTTGACTATGAACTACATACTCCCGACGTTTCGGCTACTTTACAGCATTTGTTTTTATAAGACCGACTGACAGACACTCACATCTCGTCTGCCCGTGATCTCCGTTGCTGTAAAGTAGCCGAAACTTCGTAATATGTATGTAGTTTAGGGATAGGAACAGTTTTCTTAATTGAATTTCAAAAGACTTAATTTTTGATTCATTTTATGTAGTCAGGTAATAAGTATTAAGTACAATAAATGGACAGCGTAATTGATAAAGGTTTTCTGTAAGATGATGACGAGTCTCGAAGAATTTATATAGAGATTGTTATAACATAAAGGTTTTTTTGAATTCATATGATACAAAAACTTCAGTTGGTTTTAAGATAAATTATTGGTGCTTTTGGTATTAAACAAAACAGAATAAGAAGTATTTGTGAGAATTCCTGCTAACTTGGAAAAGCAACTACTTAGGCTTATCATTCAATAATATTTTTGCAGACAAATATGAAGCAAATATGTTCATTTCGATGCCACTCAAGTTTATACAAATAACCCCATTTATTATTAACTAAAAGCTCTTAACCATTATCAGATATACAAGAACATGTTATTCTTCAAAAGCAAGTCTTGTACTTATACATTTATAAAAAAAATCGATAAGTTTGCAAAGTGAAAAAAATTACCGAAACACGTTTGATTGGAATATAGCATCTAATTTTTTGCTTGATCTAAAGAGCATTGTTGCGTCATTAAAATTACAAGTGGAACGTAAGGTCAGTCAAGACGATCGAAAATTTTTGACAATAAAGTGAGTTTCTAGAGTGTTCGACTTTATTCATAAAGACCAATAGGTATATATCAAGCAAGCAATTTTTGAGTATACCTGAAAACCATTTACATAAAGGGGCATTAAGGAATAACAATATTTGTATTATGTCGCTAATCGAACTGTTATGAGTTGAAGAAGGTCATGTTACGTAGATAAATAAATACCTACATGTTGATAAACATATAATAACAATGTAGATACAAAGAGAAGATTTTTTTGTAATATATTGAATTTTAAACTAAAGAATAAATAGTACAAAAAAAATCACCGATATGTTTCCTCAATTCGGTTTTCTGTTTTCCTCCATCTATAAAATGTATTAACTCCTGAACATCGAATGTACACTTTTTTCTTTCCTTTAATAAATCCTCGTTTATTTGGACCGACATTTTAGTATGTGTTAATACTTCAAATAATAAATTTGTAATAACGAGATGCAGAGTTAAAAGCCAAAAGAACTATAACAATAGTGAACTTGAAATTCATTAGCATATAATTAATTGTTATCGCAATTTAACATAAATATTTAATTCAGTTATTTAATTTATATTGGAATTTATTTTTAAAAATATTTGATCATCATACTAGATACAGAACATTTTGCCGTTTCTTATATTAATATAATCAACTGAACGCTTCGTATCTAACGTGACAATGAAAAGAAAATACTGTTGCTTTTCTCTGTATATAAGTGAGATCTAAATTACGCATTGTATAAAAAATCAATATTTTGCATAAGAAATTATTTTAAAAACAATTAATATTCAACAGATCAGTTAACCAAAGTCCTGGCACAAGACGAGACTTCTCCGATCTTACTCTTGGTATGGCGCTTCCGCCTGTCGGGGAAGCCGTTGGGAGTGCGAAAGCGATCCCCAGGGTAGTGGAAACGAGTCCCACATACCCCGCTGTTTTCAAAAACGGCGAGGATGCGTAAATGCATTTTTCCCAAGGTTAAAAAAAAATGGTATTCCGCTTCCAGTATGGGTTTTTGTCTTGATCTCACAGAAAAAGTCTAGTAAGTTCCGCACTAAATTATGATCCTATAGATATTTATTGATTTTTACTTTTGATTTTAGAGCAACGTAAAATATTAGATACATTTTAAATATGATAGCAGATAGCCATAGTAAAGACCGATCAAATTAGTGAATGTCTAAACTTTTGAAGTAAACTGTCAGCGGGTGGGTTATGACACTACTCGTCGGTGCGGATGCTCTTCCCAAACCCAATCCTGGTATCTACCGTGTGTCATGGACTTGGACTGTTCCTTACCAAAAGATGTCGAAACACAACAAAACAAATTAATGACATTAACTTGCTTGTATATTGTAGAACATTATATGAGATGGAATAAAAGAGTTACAGTCCATTTATTTAAAAATATATTAATTAATAAATTGACTTATTAAATTTACCTTGACATTGCTGTTATATTAATTCTTTTGACCATGACGAATTGAAACGACACAATTGGCTGACTGACTGACATATACCTTTTTTTGTTACTAAAAATTTATTTTAATTCTTAACCTTGAGTTATTGCAGTGTTAACTTATTATATAATGTTTAAATGCCGCACGAAACTAAAAAACATTTTTGAATTTTAAACAAAAAACAAAAATTAACAAGTTATCTTGAACCATAGTAACAGAAACAAAGGATTTTGACAATAGCAATTACGAAATTTATTTTCGGTGCTAAATACGTGTATAATAATTTAAATAAATGACAATACATAGTTCATTTGCGTATTATGCTTTTAAAATATGTATAGGATATTTTGAGGAAAATGTTTAATTAAATCATAAGTTAGGAAAACTATAAAATTGTATTTGAGCTATAATTTTTTGCTAGCCACTGACACACAAAATCGTATTGTCTGTTAATTATTTATTCTATACCAACCGCCTCACAATGTATAAATTAATAAAATATAAGTTAGACCTAAATTGATTTACATTCATTGACGTAATTTCTTACTTTCAGTTTGTATTTATTTTGTTGCATAACAATTTGATGTTATTTCATTGTTAACTTACGCTTTTTACAGTAATTACATAGTTGTCATTTTTCCTTTTTCTACAAGTGAAATTAGAACAAGATACTATCGCTTACTTTTAGCTTAAGTCAAAACTATAGAATGTTTTAACTTGTACATACATATTCAAATAATAAAATTGAATAACTATTTTCAAAACATTCGAAATATAGTAAAGCAATGGATTCCTTGTAAACAAATATCTTGTAGTAGAATACTTTATTAATTTAAAAAGGGAAACACATAAAAGAAAAATTCCGCAACAATTTTATCGCTATGCTATTTATAAAATGCTATTAATAAATATAGTTAAGGTTTTGTTTTTTGATCATAAGATTGTTGAAAATTATCTATTAATATATCACGAGTATAAAGTAAAACATAAAAAAATATTATACTGAATCAATACCGACTACCAGATAAAAAACGTATCCAGTTTAACACGTTTAATAATTTTCGAATGCCAACCTCTTTACCTCAGAAATACTGGGTGGTTAAGTTAAATATCAAATAAGATTATTTTTGTTTTCCCACATCGAAACATTGTTAAGTTTTTTTACTTCTCAATTACTAGAGCGATTCACACCAACATTAGTTGCTACCCATGACTTGTTCGGGATTCGGCCTTACATGTTACAAAAACATTTGTATCTGTAGCCTATGGTGGAATAGAAATGTTGAGAAGACAATTTGCCAGATTCATAGTTTGTCTAGCACGTTAATAAACGCCATGGTCACCGGTGACCTTACCCTTCCTCTATCATAGCGCCATGGGGGTGCACCGTTGACCTCAGCAATGTATTTGACTGTAACTATGTAGCCCATGTACAGTATTGAATAAAACTTATTTTCTATAAGTATCGTAACATAATAAACAAATAACGGACCAAAAGTATTTTTACGATTTTTAATTTTTTGTATCGGCGTTTAACGTGCTATAATTGACATAATTGGAAAACATTTACGTCTTTATCTCATTTTTTTCAATGCATTTATTTAAAATAAAAACATCGAATACTTTTCGATAAATAAATATCTCAATTAACAAATGTATATCGAGTTAAATTTTATCACCCAAGAAATACATATTTTTTATTATTATTCATATTTTTCTACACATTATAGATCAAAAATAACACTGGTCAACACTGGTTTTGCCACACGAACTTTGATAGCAAAATTTTGTTTAATCAATCTATCCTCAATATTAAATCACAGTTTTCATAAGTCAATAAGTATGCCTTATATTTGTTGTAATACGGTAATACTCATTACTAGTACTGCAACTGTTAATAAACAGAAACGCTTACAAGTAAATCGTTATAAAAATATTTGTCGTTGAATTTAATCATTTTTTGTGATTCATTAATCCTGTGAACATGTCGGGGACGTGTAATAACGATACTTACTCTTTTTTTGTTATGTCTGTATTGTAATATAAAACTCCAGGTGATATCAAAAATATAACTCAAGACGGATTCCAGAAATTAATATTGAAGGAGACATTCAAAGAATTTTTTACCGTTTTACAGGCCATTTACGGTAACTAAAAATATTCTACTGGTACTGGACTCAAGAATGAATTTTTATTTTGTAATAAATTTTGATTTACTTATAAAAAAAAATCATAGCACAAAGAACATGTTGTGCTGACTACACGTAAAGTGGGATCATTGTAGGGAAAAGAAGAAGAAGAATAAGGAAACGTCAGAAATTAAAAATTGATAAAAAACTCTATAGCGGTCAAAACGGTATAAATTCAAACAACTATTCAATATCAGTCTTATACATATGTATATTAGGGTAGGCTTCTCTAATAAAGAGAAAATTTATTATAAGAGCAAATGTTTTTACTTTTTAACCCCATTTGACCCTTGCATCCTTTAACACGTACAACCTCCAACAATCTTACACCATATATATTAGAACCGTTAGCCTGACATGAACTCTAAGATTTTACACAAAGAATTAGCAGCAGAATAATAAGTATTATATCACGAAAGAAATGTTGCTATATAAGTTCTTGAGCCATCAATATTAAAGTTCATATAATATTATTATTATTAAAAATGTACAATTAAGTAAAAAATAAAATAATTTTCTGCGATTTGTTTTTGTCCAGATGCTGCATTCAAAAACATCATAGTTTTCCTCGCAGGAACGGTTTGAGATATTTGTGAAAAGAGACATTTACTACATCAGCATTTAGAGGACATTTGAGGGCTTCTTCCATCAACCTTTCGTAAACACGGCCATCATAAGCTCCCAGTGTTGATTGCAGAAACTATAAAACATAAATTTTAATAATTACATCATTTAAAACACATTAATACATGACAGGATATTAACAGTCCGTTTATAATCATAAGTAGCTATTCATATTTCAACTAATTCATATATACAATGAGACAATTTAATAAAAAAAAATATCAGTGTTAAAGAGAATCACAAAGAACTTATTGATATATGTAAATATTTCTTAAATACAAATCATACTTACATCGTCTCTAATATCAAACGCGTCAACTATACTAACTGCGTTAGGTCGCAACTTTATTAAAATATCTTCGTACCACCAACGTAATCCTTCCAAGTCTTCTTTACTTATACGTGTATACTACAATCATTAAATATAAATTCCAATATGAAGTTGGTTTAATCACAATCATGAAACAATATTACCAGATTTCTCAAGTGCCCAATAGACTGCATATAATTCTAAAAGCTGGTTAAGTACGACAGCTAATTCTGGAGAAGAACTTTTACTTTTCTCTTTTATTTCCTCGTCGAAATTTGACAGTATTATAACTCTACAATGTGCCTGAAAATTAGCCCGATCATTATTATATTCTACTTTTTATAAAGGTCTATAAATTGTATAATCGAATGTACCTCCGCTGCTGAAACCAATTGTACTGAACTCATATTCCAGGCGTCTTCAAATGATATTCCAGACGAAACCCGCTTTTCCATATCCTTTACGCAAGATTGAATTTTTCTACAAGACAATCACATTAAGTAGCCTGATAAAAACTAAATTAAAAAGTACTTTACAGAGAAATAATTTTATTTATTTACTTAAGATTATGGGCTTAAAACTATAAAGAGATAGAAAATACCTGCGCCCTAAGTCAATGTACCATGAATCTTAAATATGAACCTTTCTCTAGTTTAGAACCATTATTTCGAAGAGAAGTGATTTAAGAGATTCAACTATTTATGCTGTTGGTGAATGAAAAATCATAAGTCATAATTTTTGTATTCAACTCGTCACAAGGGTGGCGATAGAATATTATGTTTTATTAAAAAAAAAATGAATCCTTAAAAAGCATCGGTTTCCTCTTAAATAATAAATTAGTTTAAGATTCAAGTATTTTTTTTACTTTAAAACACTTACGTACTTCATTGAAATGATCTTAAATGCTTTTATGATATGTTCAACAGAATTTTCCCACTTGCTGCAACCTTCATTTACGGAATATTTCAAATACTCCACGGTGGGTGTTAATTTTATACTATCAACTTGTTGCCATGTTTTTGCAAGAAATCTAAAAAAAACCATTTGCAATGAAATCACAAACATAAGGTGTAAAAATTTAGTAAGTATACAAAAGTTGTCAATACAATGAAGTGATAGAATACATTCTTAGTTATTAAACTAAAAGATAATTTTTTTAAACCCATTTATTTATATTTTTACATGCTTTGGGTTGTAGTCATTACTGTAATAGTCATGCTTAAACAAAGAATTTAGTAAAATACGAAGAAAATAAATAAAAGTCCGTTGACTACTGTTCTCTCTTTAATGACTGGTAATTTAAAATAAAATCTCTGGTATGCAAGGGATTCTCGTCTTCTCTTTTAATGCTATCGCAGACATTTTTTCGCATAAGATGAGCATTATAAAATCTAATGACCTATCACGATTTTTATAGAGTTCCATATATCTAAACTAATTCACTGGATAACCAGATTCTAATGACTTAAAATGCACAACAAGAGAAGAGTTATTTGTATACTCCAACAATTCCTTTTAGTAACCCATCCAAATCACGTGCAACAGATGCTTGTTTACTACTCCTGGCCTGTCAATGTAACCCAAATACTCCGTTGCGTCTCTATATGTTCATTACCTGGCCGTCTGTAGTAACATGACGGTGTTCTCTCCCTCGTAGGTGCAGGCGGCCGTCACCAGGCCGTAGGTGAGCGGCAGGTTGGACGACAGCATGTACCCGTGGCCGCCGCACGACAGACGGCAGCGCTCCACGCACTGAGCCGCGTCTGATGTACTCACGGCTTTCAAACAGCATGCCAAAGCATGAAGCTGGAAAAAGTAAGAAAATATTCAAAAAAGGACTGATTTTGACAAAATTCTTCAATAGAACATGAGTATTCTTATTAATTAAGTCAACATTTTATTTTGAAATTCGAAAAAGTTGTAGTGTTTGTTTAAATTAATCCTTATACTCTTACGAACAAACCATAACAATAAGGCAGGTTTATAAATGTTAGTATAACAGACCTCAGGAAGCCTCTCCAGGTTGCCCTCAATAAGTTGTTCATTTATAGTATTGAATGTGTCCCACAATTTTTTTCCAGCAATACGAAGAGCATGGCTTGTAGCTATCGCAGGAAATATTTTATGTTGTTGAGTCAAATAATCAAGAATTTGACACTCTTGTTCACTAAAAATTATAACGGTTTTATAATAAGTAATTTTTAGAAAATGTAGCAATAAAATTATTAAATCTTTTATAGTTATAAATACTTTTATAACTATAAAAACGGATAACTATCCGTAGCTATAAACAATACCTATAGAAACACTCTAATTTAAATTACTTCCACCAGATGGAATTACACCCAAATACCATCCAGTTCATATTCTGAAAAAATCATCAAGATGATATTTCACAGTACATATGTTAAGATTTCTTAACTATTCTTACCCAGGTCTTTTCTGTGACTGTCTGCGCACAGCTGAATATCTGGTAGCAATTGTTGCCGCTTTACATAAATAATTGGCAACGTCAAAAACAATCACTACCCTTGTGAAAACCATCGGTCCATAGTTTAATTTACTATTAAGTGATTTAATGTAAGTGCCATCCTGGAAGAATAACAAGGTTTATAAAAATAAGCAAGGGGTTAAAGCTAGACTGATTTTATTTACCTCTAAAACCTGTGCGTGTTTCATTAACATTTGATCTCTAGGTATTCTGACATGATCGAATCCTAAAAATCCATTGTTAACTTCATTAAGCCCTAATTTCGCTCCGATATCACCGATTTTAATCCCCGGTAAAGGAACATGTGTTTCTTCGTCTCTTAATTGGACAATAAATGGATGTATTCCATGGCATTTTCCCTTCGTGTAAAGTTGAGCGATCAGTATACAATAGTTTGCAGTATGACCCACTGAAAAGTGAAGTTTACGTGAATTTTCCAGTAATCTATAACTTCGAAGTTTTTTAGTCGTTTTTATAATAACTTACATCCTCCTGGCCACCACTTATAGGAGGTGAGTGAAGGGCTGTGTAGAACAAACTCCTTGGTGGAAGGATCGTAAGTAGCTGTTGTTTCCAGACCGCGAACAAATGTACCATGACCCAGCTCAGTCTGAAATAAATTAAAAAAGAATATATTCTATTCTGTATTCGTTGATTTGAAAATCCTTAAGTAGGCCTTCCTATCCATCTTTCCATTGTAATTGATTTATTTTTTTGTGTGTAAATTAATGTATATACAAAATTTTGCCACATTAATTTCAAACATACCTGAGCGTAACTTCCAATAATGTTGCAGTTCCAGGATCTCGGCAGCCATTTAGCCTGTTGCTCATCATTAGCCTGAGTTATGATGGTCGGCATAAACATTATATAGTGAAGACCTAATGGAGATCCGTCGCGTACTAATGTTGAGCCTAGAATTTGAGTTACCACATCCCTGCAATTAATTAATCTATTATGTAAAACAACTGTACCTTAACATAAATCATTATACCTTAAAATATTTTCATTTTTATTTTTTAAAAATAAATTCTTTAAATTGAATTTTTCCCAATCTTCTGAAAAGTTCTCTATGTAACTATGAAGCTAATCTGTCACTGAACTGCTGTAATTCGTAGGTAGGTTTTGATTTTTATTTCTCTAAAGTCGAAACACATAAAAATATTTGATAAATACAATTCTATAATCATTATACCGCACAATATTATATCGTGTAAGTAACCACTAATAACAAAAGGACTTTTCCAATTCCAAACTTAAAAAGCTAGTTTGAGTAGGACAGTAAGCATCTGACTCAAAAGGTATCACTGAAAATTAACTCAGAGAGTCTACACGCGGAAAGAAGTGGTTTACAGAAAAAAATTATATTAGTTCAAAATTATTGTCGAGATAGTATGTAGTGCTAATACTAGTAAATATTTTTTCAAGAGTAAAGCAATTGCATGTAATTTTTAATGTATATGTATATATACATTTTAGAGATAAAGAAATAGAATAAAAGCAAAATTATTAATATTAAAAAGGGTAGCCAATGGCCAAGTTTTTTTTGGTTCATTTTGATAGATCAAGTATACGAGACACTTTTGTAGCGTGTAATTGAGCAACATATTAAAAGGACAAGTTGACTGAGATGATTTTACTTAACAATTAGACATTTGAAAAATCAGAAACCCTTTAGTCTTTACATGTTTGTCAAACATCTCAACGTGAAGGTGGGGCCTTTACTCAAACTAAAAAAAATATCAAAAAACTATCTGTCTAGGTCAAGAGCGTCCGACCTAATGAAGAAATCAAACTCGCTTACGTACAAATTTATAAAGAGCTCCTAAATTTAAAGTTGGTTTATTGTCAGTATTCATATTTTACAAAACACTTTTAAAACAAAGGTGTAAAAAATTCAGACCCCCATTAAAACGATGATATAACAAACTTCACTGAGACTTGTTTAGCTTATAATATTTATTATGACGAAATATTCGAAAATAAATATCATTTAAATGTATTATTGTGTGAGTGACAAAAATATAAAGGTTATATAAAAGAATATCTATATATTTGTACTCTGTAGATTTATCCTCGGGTTCATCTACTAACCTGGATGCGTTTCTTCTAATCCAACTGAAGTAATAAATAAAAAATATTTTGCCTTAGTAATGAAATCCTATTTTATGTCATGTAACATGTTTCTACTATAAGCGCAATATAACCCGGTATTAAGATAGGTACATCATGAATCATCTGATACTACCTTAGCTCTCTTCCCAGAAGCTGTGCTTCCCAGAATGCAAATTTAATAATTAGAAATAATAATGTACAAAGCACTAGAAGAGTAATTTCAAAACTTAGTTTTGCCCCAACTTTGTTTTGTAACGGTCACCATCAATGAAAGTTAGTATTCCGCAGAAAAGGTTGATAATTTGATCTAAAGTTAGAACTTTGAGAAAAAAACAGTTATTTTTACTTGTCCTATACATGAAACTAAATATATACACAGTTAAATAAATATAAATATTTTATAATTGTATTACAGTCTAGACAAGTAAATTAACCGGTCATAGACCGAGAGGGAAAAATTAATAACATGATAAGCTAATTAAAATGATAATAATGCATGAGTAGATAAATATTTACATTCTCCTGTCGTGCAAAAAATTTAAAATTATTAAACATTATCTTAGCCAGTTAACAAGACCTAAAAAAGACCTAAGTGTCAAGCGAAAAATCAAATAACATATAAAAGTGAAATTTAATAATCCAATAGCCAAGTTCGAATTGACTTATCGAAGAACTAAAGGAGTCAAATTGAAAATATTAATACCGTCAATGTATATTCCATACAGAAAAAGCTATTAGGTAATGTTTTGTAGAGCTTCAAACTATTCCTATATAATGTAACTAATAAATCTTCCGACTTATATTTCTTATTTAACGTTAACATAAAAAATACAGGCAATTTAATTAGTATTTTACTTATAAATCATGCTATCTCTGTTGGTGACCATACTAAATACTATATAAATAAATATACATTCGTGTTTACTTGCCTGTAATTTGAAACCGTCATTTTCCCTTCGTTCTGCATTTGTCGGAAAAGTTGAAAAATGATTACGGACTTCCTGATGCACTGTTCATATTTATCTTTGTGACTTAGATATTCTTCTGGGACACCTTCAAACAGCTCCTTTTTACTGAGCAAAAAATTTTCTGAAAGAATAACAATACAGAGTATGAGAGTAAACGTTTAAATCTCCTAAAACTCCTTAAATTAAATAACAGTACAAAACTAACATATACTTAGTCTTTCCATAAAAACTATTACAATTAATAATAAAGAATATATTAGTTTAAATTTAGAATCCGTTACTTTTTATATGTTCGTTCATTGTGATTTATTATTTCCTCACCACTATATTGTAAAATGTTTTTTGATAAGTCAATAGAATGAGGTAAAAAGGAGAAGGAAATACCTGAGCTATCACTATGTAAAGTAAGTATAGAGCGAAAGCATCCAAAAAAATCCTGTCTAAAAACAAAAGATTTTATCTCAGAAGATGAAAATAGAATCCAGAAACACGTTTCTGGATTTCAAAAGATGACTCTTGACATGCAGTTTATGAGAGACGCATTGAACATTTATTAACCAATGGCAGCGGTCATAAAATCGACACAATTGTTTAAATACGCAAAGAGAGATTACAGAAAAAATTTAATAACGGATGAGCAAATTGATGTAGTCGTAGTGGCCTAGAGGTGAGAGGGCGCGGGTTCGAAACCTGGCAAAGTACCAATGTGATTTTTCCGTGTCATATGTACTTTCTGAGAGTATTTAGAAACCACTGACAGACGGTGAAGGAAAACATCGTGAGCTAACCTGGACTTATAATTTCAAAATATAATTTTGAAATCACCAACTTGTTTCGAGCAAGTGTGGTGATTAATGCTCAAACCTTCTTCATATGAGAAGAGGCCTTTGCTCAGCAGTGGGCTCTGATAGATTGATGATGATAAAATTGTTATAATTGTGTAATATTTTAACAAGCAAAATGAGCGTCTTTATGATAAAATCTTTAAAGAAGCATTCCAGTCATTCAACAATATCAATTAATTATTCGACTTCAGAAATAGTATATTGTGTGATCCTTTGAAAGACTCACTGAGCCTTATTTTATAGGAAAAGGTTTCAAAACATCATCACAAGTTTATTAAGATACCATATATAAAAAAGTAGTTTAGCCTTTAAGTATGTTTAATGACTAAAAAGGTCCATACAGTAAGATTTGACGGCGGAACATAAAGCTCGATCCATTCAGATACAGTCGGTAATAAATTTTAAGGGTTTCTGAAGGTTTCTTATTATCAAATCCAGTTCTTGATTCACTAGACTAAGATTTATGGTCAGCTTTAAAGAGTAAATCTTGCTCTAAATGCTATCATAACTTAGACTTCCTAAAACAATCTACACGATTGACACTGAAGAATTATCTTAGAAAAAAACTTTATGGAACTGTATTGCATCCACTGCTGACCTTTTCGAGTAAGCTTTACTCATTTTATAGGTTTCATATTAATATATTCAACTAAAACACTGTAATCATAATAAAGGTTATGTAAACTAAGACAGAAGTAACTTTTCGTAACGATATTTTAACAAACAATCATACTAAGTATGTAAATTAAAGAAATGACTTTTTTGAAACTCATATAAATCTAATGTTTAATTATTACAACAAAGGTACTTCAGAAAACCAGGTTTTTCTTTGTTATGAATATACGAATGATGCGGAACTAAATAGTATATACATAAAATATAACTGTTGACCTTAAGTAACCTACTAGTCAAGCATATAGACGTAATCTTTAGTTATGATTTTAATTATTTTATCTTTTTTCTAATATCCAATATATACTGAGTTATGTCGTCAAAATTATTATATTTACAAACGTATACAGCGAAATCAATATTCATAGTTTTGTTAAAACCAACATTGTAACAGTAAGCAACACTTCAGGCAAATTTCAATACAATGCACTGAGTTCGAACATCATATAAATTGTAAATTCGTATTTCAAATATACTAAATTTCTGTCCTACAACTTCATTTTTTGTCTACAACAATTATTATAATTTTGTATGAACAAAAAATTGTATTTATATAAAATGTCCTTGATAATGGCTGGTGTCCCAAACAAATGAATTAATAGTAACTAGAATAATATAATATGTAATGACGATAAAATCTAAATTAATAATCCCTTTTAGACAAGATAAAGGGAAAAACTATGTATAAGGCCAAATATTTACCTGAGAACTAATCTGATTAGATAAATACATAGTTTAAATAAATTTAACATTTAACTACGTTTTATAAAATCACATGATCATAACATACCTACTTACGTCATATTCCATTATTCTACTACTATTCTACTACCTATACCTAAAAATAGCTAGCTTCATGAAGTGTTTGTCAACTTAATCTAGGTCTTTAAACTTTACTGTCAATACACAAGTCATTCAATACGTCCAGTTCATGTTTTTATAGAAACGTTTCTGCCTTTATATCAATAAGATTTTACAAATAAAAACATACAAAACCAAATCCAAATATGTAACTAATTAATATCACTAAATCTATCATTTAAAATTACGTAAATATATATTGTATGCTACATGAAGCTGCTGCTAGATATGAAAGTATAAATAACTTATAACATAAACATATTAATCAAAACAAAATATATATTTACCTCTTTCTCTTCTTTCCTTCGTTTTTTCGGGCCCCCCATACACGAACTCCGTCAATTCTTCAATATTAAAAGTACATTTTTTCCGCTCATTTTGTAAATCACTATTTATTTCGGTCATGTTAAAACAGACGTGAATTCTGTGTTAGAACTAGTTTGGAACTAAACGACAAGTAGGTATCAGTAATGACCAAACCACTTCTCATAAATATATATATTATGAGTACATATGTATTTCATTCATTCATATAGTTATATAAATGAATGAAATACTTTAAATAATTCAGTTGCATAAGTTCAATGTTTTATCATTAAAAAGATAATACTAATTATATGTAAAACATTTTTAACATATTAAATAAATATTAATATAAGCGAAAAATATATGTATTATAAAGTTATGTTTTTACACAGATGTCTGAGAATAAAATTCCATAAACAGTTCCGTAACTTAGTACCAACTTTTTGTACTTGCAAAAACTTGCTTAACATAATAATATAGAAATATTACTAAATTTTAATTGGACGAAGATGCGCTTACAAAGACTCGCAATAATATCTAATTTAAAATTTCGTGAGATGCTAAACTCACTGAGAGCTTTTGTTTTTCTTATGCCTGATATTATTATTTAAGAAAAAGACTGTAACATAAATTGTATAAAAACAACTTATTTTCATCAGTGCACCACCATATGTCTTTGAATATGTGCTAATAAAAGACGTACACATTTTTATTTTTAACCAGACTATTATTCTATGCCACAGATTCATTATAGAAACAAAACGTGACAAGAATACTTCCCTATACATTGTTCTTGATAAAAAATATTATGAAACAATATGAATATTTTGTTAGTTAGGTACTTACATAATTTCTTGCATTGAAGTCATAACGTTTCCTTTCTGACGTTGTTGGAAATAAGATTTCTTTCTTAAGTATGTTGGCATTTATCGCCAGCATGATTACGAACCATAAAGTCATCATTAGTACTTTAGACTGTGGCAACTTCTTTTTCTTTACAAAGCATAATTCTTTTCGGAAGTTGTATGCTGTTGTCACATTGGTCCAGGTACTTCCACTTCAGGGTCTTAGGCCTCGGCCTCGAATTTTGCGGGCAGGGGAGCGGCAGCGGCGGCGGCACGGAAACGCATACTATTCTCCAAACTAGCGGGCAGCGGGCACCGCTGTATTCGAGGGTCGGTCCATTTGATTATACGCGTAAGATCCTGCCGCTCCCGCTGCCGCCCCGCTGCCCGCAAAATTCGAGGCCGAGGCCTTAGGCTCCGCTACAAACCTCTATAAAGATACAGTGGCGGCGTAAGGCGTGGGCGACGTGGGCAACCGCCTACGGCCTCGCGGCACAAAGGGCCTCGCGCCTCAAAAAATTTTAAAGCGAGAATAAAAAAAAATCTTGTTCTTCTTCTGCTTCCTGGCAATTTCCCAGTTATAGGCAGGGTCTGCCTTACATGTTGTGATTAGTTTTGGCTATTTGTTTATACGACCGGTCGCCTGCCTGACCTCAACCCTCTTTGGAAATCAGAATTAATTACCTAAACCTATTTTAATAAGAATAGTGTGTTTAATGTTTTAATATTTAGCGAATAAATAGATAGTGTTTAAGTATATTGATTGCCCTCGAAAACAGTGACGTTTTTTAATTGTTTTTATTTTCTTTGTGATTTGTAATTACACCGGTACCTGTACTCGTCTATTTTACATAAAGTAAGAAATATTTAATCCATACTAATATTATAAAGCTGAAGAGTTTGTTTGTTTGTTTGAAAGCGCTAATCTCTGAAACTACTGGTTCGAATTGAATAATTCTTTTTGTGTTGGAAAGTCCAGTTATCGAGGAAGGCTGTGGGCTATATAACATCACGCTACGACCAATAGGAGCAAAGATATAGTGGTAAATGAGAAATTATTTCATCTTTAAAGCCTTCCGTTGCGTGCGCCGTGAAAACGGTTCAAGATACACAAAAAATATGTATTAAAGAATAATAGCTCTTTTAATGATCTAAAAAACAGTCCTGGACAGTATATGTCTATCTTTTAAGATTAACTCACAAACACCGTTTTTATGGTACCTAATTTGGTCGAAATAATTTGTTTAAGTTGTATCAACATAATAATATTAATCTTTATTCAAATAAACAAATAAATATGTTGTTGGTTAAGAGTACTTCATTGTGAATTAAAAAAAAACATAGGTCTTATCCTGAAAATCCTACGGGAACTCGACCATTCCGAAAACCCCGCAACAACGGGAACTATGTGGGAAGAACCAAAAATCTGCCGGAAGTCACTATTCCACGCGGAAGTCGCGGCAAAAGCTAGTTGGTAATAAGTATGTAACGCAGTAATTACTTGTATACAAAATACGCTTTACAATATCTTTTGAAGGAAACCAAAGCTTGAAGGGTAAAAAACGTATCTACGTTTAAGTTTTTAAAACTAACAGGTTAAGTAAGAGCTTCAAGTACCCATAGAATAGGGCCTCGCAAAATCTGTCTTGCCCACATCAAATTTAGGTCTTGCCCCGCCACTGTAAAGATATATATTGTAGACCACATTAACACCACCACACAACATTGTTTAACACCAATCTAGTCAACCTTAATAACAGACGTAATTTAACTAGCCTCTAGGTCTTTATATAATTCACTTTGAAATATGCGCAGGACTTAAGTGATTTATCATTGTACCCCTTTTTCGTAACGGGCGATTCTTTTCTCCATTCCTAATTTATTCCCACAGCATGAGAATTGAAAAAGTTTGCCAGACTTTTTTTTCCTTTCCTAAAATTATTTCCCTTACCGAAAAGTCAATGTTTAATCACAAAGATGGTGCTGTAATCACCTTTAGGTTCATTTCCAACCAACGTCAGGTCAAATAATACTCAAATACTATATTTAGTTTGTATAAATATTAGTTTTATTAAAATAAAGTAAAAGTACCACACATTTATTGTCATTTCACTATATAATGGCAAACTTGAAGATATGTGGTATAATGTGTGTAAATTTAGAGGTGGAAGAGGCTAGAGCGTAGTTGTATTCAAGTAACTACAGCTCGAACATGGGCTGGCTCGACCGGGGAAGTACCACTCTCTCACAGAAGATCGGCGTGAAGTAGCCGTTAGTGGCTGCGTTTCGTTCGATGAGAGAGTCGATGTCCTCTTCCCTATTCCGACCGGTTCCTGCTATTTCCCTATTCCCACACCTTCCTTTTCCCCAACAACGGCAACATATCCGCAACATCTATATTGCAGATGTCCATGGGCGACGGTCACTACGGCCCATCAAGTAGGCCGTCTGCTCGTTTGCCACCTTTGAAATTAAAAAAATATCTACGTCATTTTAGAACAGCTGATATTTTTACAAGGCTTCGTCGATATTACCCGTACATTGCTAAAACCATCGCAAAGAAACTGGCTTATAGTAGATTAAAAAAGCATTGAAATCGATTAATCCATTAAGGAATTTCGATGCCACAAACACATAGACATGGACATCTAACTTAGAACAGCCCTTTTATTACAAAATTAGTACAAAATGTAATATGTAGAATATTACATTAATAGAATTTTATTAAACTAATAAATTGCAAGCCATCCTTGTTTTTTTAAGTAACAAGTGTTTTTACATCTCTTAATCATAATTAATTGTTTTTCACTGAGTCTTAATTATCTCAGAATTAGCGCTTCACATATGAGTATACATATAGATGTAATAGCTTTGAACAGAAGACTTGTTGTGATCTCAGAAGTTTTTTATTCTACAGACAATTATTCATGTCAGATAGTGGCCTCTTATATTTAGAGTTGCCATGTATTTGGCAATGGAGTGAGATAAAACAAGTGTATCCATTACTTTCTTTATCCTTATTAAATTTTTAATCCTGTCACACAAAGGGTCTATGTTTTACAATCACAATAATCATATTATGATCAAATCGAATTCCAGAAAAAGTTATAACAATCATTGTAATCTTAAGATATGTAAAACAGGATTAAATTTTTATCAACCCCACAGGCTGCACGTTTAAATAAAATTGGACGTAGGCTCAAGATAATAAGATTTCCTAGTTTGTGTCTCATTCGAAACTAATAACCATATTTTATCGTCATCAATAAATAGATAATTTCCAAACTTAATATTCTCTATATTACATATCAGTGTCATGAAAATATTTGTACATTATAAGGAGCTTAAATAAAACCTCATTTGCGCTTAAAAGCCTTTATTTATAATCTATCACTTCTTAGCGGTGACGGCGGCCTCGTCCTCGCGGGCGAAGGTCTGCAGCAGTTCTTCCTTCTTAGCAGCAATACGCTCCTCGCGCCGCTTGCGTGCTTCCTTCACCCTATTACGACGGGCCTCCGCTTGATCGCTGTGGATTTATAATAAATGATATAAATAACAAATCCCTACTAATATTATAAATGCAAAAGTAACTCTGTCTGTCTGTTACGCTTTCACGCCTAAACCACTGAACTGATTTTAATGAATTGATACAGAGATAGAGTTGACCTTGAGAAAGATTATGTTATAATCCTAGAATTTTGAAAGGTTCCCTTGGAAACGCGATATAATCGAAATCCACGCGGGCGAATCTGCGGGCGGAAAGCTAGTCATACATAATGCCAATTAATGAATCTCTTGACACTTGTATGGTAGTAATTACTGAAGTAAGGGCATGATACAATAAAATGTCTTTATATCAGTTTACAGCAAGCTTTATATAAAACTGGGAAAATATTATTCAGAGTTTCATTATCATCCTACTATCCTACTAATATTATAATTGCGAAAGTTTGTGAGTGTGTGTGTATGTTTGTTATTTCGTCACGCTCACATGGATGAACCGATTTTGAAAAAAAATTATATACAGGAAGCTGACGTCCAGGAATAACACCTAGGCTACTTTACATCCTGGAAATCTCAAAATCCGCGGGTAACACCACGGGGCGCGGCTAGTAAATAACAATACTAGTAAATAGTTACAATACCTTAACATCTTAGTCCTGGCCTTCTCAGCCTTCTTCCTGTGGATGTACTCCATCAACACACGCTTGTTCTTGAACACATTACCCTTAGCCTTCATGTACAGAGCGTGGTACAGATGTCTGTCAATCTTCTTTGCAGTTCTGTACTTGAGGAGCAATTTACGGAGAACCCTTTGTCTTTGGACCCAGAGTTCCTGAAAACATTTTATAACTTGAGTCGCATTCATATGCATTAAACATTATTTAACATTTACTAATTAAATTAATTGAATTGGGAGTAATTACATATATGCATTAAGAGATCTACTTAAGAGAGAATTATATTAACAAGTTGAAATATAGTAAGTTAAAGAATCTATCCTAGTATATTTCCCAATAGAATAGCAACAAATATATCTACATTAAAATTAAGCTGCATGACATCGCAAGTTATACATACATACATACATTACGAGTTAAATATAATAGTATAACAAAGTCAACTCACTTTCTGTGGCATCCGAGCATTGGCCGTACCTCGTCTTTTACCAAAGCCACAGTGACGACCTTTCCTCCTCGCCTCGGTGTTTTTGCGGACTCGAGCTCGAGAATGTACAGCAACTGGCTTCTTGATGACGAGACCATCCTTTATCATCTTACGGATGTTCTGTCCTGGAATATTCAAATAATTACATTTTAATATCGTCTAATATCTATAATTATCATTCATTCATACCTATTACATATATATACATATTGATCTAATAATCTTCCTTTACCATTCATTCATTTACTCCTAGTACATATATATACATATTTATCTCATATAGTGACATCTTATGAATGTTTTAGAACATAAGACGGCATACTCTCAATATTCAATCACTTCAATACAAATAAATTGCTACAAGTAGATATTTTTATTGTTAATAGAAAAATCTATAATAACTTTGATCATGTTTGAGTATTCACTCATCATGATTATAAAATTCCATGTTATATTTTTCTATAACTAATAGCTGTATGAATACATATTAAATTGCACCTTTGTAGCTATAGGCTATAATTAATAATGAGTAGGTATTAGGTCTTGGAAAACTGACATTAATAGACAAAGATATCATAAAAAATAGGAAATGTTTTTTTTTTTGTTATGAGATTGGTTAAAATAAACTGAAGAGAATTAAGACTGAAGGAAGTCCATTATAGTCCATTCAGATAAGTAAGTATATATTATATATATAGTATATATTCCCAAAAGAGGGTTGATGTCAGGCAGGCGGCCGGTCGTAAAAACAAATAGCCAAAAACTATTCACAACATGTAAGGCAGACCTTGGCTGTAGCTGGGAAATTGCCAGGTAGAAGAAGAAGATAAGTAAGTATATATCTGAATTTTTTGATATGTATTTACACATATTAATTGATTCAGCTTACAAGAGTATAACTTGACCGCTTAAGGTTGCTTGAATATATCAATAACAAAAATAAGTGATACAAGAAATATTAATTGGTAAAAGATATTTAAATTTAAAGCTTTTAAGATTTTGAAGGTGCAAAAATGAATGGTTCAATATATCACCTACTTTATAACTACAAGTCATATATTTAAAGTTTATTTCTTAACCATTGCTTGTTTCTCAAATAATTCTGCTAGAAATGGTAAGCTAAATTTAGCTCTAAGAATATCAATATAAATCCTAAATATAATCTTATAGTTCTAAAAAACATTAAACCATCTCTAAGTCTGTAGCAACACAAAAGATGGAAAATATTGGGAAATAACTGTACTGCTATGGATTTGAATACACACACAAGCACAGACACATAATACGGAAATATATTTTAAAGTCTTTTGTTATAGTAATATTTGTAAAAGAAGAGACACTTAAGATTCGACAAGTCTTGGGTTAACCACATTTACTTACGGGAATTGGTGTTGGCAATTTCATTGATTTCATTTGGATCCAACCACACCTTCTTTTTACCACATCGCATAACAGAGGCTGCGAGCCTCTTCTGTAGTTTTAAGGAACTGAAAATAATTTCATAGTGAAAATATTTTTTAAGACCACATGGCTATGCAGGCCGCCAATGTTGACAACTACGTGTTGAATATTCAACTCATGAAAATTTATTTTTACGATAAGTCCTCGAAAATCTAGGACATGATTCAAGTAGAAATTAACAGTTAAATTACTAAAATTTATATTAATTTTATGGAACTAACCTCATCGTGACACGGTGAGAACCAACGCATACAAGAAAGAAATATGGCTGTTTTTAGACAGACAACGTAGACGCAACAGATAATGTAAAAAAATATTCTAAGACTCAACAGATGTTGATATTAGGAATACAATTATAAAAGTAAATTATATTATATATTTCACATTTTATGTATAAAAAACTTTATTTTAAGGAAAATTCACTATTTGAATAAAAATTGTAATTTAAAAATGTTGAACGAACACAACGTAACACTGATGAAACTCCAGACATCTGTTGAACTGTCAATTCCTGAAAAGCCATTCATAACAACAAACAAAGCGAATTGAAATATTCCTGGTTTTATAATTATTTAATAATATTATATCATCAATATTTTACATGGTTTCTTGAATAGATAAAGTATTTATGAAATATAAGAAATATTCAAGTAAATTTAAAGATTGTGCAATATCTGTTATTTTTTTTAATCAAAACAATCATTATTGCCCTATTTTCTCTCCTAACTACATTATCGGAGCTACAAATAACGGCCCTTGATAATAATGTGAAAAATTGATAAATGCGTAACATCGAATCTTTGTACTTGTTTGCGTCATACGTTGGCACTGCTAATTACAAACTTGTTTCGCAAACTGCAAACGGACGTAGTAACTCTTAGAAACCTTAGTCCGAGTTTAAACGAAGAGAGGTGACGACGTGTGCACTTTTTTCCATTGTTTACGACATCTTCAAAAATGGTGCCTAATAAAATAAATGCCGATTTACAAAAAGAAAGGGATTCTTGTAGTTTTAATGTCACCGAATTAACAAACTTAATTGATGGAGGCATTGAGAAAACTGCCGAAAGAAAGAAAAGAGGTAATATACTATTCATAATTTTTTTTTCTAAAGTGTTATTTGCAATTTTTTTGTAGTAGGTATATATAACAACACTAAATTATTATTAAAAAAGTTTTCAAGCATTGATAATTAAATGCGATTTTTGTTTGATATTATCTGTAAATTGTTTCATACAGGCTGTTTTAAAAACAATCATACAACTAAAACCTTTTAAATGGATATGAATCGAGACAATGTTGTGCATAAATTAAATGGAAAATTATTTAAGTTACCAACAGTGAGATCAAAGATCAAATCACACTTATCTCAATACATTATCATTATTCATGTTAATAACTATTGGCAAAAATTATTTATGTTATTTTTAATTTATGGACTATGACCAGTTTCTCAATGTGATACATTTTATTCTTTGTGTTTACACTTGACACTTATTAAATATATGGAATGTTTGGCTACCATTAATTTGATATTTTTTTCTCAACCATGGAATTTTTGTTAAAATTATGGCAAAGCAAGACAATGGTAAAGAACCTTGTCAATTCAAATTATGTCTCATTAAATTGTCATATTTCTTTGAATTCTTAGAGGATTTTTATTATTTAATACATACATGCTAACATAAAAAGTATATATCCTTTCTTTAAAATAGATAAACATATATTCAAATACCATATTATATTTTTGTATGTTTGTTTGGTAAAATTACTTTTTATGTATTAAATATTAATTACTTACTTTCTATAAATATTCTAGAGGAAATGGCTCTTAAAGAAGGTATACACATAGACGAGGTTCCATCTGTGTATTTGAGTCACAAAGAGAAATATGAGTTAGCAATCAAAAAAGCCTGCCTATTGTTTAAAATGATCAGACGTCTTCAGGAGGAGGAAAATGCTGGCATGGAAAATTATATGTAAGTGATGCATAGATATTAAATATCTGGTAGTCTTATAAAATTTAAATAGTTTATAATATATCAGAATCACTATTATAAACTCTAGCAACTTTAATTTGAAGAATGTCTTATGATTAATATAATAAAATTTTCATGTATAAATGTCCGAACTTACCCTGTTGAAAAGAGTAACAGATTATAAATTTATTTAGTTTAGATTTTATATAGTTATGTATATAGCTTGCTGGTTCAGTTTATGAATTTGACATATGTATATGCAACTAGCCTTATAAAATATATATACTATTTTTAGTTAAAGTGTTCAATGTGTAGTGCTCAAATTTTTGTGATAATCTAAACACATTATAATAAACATGCATACAATAAATATTTAACATAATAAAAAAGCTGTATGAAAATATTACTCAGAAATTTCATAGAGTAATATAATATGAATTATTTCATTCTGATGTTTGAAGTGAAACCTGTATAGTTATATATGATTCTTATTGTCTATAGGGCAGTGCTTGGTGGTAATTTAGGGTCGGCAATTCTAGGGGATGGATCCCCTCTCACCCTCCACTATGTGATGTTCATACCCACATTGATGGGACAGGGTACAGTTGAACAGCAAGCCCATTGGATCGGCAGAGCTTTCAATCTTGATATCATCGGCACATATGCTCAGGTAAATTACGCCAATTATATTAATTGAATTTCAAATTCGACCTTGAGTTTATTAATCGATAATTATGATATGATAATGTTATCAAATCGTTATCAGGATTGAAAAAATCTGTGACATAATGAATAATAAAAACAACTTAATATGTTAAGATTTAGAAAAAATATATATACCTATTTATATGTAATATATTTTCTTTAGACTGAGTTGGGTCATGGTACTTTCGTACGCGGTCTTGAGACTACAGCTACTTATGATCCTTCTACCAAGGAGTTCATTCTACACAGCCCTACTCTCACCGCATACAAGTGGTGGCCGGGTGGATGTAAGTAATCAATTATACGAAATTCACCCACAAAATACACACATTAAAGGGATAGTATTTTATCATTATATGATCAGATCTAAGAGGTTACTAGTTAAAATTCAAAATAAACAAAAGAAAAATTTCTCCCTACTAATATTATAAATGCTAAAGTAACTCTGTCTGCTGTCTGTTACCTTTTCACGCCTAAACCACTGAACTGATTTTAATGAAATTTGGTACAGAGATAGAGTTGACCTTGAGAATGAACATAGCCCATAGGATAGTTTTTATCCCAGACTTTTGAAAGGTTCTCTTAGAAACGCGATATAACCGAACTCCACGCGGACGAAGCTGCAGGCGGAAAGCTAGTATGGCCATAAAAATCTCTATACATATATGGTTAGGATCTTAACTATATTTATTAATACTTTAATACTTTCGTTATGTGATTATTATCTCTCACGCAACGTCATATATCATGTTTACATCAGCGTTGTAATGAAAGTGAGATATCATTTACTAAAATTGTCAAGAGTTCTTAATAGTATTTGTTTGAGTAGGTTTAAAGTGTTGGTTATTTGTCGCTCGCCATTCTATCGTTAGTGCTTCGTCTGTCTGATAGACTATCGATAAATGCCGTCACAAGCGTCGGTAGAAATTATAAAAATGTGTCACATCAAGTGGAAAGGGTTAAATTTGTGAGGCCTGAATTATGGAACATTTTCAAACTTCTTCATATTTCAATTTTCCAGCAAGCCATATTTTCACATATTATTTAAGCAATCTTTTTATTAGCAAATTTCACATTTAAGCCCCACTACTTTTATCAGTGACTCTTTTCATTGAATGTACTGTTTTCGTACAAAATGTTGGACTAATAACTAATTGCAAAAGTAAAGCAATAATTATCATCTTATTTCCTTGGCATAACGCTTTCATTTATAGCAACTGTATACATAACATAATAACTGCATAACGGTAGAACATAAATTTTGTGAACATTTGATTTAATACAAAAGAAAAATTTAATTCAGTAAAAAAGGACGATTTCAATGATAAATAAACCTACATTTACTTCAAAGAGGTTTATATAATTTAAAAAGACTGTTATATGGAATACGTCATCTTTATAATTATTTAATTTCAAATCAATTTTAATAATTAGACTGTACAAAAATTATTATGATTGTGTAAGCGATGCTTTTAACAAACGCGGCAGCCATTGCAATTTCTGTGACGTCATAGCCTTCATATATGCAAGTTATAGTCAAATCAATCACCCGTCACTTCTAAATAACGTGTTTATTGATTTATAAATAGTAGGAACTTACTAATCAATACAATTTTTATTTATAAAAATAAATATTAAGTTTCTTGGTTATTATTTTCATTGAGAAATAGTGATGTAATAAGATCTAACTGCGACGATAACTTCTCAAAACCAAAATGACGAAAATGTTTAATTGTTTTATATCTATACTAGCTGCGCCCCGCGGTGTTACCCGCTGATTTCCATTTATAACTTTCGCAATTATAATATTAGCAGGATTAATCCTTTCTGGAAATTGGAGGCAAATTAGAATATACCCTTATAGGACATAAAAATACATATGACAAAATATGGAATTTAAATTAATTTTATTTATATAACAGCTGTATTAATATAATAATTTTATATAAAAAAATTGTAGCGGAAAATTCAAAACATTTTTAATTATACATAATATGTACATATTTAAATCTGTATTCAGTTTTTTTAATACCGATTTTTATTATATGTAGTTTTTCACATAAAGGGGGCGTATAAATTACGTGAGGTTTTTCCAAAATTCCCCCCCCCCTTGGTGAGATGTAGTGAGATTTTATTCAACCCCCTCCCCCCATTCCCAAATCTCACGTGAGATTTTTCAAAATGTGGTTTTTTTTACGTTAACGCGTTATTATTACAACGATCTTAATCGTATTACGATCACACTTAAGTTTAAATCTTAAGCATGTACAATCTGGATTAAATGGACTGAAATAGTATAATTTTTCTTACAATCAGAAAAAAAATAACGTGCTATTTGCCGAGACCTCCCCCCTCCCTCTAACGTAAGATTAGATGAGATTTGACTCGACTTAACCATCCCACGTATTTTATAAACGCCCCTGAAGTGTTATGAAAAAATACCTTTATTCCATACCACGAATTCCTTGGTGGTTTCTGCAAATAATAATTCGTTCAATAAATAAGAACGCTGACATTGACAAAACATGTCACGATTCCAGAATGAATGAAGCTATTATATTATATGTATCTATATACAACTTTTATGACACTATGTTATAAATTATAATAAAATATAAAATTTAAATAAATTATTAATATCTGCAGTAAAGTTAATAATGAGGGCAACGACTTACTGATAATTAATTTGCGCTGGTTTTAAACAGTATTTTTATTTAAATTATTTTCTTTAGTTCTAATATTTATTAATACTAAGTAATAAAAAAAATAAACATAATAGGATTAATTAGAATTTATCTTTCACTAGAATGTATATCATGATGTCTTTATATATGAAAGAAAGTCGTGTTAGTTACACTATTTATAACACAAGAACGGGTGTAGGGATATGGTTGAAAATTGGTGTTGAGATAGCTTAGAACCAGGAGACTGACATAGATTTAATTCTGTTTGATCGAAAAAATAAAAAAACATAATAAAATCCAATATCTGGTTATTTACCGCCTCTAGGGTGGAATAGAGTTCGCTCGGTCAGCTACACAATATTATCAATTCCGAAATTAACGAAAACGAAGTCGCGGGCAAAAACTATAGTATTAAAAAAACATGAAGGAAAATGTCATAAATCAGTTTTATACATATTTTTAATATCTCTTTAATTATTATTTTCTCATGTAATATAGGTCTGTATAGTTAATATCGAAGTTTTATTAGTTAATATACAAGTTAATAAATTCTCTGTTTATTAGTAAATTGAACTAACCATGTTTTACTCTTAGTTTAATCATTACATACAACATTATCTGAAATATCATTTTTTTATCGCTTTTATTCGTTACGACTGATTGTGATGGAACTTTCACTGGCAGATAACTCATGTAATAAAGAAAAATTTATATTTTTATTTATTCAATATTCTATGTCATATAATTATTCCATGCATATAGACGTAGTCGCGAGCACTACTAGTGTTTTATTTTAATTTATAAATCTTACTCTGTCTCGCTTAAACTCAGAGGTACTAGCCAAAAATTTAAACTGGCCATTTGGGTTTTTGAATTATTTTTTTTTTGTGATAAATGGAAAGATCATATATAAGTTTAATAACAAAACTATTTTTATTTTATTTTTTTTTGCAATATTTAAAAAGTTATTTCAAAATAAAAATTAAATTTTAAATTCAGTACCGAAGACAAGCCGACAGCTCGTGAATAAACCCGAGCGCGTGTGACGTCACAATGTTAGTTTTTGCTCATTGTAGCATACAGAGATATAATAATTAGTACAGTGTTTTGAGTTTTTATCTAGTAAATTCTGTTGGCATTGTTAAATAATCAAAAGTTTTGTACCATTATGTACAAAGACTACAAAAACAACTCCTGAAAAAATGTTTTTAAATGTTCCACAAGACGAAAAACGTCGAAAGAAATGGTTTCAAGCAGTGCATCGAGATTATTCAAAAACAAAATCATTTTTTTTTGTTGTGAAGATCATTTCGTTGTAAGTTTTCATAATAGTATTGTTATTAATTATTATTTATCTAAGTGTATAAATCGAATAAGTATAGTTCAATAATTAATTTTTTTACCTGGGCTCCAAATCATAACCTTTAGAATCGTAGCATTAAAAAATTTTAATTGATTATTCAAAGCGATTAAATAGTAAATCTATATATATGTTTGTCTAATAATTGGACTTCAATTAATAGATATTTTCATAATTTTATAACATTCTAGGTTCTGTATCAGACTACATTTAAATTTTTAAAGTACATATATGTTATTTTGGTTTTTTTATAATGTTATAATAACATTTTATTAATAATGATTTAATGAAATAATTATTAATTATATTTAATAGAGAATAAATACTAATTTTCATTTAGAATAGTATTTTTTGACAGACTTACCTTGATGTCTTAGCACCTCGACCTTCAGCAAAATTAAACCGCACTTTTTAAAAAATTAGTTATCATAAAAATATATTAACATCAGGAATATTATCCGATTTTGCTTTTATAAATCCTTTATCACACATAGTCGAAATAAACTTTTCAAATCGTTTTTCACTAATAAATTTGAGATATTTTTATCAAGTTAAAGATAATAGCCATAAACACTGTACTATTATGAAATTGCTTTAACATTATGACGTCACAAGTATGCTGACCAATCATGGCGCGTTTACAGTCACGTGATATATTTTTGAATTTTATCAATTTTTAATTGTTTATAATTAATTTAAAAAATATATTTCAAGTTTTTTGCATTAAAAATCCAATATAATTAATAATAAAGTTTTAAAATACATAAAAAAAATCAATACTTTTTTTTTTTTCAAAAACCCATTTCCAATATATCAAAGTAGTTTAAACCGCTTTTAATTTAAAAGTAACTTTCACAATCCTCGTTTATGACGTCTTCGATGGTTGTAAAAATAAAATCATTATTATAACATACTAGTTTTTGCCCACGACTTCGTCTGTGAGTTTCAGAATTAGAGATGAAAAAAAAAATCATAAATAATTTCCAAAATAATTTTATTTTTAGTTTCTTATAATACCACCGAAACAGTTAATAATATAATTTTATTTGAGCCCTTTTTAAATCTATTCTAACGAACCTATCCTGGGTAATGGAACAACTATTTAAATCATTAAAATTATCCTATACTAGCTTTTGCCCGCGACTTCGTCTGCGTGGAATAGTGACTTCCGCCAGATTTTTTGGTTCTTCCCACATAGTTCCAGTTCTTGCTGGGTTGTCGGAATGGTCGAGTTCCCGTAGAATTTTCAGGATAAAACCTATGTTTTTTTTTATTCACAATGAACTATTCTTAACCAACAATACATTTATTTGTTTATTTGAATAAAGATTAATATTATTATGTTGATACAACTTAAACAAATTATTTCGACCAAATTAATTAATCTTAAAAGTTAGACATATACTGTCGCGAACTGTTTTTTAGATCATTAAAAGAGCTATTATTCTTTAATACATATGTTTTGTGTATCTTGAACCGTTTTCAACCGTTTGCAACGGAAGGCTTCAAAGATGAAATAATTTCTCCCGTTTTTTACACATTTACCACTATATCTTTGCTCCTATTGGTCGTAGCGTAATGTTATATAGCCCACAGCCTTTCTCGATAACTGGACTATCCAACACAAAAAGAATTATTCAATTCGAACCAGTAGTTTCAGAGATTAGCGCTTTCAAACAAACAAACAAACAAACTCTTCAGCTTTATAATATTAGTATAGATAAAAAGATGATGTAAACATTTTAAAGATAAAATAAAAATATAGGCGACTTCTATCCAAAAATATAAACAATTTTTAAAACAATTCACTGTTTTTAAAATAATATTTTATACAATGTCCCATTAACTCAAAACTAAAAAAAAATTAATAAGTTTCAACTGTATCGATTTAAATACAGTAATACCCCGCTTTACGCGAGGGATACGTTCCGAAGAAAATCGCTTTAACTGAAATTCGCGTATATTGAGGTTTATGATTAAACACAGTCAAAATTTAATACACAGATATAAAAAACATTTTAATCAATCACTTTAATTCTAAGAACACTATACAATACATAGGTGCTCCTATTTTTTAAGAAAAAATACATGTATTGTCTTTTGGGTAGCGTTTTGTTTTCGTTCTTGTAAAATACGTTCATAACACCAAACACTGTTTTTAATCGTTTGACACACGTCCAAGACACGGTCATCATTATTGTCTATACTCTGCAATGTCCCAACCTGAATAAATTTTTGAAAATCGCGTTATAGTGAAACCGCGCACAACGGGGTCGCGTTAAGCGGGGTATTACTGTACTAAGAAAATTTACGATCGACTAATGTATCACACCATCGCGAATTACGAACGAAAGCTTCCTAATCTCCTCTGACAACTGCTTATATGTATATATTCCTTCTCCTACCCTCACATATTCCTACAATACATATATATTTTATTGTGAACAGTGGCCCACACAGCAAACTACTGCATAGTAATGGCCCAACTGCACACCAAAGGCAAATGCCACGGCATGCACGCCTTCATAGTGCAATTGCGTGACGAAGAAACACACATGCCTTTACCGGGAATTAAAGTTGGTGAGATTGGTGCCAAGCTTGGTATGAACGGCACCAATAATGGATTCCTCGGCTTCGACCAAGTCAGAATACCAAGAGATTATATGCTTATGAAGAACGCTAAAGTATTAGAGGTAACGTATTTTTTTTGTACTATAATTTGGATAAGTATGAAACAGGTTGACCTTGACTTTTGTTTCTTTTTTTGTATGAAATCGAGCAAAAAAAATTTAGTTAATTACGTTAATATTTTTGTTTGAAGAGAAAATGTATTTGGTATTTTTTGTATTTATCATATTATCGTTTCAAATTTGTTTTTATACAGTTTAATAGAAGACACGATTAGATATGAAGATATATATTCATATTATCTTAAGTTTCAACTAATCATAATAATTTTTTAAAACAAAACTAAGATATTTCGTTTCGGATCTGAGGTCAAAGTCTATTTGTTGTCATTTATTTGACAATATCTTGTATTATATACCTACAATAATAACTATGTAAATAAACTATAGATTTATTTGTTTTATTCACATAGTATTCAAAATTATACTATAATGAATTCAATAAATAAAAACGTCAGCATATGCAGAATTTAATACAATTTCAAAGTGATTGAAACCATAGCATAATAAAAAAACTTAACTCAAAAAAAACATACAAATTTGTTATTACTGTGTCAAAGCAGGAAAAACTAAAATAGTTTTTTTTGTAACAACGTCTTCTCACCATTTAAATTTATTCTCGTAAGAGTTAGTTTCACATATAGTTATTTATTCGTATTGAGACGTTATAAAAACTTATTAGATACTAGCTTTTGCGGCGATTTCGTCCGCGTGGAATAGTGACTTCCGGCAGATTTTTGGTTCTTCCCACATAGTTCCCGTTCTTACGGGGTTTTCGGAATGGTAGAGTTCCCATAGAATTTTAGGATAAAACCTATGTTTTTTTTATTCACAATGAAGTACTCTCAACCAACAACATATTCATTTGTTTATTTGAATAAAGATTAATATTATTATGTTGATACAACTGAAACAAATTATTTCGACCAAGTTAGGTACCATAAAAACGGTTTTTGTGAGTTAATCTTAAAAGATAGACATATACTGTCGCGGACTGTTATTTAGATCATTAAAAGAGCTACTATTCTTTAATACATATTTTTTGTGTATCTTGAACCGTTTTCATTGCGCACGCAACGGAAGGCTTCAAAGATGAAATAATTTCTCCCGTTTTTTACACATTTACCACTATATCTTTGCTCCTATTGGTCGTAGCGTGATATTATATAGCCTACAGCCTTCCTCGATAACTGGACTATCCAACACAAAAAGAATTATTCAATTCGAACCAGTAGTTTCGGAGATTAGCGCTTTCAAACAAACAAACAAACTCCTCAGCTTTATAATATTAGTATAGATAAACGTAATTAATCAATAATTCGAACTAAAAATTCTGCATTCAAAGAAACAAATTAACTTAACACTTTTAGTTACCACATTCAATATTATATACAATTATTAGAATCAATATAATAGTATAGAAATCTTACTTTGATTGTGTTTCTTCAAAATAAAAAGAAACTGCCAGTTTTACATTAATAAATCTTCGTATATCATAGTTTCTTGGAAGAACAGCTTATTACGTGGTTAATTAAAAAACGGAAAGCATAGTCATATTATTATTACTTAATAATAAACTTAAAGTAATATAGTAATATAGGTTAGTATGACTAAACATTTTACAGGTATTCCATAATAATTGACAAATATCTACCATTACCCATCACGCTGTTCTTACAATTCTCAGGACGGTACATACGTGACTGCACCAAGCTCTAAGCTCGCGTACGGAACCATGATGTTCGTTCGTGTGATGTTGGTCAACGACATGTGTAACTACATGGCTAAAGCGGTTACCATAGCAACCAGATACAGCGCCGTGAGACGACAGTCGCAGCCTAAACCCAAGTGAGATGACTACATCTTGTATTATACCATCACTCTAATATATGGACGACATCCCTACTAATATTATAAATGCGAAAGTAACTCTGTCTGTCTGTTTGTTACGCTTTCACGCCTAAACCACTGAACTGATTTTAATGAAATTTGGTACAGACATAGAGTTGACCTTAAGAAGGAACATAGGAGAATTTTTATCCCAGACTTCTGAAAGGTTCTCTTGGAAACGCGATATAACCGAACTCCACGCCAGCGAAGCTGCGGGCGGAAAGCTAGTTACTCTTAATATTTATGAATGTGTGTATGTGTGATTGTATAACAAGACCATTTGCTACAGGTTCATATTATGCTAAGCCCAAGCTTTAATTACACTGCATTAATAACGTTTATCGTTTCTCATTCAAGGTTCAAGGTTCATGGATGAAACACTGTAAACGCTCCGTATACGTTATAATACCAACTTGGACTAAGCTTACCGCTCATATTCGTTGATCGCATTTTACTATTATATTTCAAATACATACTTAATGTCACTAAAAAGTGAAATTGTAAGCATACCTTAATCCGAATCATTGAAACTAGTATATTAATTAAAGAACATCAGATCAAATCCTTTCGAATAATTCGCTGAAATTTCTATGCAAAGATCATTATATATGTCATAGTAGGGAAATCCTACTAATATTGTAATTGCGAAAGTTTGTGAGTGTATGTGTATGTTTGTCGAACATTTTCCGGGATGTAAAGTAGCCTACGTGTTATTCCTGGACGTCAGTTTCCTGTATACAACTTTTTATCAAAATCGGTTCAGCCGTTTGAGCGTGAAGAAGTAACAAATGTACACACACACACACACTCAAAAACTTTCGCAATTATAATATTAGTAGGATTTCTGTTGTTTTGTAGTTGTTGGGTATTTCCCCATTTTCGGGCTTTCTCTAAATATTACTGAAGCCGAAATTAACGCGGACGAAGTCGCGGGAAAATCTAGTATTAAATAAACCACGTCAGATCATAGCCCTTTAGAATAATTTCTATGTAAAGATTATACATACATGTCTTAGTAGAAACAAAATTAAAGTTAATAATCCATCCACCCAGTGAACCGGAGCCCCAAATCTTGGATTACGTGACGCAGCAGCACAAGTTGATGATAGGTATAGCGTCAGTCCACGCGTTCAGAACATGCGCTGACTGGCTGTGGCAGATGTATAACAATGTTACCGCCGAACTAGAAGCTGGGGATATGGAGAGATTGCCAGAGGTATGGAAAAATATTACACTATCATCGATAAAAGAAATTATTTCTTTTGTCTAGAATTTGTTCGACAATCTTCCTGTAATTTTCTCTGGTCCAAGTAAATTAGTGCTAACTATCATTGCTAAAAGAAACCTTCTTATGAGAATTTGTTGGAAGATCTTCCTGTAATCTTCTGTGTCCAAGTAAATTCCTTTAGACCCTTATTTTGTCTATCCGGTCATTTTTACGTGTATTTGATTTAGTTCTTTTTTTTATTACACATTCGTTGATAAAAGGGATACTTTCCTTCTTTTGTGAATTTATTCGAAAATCTTCCTGTAATTTTCTCTGTTTCAAGTAAATTGGTGCTACTTTTTATTTCCTTGTTTGGTCTATCCAATGGTGGTTATATGTGTATATTATGATTTAGTCCTTTTTCATTCAAGTACCAAAAAAACACACTATAGAAAGTTACATAAATAGTATACTATACATACACGATTTGCTTTAAATTTTTGCATAATCCAATACAGATAGTCCTATGATTGATATCTTTTTTCCAGCTTCACGCGAAATTAATTGGTGCTACTTTTTATTTCCTTATTTGGTCTATCCGGTCGTCTTTACCTATATAATAATATGATCTAGTCCCTTTTTCAGTCATGTACCAAAAAAACACACTATAGAAAGTTACATAAATAGTATACTCACGATTTGCTTTAATTTTTTTGCATAAACCAATACAAATAGTCCTTTGATTGGTCTCTTTTTTCCAGTTGCACGCGTTATCATGCTGTTTGAAAGCCGTGAGTACATCGGACGCTGCTCAGTGCGTGGAGCGCTGCCGCCTGTCGTGCGGCGGTCACGGGTACATGCTGTCGTCCAACCTGCCGCTCACCTACGGCCTGGTGACGGCCGCCTGCACCTACGAGGGAGAGAACACCGTCATGTTACTACAGACGGCCAGGTAATGAACATATAGAGGACGCATCGGAGTACTTGGGTTACATTGACAGGCTAGGAGCAGTAAACAAGCATTGTCTGTGGCACGTGTCATGTTATTGCAGACTGCCAAGTAATATTTATACAGACCACCAAACTGGGACTCAATTAGGTATATGAGATAGTAGTGATAATAATGACCCAATTGATGGTAAAAAATAATTAATAGATTAATATAGTTCATAGTATACAAGTGTCTTTATCTCCTACAGAATGATAGCTAAGTTCTATTCAGGCCATAACTAATTTCTGAACTAAGAAATTAAACTCAGAGGGATATGTTTAATGTGTTCAAGCAGTACGTATTAACCTCCCATCAGCGACATCTATGATCTAAACTCAATACGACGTCTAAGCTACATTACGGTATAATTTTCATCAAAATCCGTTAAGTAGTTTTTGTGAGTAAGAGTAACAAACATTCATACGTGCATCCTTACCATTAACATTTATAACATTAGTAGTAATTATAGGGTTATTAATTGATATAATTAAGCATATTAACTGTTCAACAGAAAAAATATAGATCGATTAAATTAAATACTCTCCATTAAAGATACCTAGTGAAAGCGTGGCAGCAGGCCGCCGGTGGTCAAACTTTACCACCGACTGTAAGTTACCTACGCGAGGTGGTCGCTGGTCGCAGATCTCCGCCATTCGACAACACCATAGAAGGAATCGTCGCTGGTTTCTATCGAGTCGCGGCCGGGTGAGTTATACCAAAATAAATATATATATTTATATATACATTTCATTCCTACCCTACATAATGTATATACAGTGCCGTAACTAGGGCGGTGCCAGCAGTGCCCAGGCACAGGGCGCAGACCCTGGAGGGTCGCAGAAATGACCAGACTAGTATATATTTTGATGTCATGCATGGTAGCTATATACTTATATACTTTGGTAAACAACAAATAGATAGATTTATTTGTATGCACATTAGTCCATTTTATTTTTAGAGCCTGGTTAGAGCATTTTTCAGGGGCGCAGTTTTGAAAGCTCGCACCGGGTGCATAAAAGCCTAGTTATAACACTGTGTATTATGTATATACCTATAAAACTATTTATATATACTTTCAAAAATTTAACGATGATTAAGAGTTTCTATCAAATAATTTACAGTAAAATCGGTGCTTGTGTGGCGCAAATAGAGAAACGTCAGAAAACAGGCATGTGTTATGAGGACGCCTGGAATATGACGTCCGTACAACTGACTTCGGCATCGGAGGTGAGGGGAATATTTATTTAATAAAATATATTTAATATTATAGCAACTACTACTAAAAGCTTCTTAAAATGCTATCGATATAGTCTGATACAATTTTATTAGTTGAAATACATAATCCAGTAATCCAGCATGTAATCAATACACTGTCTCTACTATTGACATTTTAAAGATATCTCCCACTTGCTTCAGATTTAGTCCAAATACTGTCTATGCTATTGACATCTTAGCTAACAAACGCCACTCATAGTTAATGTAGTCAATAAACTGTTTCTACTATTGACATTTTAATACTTCTACCAGTTGGTATAATAAAGTCAATATACTGTCTATGCTATTGACATCTTTTAATTTTTCCCCAGGCTCACTGTCGTGCTATTATCTTGTCGACGTACTACAAGGAGATCGAGCGTCAAAGCAACTTAGTGTCCCCCGAACTAGCTACAGTACTGCGACAGTTGGTGGATTTGTATGTAGTGTATTGGGCTCTACAGTGTATTGGAGACCTACTCAGGGTACTTATTATATATATACTTAATATTATATATGATCAATTACTACAAAACCGTAATGAGAAGAATTTTGAAAAATTTCCCTCAACAATTATAATGGAATAATATTAATTATACAATTATTTGTTCGAAAGTTATAACATAATATATTAAAATTAAGAATCTTTTAATACGATTAGTCATATTACAATAAATGAGATCTAAAACTTTCGCGAGTATACATTTAAATTAAACTAATATATTCGGATTGCTATGCGTTATTTTATTATTAAACAAAAATTACATTACTACAGTGATCACGGTTGAAAAGTAACCGAAACGTCGGAATGAAGTTCTATAAAAATAGTAGAAAAACGCATAGTAATCCGAAAATATTAATTTCATGTATATTGCAATATACCCTGTATTACTCTGCCACTTTACTGCCCGTGATCACGGTTGCTATAAAGTAGTCGAAATGTCGGGAGTATGCAGTTTTTATCAAAAACTAGCTTTTGCCGCGGCTCCGTCCGCGTGGAATAGTTACTTCCGACAGATTTTTGGTTCTTCCCACATAGTTCCCGTTCTTGCGGGGTTTTCGGAATGGTCGAATTCCCGTAGAATTTTCAGGATGAAACCTATGTTTTTTTTATTAATAATGAAGTACTCTTAACCAACAACATATTTATTTGTTTATATGAATAAAAATTAATATTGTTATTTTGATACAACTTAAACAAATTATTTCGACAAAATTAGGTACCATAAAAACGGTTTTTGTGAGTTAATCTTAAAAGATAGACATATATTGTCGCGGACTGTTTTTTAGATCATTAAAAGAGCTATTATTCTTTGATACATATTTTTTGTGTATCTTGAACCGTTTTCACGGCGCACGCAACGGAAGGCTTCAAAGATGAAATAATTTCTCCCGTTTTTTACACATTTACCACTATATCTTTGCTCGTATTGGTCGTAGTGTGATGTTATATAGCTCACAGGCATCCTCGATAACTGGACTATCCAACACAAATAGAATTATTCAATTCGAACCAGTAGTTTCGGAGATTAGCGCTTTCAAACAAACAAACAAACTCTTCAGCTTTATAGATAAAGTCGCCTAGTATAATCCAAAAAATATTAGTTTCATTTATATAACAAAACACCCTGTATTCTGCCATATTCTGCCACAGTTCACATCGATCTCTGAGCGTGATATCGACCAGCTTCAAGGCTGGTACGAAGATCTCCTCACAAGGCTGAGGCCCAACGCTGTGGGTTTAGTGGACGCCTTCGACATTAGGGACGAGGTCTGTAATATAACTGGATATTATATATATACATGGTGTTCTTTAATAGTACTAGTAATATAAAAATTATTTCTAGTTTATTCTCAGTGTAAATTAATATTTCTATTGCATATAACCTTAAAATATAGAGTTGAAATTTTATTCAAGTTGTAAGTAGAAACAATGAAGTGTGAAATAATGTGAATTTTGAGTTTCAAAAATGATAGTGGAATTGACGTATGTTTCACCAATGTCAAAAATAACTTTTAAATGTTATCGATCTTGCTTGACGTTTAGTATTTTTATGCTCTAAATATTTTTTGTAAGCTGGTCACCCTAATAATACAAATATCATTAATATCTTTTTACCAACTTGATTTTTTTTCTTTAATCTATATAATATGTTAGAATCTTTTTATACATTTTCATATTAAAAGTAGTTTTAAGTTCCGACTTCAAGGTATGTATATCTATTAATTTATATATGAGCAAAATTTATATATGTTGTAGATCCTCAACTCTGCGTTGGGTGCATACGATGGTAACGCTTACGAACGTCTAATGGCAGAAGCTATGAAGAGCCCTCTCAACAAGGAGCCTGTCAATCAAAGCTTCCATCAGTACTTGAAGCCATTGATGCAGGGCAAGCTATAATCAAATAGTTATAAAAAGGTTCTCAAGTTCATATATACCAACAACTTTAAGCAGAATTTTCACAATTTTGTAACTTGTATATTCATTAAAAAGGTATCAAATATCCTTCAAATTATGTTTAGCAAATATGATTTTGTATATGCAGAACCCTAATTTATGTAAGGCCTATACAAACTGTTATTATTGTGTGGTTAAATAGTTTTCAGACCAATATTGTGCCTTCATATATCTTATTATTAAAACATGCTCAATGTAGATTTTATAACTTATTAATATTAAGAATAATGAATTCTGTGGAGTAAATGATATTATTTTTAAGTGTATAGAGATTTATATATTGAGAATTAATATATTTCTGTAATAAGAAAAGAAATGTGGTGGTGGTTACTTAACATTCCATGTAAAGAGATTATAATATATCAGATTCAGTAACTTGGAGATTCATTTGTAAAGTATTCTTGATTGTGCACAATGTATACAAATGTTTTTGTAATTTTTTTTTATTACGCCATATTGGAATAAATAAATGTCACAAAATATTTGTTACCCATTTAATCATACCCAATTCAAGATTTAGAACTAAGAAGAATCAATTATTTTATTACTCAATATACTCATGCTCAAACTTCTTCTACCTGGCAATTTCCCAGCTCTAGCCAGGGTCTGCCTTACATGTTGTGAATAGTTTTGGCAATATACTCATGCTCAATATGCACATCTAATTTGATATTATGATTTATTTAATATAGAACCTCTTTATTTAATATATTACATAAATTATTATCGTGAATCTATATATTGAGTTTCAAATTCTAAATTCAAATCCTTCATGCACTATGTTTTTTTTAATTAAATAGCATCAATAATCCTGTTGTGAACTTTCATATGCCTGTTAAGTGAACCTCTTTGATTAAAGCTCTGTTCACAAACTGAACATTTATGAGGTTTTTCACCTGTATGAATGAGAAGATGAACATTCAATCTACGTTTTGATATGAAACTCTTTGCACAATAGCTACAGTCATAAGGCCTCTCTCCGGAATGAATTCTTTGATGTTCGACAAATGTGGAACGCGTGGCATATGATTTATTGCAAACTTCACATTTGAAAGACCTCTTCCCTTCATGAATGAGCAGATGCTGAGCCAAATTGTATTTATCTGTGAACGGATAACTACATATTTGGCATATAAACCTCTTTTCAGAATGACATCTGTTTACATGGGATAATAGATTTTTATTAGTAAAAAATTTCTTCCCACAATGTTCACATGTGTATTCCCTTTCCCTGTTATCTTTGTGGGTTTCTAAGTGATCCTGAAATAGAACAAGTTGAAATTTCCTCAAAAAAGTATTTTACAAATACATATTTGATTATCTTCAAATTACCTTTAAAACTCCTCTTGTACTGTAGCCCTTTCCACAAACATTACAAATGAATTGACACCTATTTTCATGAAGTTTCATATGCTGTCTTAAAGTTTCCCTGCTTTTAGTTATTTTGCCGCATATTTGGCATTGTATACTACTGAGACTGACGCTCGTATGACAAATGATATGATGCCTCTTAAAACCACTTCTTGTTATGAATGACTTGTTACACGGTAAACATTTTAATGATAGCTGAAAAAAATTACTAGGATTCTATAAGGCAGTTTGATTTAAGCAAACATAAATCTCAGTAAATAAATTTATATAAGCAAAACTATTTACTTACAGTCTCAGTTCGATGTTCAAATTTATGTGCTCTGAAAAGTTTAACATTATAGAATATTTTTGTACACAGGCCGCATTTATAGATCTTTCTTTTCCTCCTTGTAGTCTTTATTTTGACTCTGAAACAGGTAAGTAGTAAATTAACATCATAAACTGAAATTTAATTACTATATTTACAAATTACCTCTTAAAAGATTTCTCCTTCTTTTCACTATGTAAATCTTCTTCATATGATTCAGCATCAAATTCTATAAATAATTAATGTAATAAGATTATTTCTAAGAGTTGGATGACTTATTCATATTTTTATATACATATATATAATAAGTTAGATTAAATTAAGTGATTATTAGGAACTTAAAAAACAAATTACCATTAGTACTTTGATCAAGATCCTCTTCCTTTACAATATCAGTAACATTTTTGCTATCATTAAATATCTCTTGATACAAAGGAGAATTTGGTCGTCTATTGGAATTAGTTTCTAATTTTTTATTCCTATATACATCTAAAGATTCATGTGTTAAATATATATTTTCTGTCTTAAGAATATTTGTATGAATTTGCTTCGATAACGTGTTTTGAGACTTGATACAAGTACTTTTAAATTCAGAAAACTGCAGCAAAAGTCCGTAACATACATCACATAAAAACTTTGGTAACTGTTCCTCTTTCATGACTTCTATGGAAGTACAGAACCAATATATATCGGGGGAAACATTTTCAAATAAAATATATCTAACAGTATCCATAGAAGTGAGGCAAGCACGGCATAATGTATTTACATCCATATCAACAAATTTGTATGTATGTCTTTATTAAACGCTATAATATACAATTTTTAAAGCTTTAGTCTTCCATAACTATATTTTTGTTTTGTAAACATCTATCGCCTTGACATAGTCCTGACACTTGACAGTAGGTAATAGAAAAAAATTATATCAAATGAATTGTTGAATGCAACATTAACTTTGATATATAGAAAAATTGTGATTTTAATAAAAAATGAATAGTCGAAAGACATAAAAACATAATTTTAGTAAAGTAATTTGTGACGGCAGTTCTTCTAAAATGTATTTCATTTGTTTCCCTATATATTTAAAATATTATAAATGCCAAAGTAACTCTGTCTGTCTGCTTTCCAAGTCTATACCACAAAACCAATTTTAATAAATTTTTGGTATAGTGATAGATGGAACTCTAGAGAAAAACATAGGCTACCTTTTATCCCGAATCGAAAAACAACACGGGTAGAGCCATTAATTTCGTTTCGGATTCAGTGGCCTTAATTACAGAAAATAACAACTCTGATACTACGCGGACTCAGTCGGGGGCAAAAGCTTGTTATGTAATAAAAACATTTGCTCGTAATGTAATATCTAGACACAAAAATTCTAACTATAAATTGACTACTGAACTATTAACTATAGTGATTGTAAAAAAAAAGTTTTCAAAATAATTCATAATAATTGAAAATTCTGATTTAAAAGTTCGAAGAATAACTTGTCACTTAACAAATTTAAAAGCTCAGTAAATGCGTTATTTGCAGATTTCTTTTCGTAACCATATAATTTTTTTTCAAGAACATTATAGTACTAGAAAGAACATCAAACATGATAGGTATGTACAGAAACTATGTATATAGTGTTTTAAAGTATGTATGTAACTTATTCTATTATATAGTGACTAATATATGGAATAGTTTTTAAAATGACCTAAAGCTAAACAATCATTATTATGTATATTTTCATATGATGTCTAAATCTAAACTCATATTGTTAATTTGTATCTGAAACAGATATATTGTACTATCGTAGATTCGTGCATAAAAAGATGGAATCGCTCCGAAGATAGTGAGGTGTAAACCTGTGGTTAAATTACCGATTAATTTTATTCAATCTCGGAATAACTCGATAATATATATGTACCCCAATAAAGTTTTGCTTATTACACACACTTAATACATACAAATCCCATTTTAATAGGATATAATTTTGATACGTTTCTTAAGTTACATTCATATAGTGATTTTTTTTTAAACCAAATGTTTTCACTCACGCTCTTTCTTTATTTATTATTATACATTTTTTAGCTTTGACGAAGACAATCAAAAAAATTATTTGTAGAATATTTTTTTTATTTAGTAACGCAAATACACAAAATTTAGGGGGGAAAAAAGAATTATTAAAAGACAGTTTTAATGTACAAAATATAGATGTCATTAAAATAAAAATCATAGTATTGTATGATTAAAAGGATTTTTGTTTTATTTTTAAATAACAATATATATACATTACAATTTACAACCAAATGGAAATATGTATACATGGTTTAATTTAGACGGAACATGACTATTTTAGCAATGCAACAAAAAATATATCTTTTAACAAAATTTTATATAAGAGTACTAATATTGCATTTAATTCTATCTAGAATTTTTATGTATGCCTGTACTTCAATGTGGGACCTAAAATAACCACCTTTGCCTCAAATTGGTTCAATAGTGGCTAGTAACAAACAATAAATTTCACATAAGTATTATACAAATTATAATAACTTGTATACAAATTAACATAAAATTATATGTTTTATTTACAAAAATCATTACGTCTTATATTTCAAACATAATATACAGTTTCCACTTAATCAACTATGTAAACTATATTTATATTTACAATGAATATTTAACATTTTAAATAATTTTTCAATGACTTGGTTTCAATACTGGTAGTCTAATTAAATTATTTTGCCGTTACATAACAATGTATGACTGATAATTTTAATCTACTATATTTATAACACGAATTTGTTATGGTTTAGACAATATTGTTTGACTATATTGTAGGCTCATCTATATGTAATTTTAAGATCAGTGACTTTTTATTGTTTCTCATACAAAAGACTATACTGAAAAATGTATAGAAAAACAGTATTTTTGTTTTATTTCTACAATTATATTTTTAACTGTATTTCAAGTGAGAGCTGATAAAAAATTCTTTATTTTTTAAATTTTCCCGCTATTTGCACCGTCATTTGCAATATACTAGAATATTATACGAAAGATCTGTAATATACTGCTAACACATTTTTTTTTGTTTTAAATATAGTATCATTATAAAATAATTTGTGTAATCAAAACAACCATTTTCGTATTATATCTATAAGTATTCGTTGTATCAGCACAGAGCTGAGGAGAAAAAAAAATACATTTTATCACAAAAAACTGTTTTGCTATGAGAATATAAAATCCAAACATTATCTGAAACTTGTGCGTTATTTTAATAACGCGACCAAAAATCATACAATCAGAATTCTGCTTTTATGCTTTAAAAACATATCAATGTAACGAAATTGCACAAAATCCTCTTTAAGGCTTTCCAAAGACAAAACAAAACATATACATATTTTCTCCAATCATAATTAACAATCACAGAAACACATTCAATGTATAACCCAAGTATATTAATCCTTAAACTTATAAACTAATCAGTTATGCCACTGTGTGTATGTCATTTGTAGCGGTGTGTTATTCACAGGCGGTAATTGTGCTCTGATCAGATTCTGTGCATCTTCATTTGCCTTCCCGTGACCTTTCATGTGCCTGTTCAGTGCACATTTCTGTATGAAGGCCTGGTTGCACAGCTGGCATTTATGCGGTTTCTCCCCAGTGTGAATCATCCGATGGTTTCTTAAGTCTTTTCTAGCCATGAATTTCTTGGGGCACAGATCGCAGGCGTATGGACGCTCTCCTGAAACATATTATAAGGTGTTTATTTGTGTATAATAGTATTTTTTTAACATTATCACAAAAAATAACTGTCAAATTTAGATCGGACATAAGTCATTTAATAAAATTAAGCGGAGATCTTAAATTAATTACCAAATGTAAATATATTTATACCTGTATGTGTCCTCATATGTATCGCTTGAAAACTTCTACTTTTGAAAGTTTTATCACAAAGTTGACAGGAGAATGGTTTCTCGGCGGAGTGTGAACGCATATGCTTCACCAGATCAGCCTGAAAAATATATATTTCTATTCAATATTTACTCTCCATAATCAATATGGTTATTAGGAACTACGTTTTATTTGTTTATCTATCTACCTTATATATATATAAAAGAAAGTCGTGTTAGTTACACTTTTTATAACTCAAGAACGGCTGAACGGATTTGGCTGGAAATTTGTGTGATAGGATACTTTTGAATTCATTCTACCAAAAAATAAAAAATGCTAAAAACATCCAAATTCTATTTATTTACTGCCTCTAAATCGATACAGTTCGCCCGGTCAGCTACACAATTCTAATTACGAAACTAACGCGGACCAGTAAACTCAAAGGTAGTAATATATGATTGTGTTGTTTAATTGTTATTTAATTTTTGGAAACTACATATATAAATATATATATACAGGGTGACTGGTGAATTACTCTCGATACTTGAGGACGTGATATTTGACGATCATATATGACAAAATAAAAATTAATATAACATAAATATTTATAAACTTCTAAGTGAAGTTAACCAAAAGTTATGTAATTAATTACGCATCGTGTGAACACCCTACAAATTAGGTATACACACACACACACACACACACACACTAACGCGCGTGAGGCGGCGTGGTGTTGTATCAGCACGCCGTCGCACGCGTCCACACTTGGAACACTTGGAACGTGTCCACACTTTATTTATTTATACGGAAATTTAGTCAAAAATTAAGTACCTATTTTTATTACATAATTCGAATGAGAATCATGTACAGAGTATTCTCCTTAAATATTGATAGTAATTCACCAGTCACCCTGTATATCTAAATAATACATATTACAGACAATATTACCTTAATATAAAACCTCATCTCACACATGGTACACGCATAGTTCTTGATACCAGTGTGCCTTATGAGATGTATCTTGAGGTTCCCGGGCTGAGCAAACTTCTTACCGCACTGAGAACAGCTGTAATTCTTCTGATTATTGTGAGTCTCTAGATGCATCTGTAGACAAAAACAAACAATTAAAAACAAAATCTAAACTAACTATCCCATAACACAAAAAAATATAATGGAGGGTAAATACCTAAACATATTCATATAATTAAAGTAGAACAAACAAAACTCTGAATGTAAGATCCACAAACCTTTGACCAGCCAGCGAGTCGACCACTAACAGTACCTGAAAACATCAGCTGAGTTGAACCCCTGGGCCGCTTGACACAAACCTTTAGATTGTAAGCCTGCACGAACTTAGCGTCACATATATGACACTGGTGTTTCTTGATACCGGCATGTATTAGCTCGTGATTTTTGAGCACATTCAAATATGCGAAGCTCTTGCCGCAGCTCAGGCATTGATATTTGCGTACCGCTGTATGTATCCTCAAGTGGCTGCTCAGACTGCGGAGTGACAGGAACGCCTTGTCGCAATGCTTGCACTTTATATCTGGCTGCAATCAATTAATACCTTATGGATGCTGACTGGCTCTGCTTATAATTATAGTATAGATTGTACCTTCTTCCCGAAGTGTCCGCGCATGTGAGCCTCGAAGTTTTCGTATTTCTGGAAGCTCTTGCCGCATTTCATACACTTCATTCGTTCCCGTCTTCGCTTGGGTCCGTCTGGATCCTTCGGTGGACGACCGGGGCCGCGTCGCCGGCGACGTTGCAGGATTTGACTGTAATGTTCAATACACATTATAGAAAGATCACAAACCAATACATAAATTATTCTTCAAATAATGAAACTATAGATTTTTAGAAGGATCTCATGGGCTTCGAGTTTTTTCTTTTAATTGAAATAATGAATCTGACTGAACAATCACATATTAATGAAATAATTATCCAAAATTATTCATCTAAATATAATTTTTGATAAAATTTAAAAAACTGTATATATAAATCAATGGTGACTTAAATTCTAAATATTATGTTCTTATTAACTTCATATAAACCTTATCCTATTTATTATAAATAACATATAATCAACTAGATATAGACCGGGAACTTCACTCGACCTAAGCAGTTAACAATAGTTGACATACTTAATTATTACATTAGACTTGTAGATGACTTTAATAATATTTTTATAAAAATTATTAGGCTTTTTTTACATAACATTCTTTTTAAGGACCATCTGATACTTCATTTAACTTCTAAATTCTAATTACACTCATACTAATGAAAGGGAGTCAATATAGATATCCATAGAAAGAAATTTTAATGTACATATATGGGATATGTTAAATTGCTTCTTTGGGAATTATATTCTTTGATTAAAAAAATCTCAGCCTAATATTAGCTCATGTAAAGTTTCCTCAAAAGATACTATACATTTATAAGGAATGCTAAACCTGTACTCTTGAATTATATAAATTCAGTAAAATATTTTTCTAACAATTACTGACAACCATCAGTACAATAAGTACAATTTTAAGTTATAAAATTAGTTTATTGTAGTTTTTATTTGGTCTTTCCAATATATAGTTAAAATATAATGTTATATGGAAAAACGATATTGTGTTATGTTTTATCATCATAAGCTTGGCTAATTATAAAAAAATATATATAGAAATAGATGGATTATAAATTTTATTAAAAAAATCATTATTATACTGTTGCCATCAAAGTAAATTAATTAAGTACTCACCTAATTAATATTGCATCTGCCGATGGTTTTTCTGTCTTCTCTGTCCCATCCATACCTTCATTCATACTGTTCTCATGCATTGTGACTTCTTCATTGAGTTCAGTTATATTTACTTCTACTATATCATTACCTTCGCTTGTCTGATCAGGTTTTGTCTGTAAATTCTATAGAAATATATTGCTTAATAAGTTTCTTGTCCTATAAAATATATTTTTTAATATAAATAATATTTATAATTAAAATTACCAGTAATCTGCATTGCTGTTTCAGTATAACGTTGGATCTCACAACAACTTGCTTGAAGTAGTACAGTTTGTTCAATAAATCCAAACATGTTTGACATATTAATTTAGGCAGGGCATCCGAATCTGCGATCTAAAATACATATAACGTATACTTTAAAACAATAAACAATTCTAGTAACTACAAGTCTAAAAAGTATTTTTCAATCAACTATATTTATGACATACAATGGACTTTATTTATTATTGTTTATAAACAAAAACATCAATGAATAATAACAACGCAAGATATCAAGGCCATTAAACTTTTTATTTTAGAAAAAATAAACAAATAAAATTTTATAGCACTTTAAAGAATAAAATACGCTACAAGTAAAACACAGTAGGTACTCACTTCCACAGAAGTGCAGTATTTAAAGACTCCAGCAGAACAGGCCGTAAACAAATCCTTAAGAGGCCCAGCATCAGATAGACAGGCGCGACATATTTTCTTGAAATCCAAGATGTGAGCCATATTTGGCTAAAGGTAAAATATAACAACTATATGTTTTCAAGTAATAAATAATAAATCTTTTTTTAATCAATCAACAAACAATTTGCGTTGCTCACTGTTCCTCTCGATTAGTGATGCCCATACGGCATAAAAATCGGTATTTAACAAATCGTTAAATTATATAAAACCGATTTTTAAAATTATATTTTTTTTCTCTTGGAATATATGTAAATGACTATTAAAAAACAATCATATAAATAAATAGCATTACATAATATGAATAACATCTTCTAAAAATATGAAAGAGCTATCGTTTCTCACCTTTAAATATGTTATATGGATTGATAATTATTTTTTTTTTTTTCATTTTTACTTTTCGGAATGCAACTGAGGTAAAATATTGTACTTTTGAGAATTTTTTTATAAAAATCAAAGTTTACGTTTTTCAATTGTTTTTTGTATAAATTAATCGTGGAGTCTTAATAAATGAGACTATTTAATTTTTTTATAACATTAAAATATAAAGGTACTTATGCCGTATCATTTATTATTTTTAATACCATTTGTTAGTAAAACAGTAACACAAGATACAAATATTTCATATGATTATGTATATATACAGGGTGACTGGTGAATTAATATCAATATTTAAGGAGCATACTCGGTACATGATTCTCATTCGAATTATGTAAAAAAAATAGGTACTTAATTTTTGACAAAATTTCCGTATAAATAAATAAAGTGTGTACACGTTCCAAGTGTTCCGAGTGTGGGAGCGTGCGGCGGCGTGCTGATACAACACTACGCCGCCGCCGCGTCTGTGTGAGTGTGTGTGTATACCTAATCTGTAGGGTGTTCATACGATGCGTAATTAATTACATAACTTTTGGTTAACTTTACTTAGAAGTTTATTAATATTTATGTTATATTAATTTTTATTTTGTCATATATAATCGTCAAATATCACGTCCTCAAATATCGATAGTAATTCACCAGTCACCCTGTATTTACGATTATTTTACTACAGTCTTTATCTGAATTTCCTCTGCAATATACTTGTATATTACAGTACTTATTTTATTGGCACTAAAATTCGAAGGCTATCTAGAGATAACACTAGTTACTTTTTACTTTGTTTGTAACAACTACAACTCAAGTGATATACTTGACGATATATTTGATAGAATCGCTATCTTAAGCATAAAACACAAGTGATTTTAACTTTTTAGGTCAAACCACTTTAGAAATAATGTCAACATCGTGAAACTTTAATTTAATGTGTTTTCACATATCTTTTTAGTCTTCAACGACAACGATTCTTAGGAGTAATTTCGACATTTATCTTTACTCTATGTTCATAGTTTTGTTTGATGCCGAATACACACATGACAGTTTAAGACATTTAATTCTGTACTCTGTAGTCACCTAGTGACCTTGTAGGTATAAAAGAAAAATTTCAGTTGTGTTTTGGTCACTAGTTGTAGTTGGTCCATAAGAATGCAACGATTAAGGTTACAACTCTCTTCATTTCTATTTATATTATATACGTCGGTTATTTAAGAAGTAACAGTAAATTATAAAATTAAAAAATCCGCGAAAACGTATCAGAATGTATTAAAAACCTAAAAAAGCATGATATCTAGTTATGTGATAATTTTCTTTTTGACAAATGGCCAATAAATTTACGAAAATGCCTTTTATAAGATAAAGATTCCTGGATTCCACTAACTTTGTCACACCTTTCTTTATATGAATACGAATATCAGATTTTTGTCACAAAAAAGAAACATAATTGTTTAACCGGTTCGCTTATTAAATATGTTCAACATAACCGTAAAGGCAAATACGAAGCGCTTAGGAAGCGCGGCAACGTCATTCTCTTTAGTAATGCTAGTAGCTATCACAATTTTGAACATAATATTATTCTGTTAGGTACTTTTAGGTTATGTTTAAGACGTTAGAATATTTTGAGATATTTATTTTAATTTCAATATTATTTTCTTATTCGTGATATATCGAGTAATAATTACGTGACTAAATCTTAATTAATAGATACAATAAAAGTATACCTCATACGAAAAAAGTGTTATATGTGGTGCTCTCTAGCATATCGGCTTACATTTTACACGAAACTTTCTATTGTTCAGTGCAATCAAGTGTTGATAACAAAGTAACGAGTAACAATTCAGTCACAATTTCACTGTAAACGAAGGCGGTTTTGTTGTTTATATATTTTATTTTTAATTAAAATGAACGGAGCTAAAGATAATTTTGTTCCCATAATAAAAGTGCCAACAGATGAAAGAAAGCTAAATTTATGTAAGCATTTTTATAATGAATTTGGTTGTCAACCTGAATTTATCGTCCGAGTTCCAGGGCGAGTTAATTTAATTGGTGAACATATTGATTACTGTGGCTATCCGGTGCTGCCGATGGCATTGGAACAAGATATTCTCCTGGCTGGCAGTTTGATTAAAGAACATAAACTGTTCATGCGTAATACTAATTCAAAATATGAGAATTTCGAGACGGAATTAAAATCGTTCAATGAAATCGTCATATCACCGGATGCTAACGGCAAACCGTATTGGTATAATTACATGCTTTGTGGTATCAAAGGGGCTTTAGAACATTTAAATAATGATGTATTGTATGGCTTAAATATGTACGTAGACGGTAACATTCCTCCCGCGTCAGGATTATCGAGTTCCTCGGCTTTAGTCAGCTCTGCATGTCTTGCGTTCCTTTACGCCCAGAAATCGATTTTGAATAAAATTGACATAGCTGGTTTGTGCGCACGATGCGAAAGATACATAGGAACGCAAGGCGGTGGAATGGATCAAGCAATAGCTTTTCTTGCAGAAAAATACTGTGCCCAATATATAACTTGGAATCCTACGAAAGCGACAAAAGTTGTTTTGCCGGAAGGTGCCTCGTTTGTTGTGGCTCATAGTTTAGCTGAGGTGAACAAAGCTGCTACCAACGATTACAATAGACGAGTAGCGGAATGCAGATTAGCTGCAAAGCTTTTAACTTTGTCCTTACAAACAACGAGTCACACTATCATCACTTTGGGACAAGTACAAAAACTACTAAATAAAACATTAGAAGAAATGATTGTTCTTGTGAAAGAAACACTGCCTAAAGATATTTACACAAAGGAAGAAATTTGTGCTATATTGAACGTCAGCGCGGATGAACTAGACAATTTTTATCTAACACCAAATACAAGGAAACTATCGGAATTTAAACTCAAACAGAGAGCTCTCCATGTTTATGAAGAAGCAAGGAGAGTAGAAGAATTTAAAAAAATTTGTGAAAATACAAACAAATGTGTGAACGGAACAAATGGGACAGGTTCAGTTAAGGAAGACATGAATACATTGGAACGCCTCGGAAAGCTTATGTCAGAAAGTCACGAAAGCTTGAAAAATCTTTACGAATGTTCCCATGAGAATCTAGATCGTCTGGTAGATATTTCATCTCAGAAAAATATCCATTCGCGTCTTACCGGAGCGGGCTGGGGTGGATGTATAGTAGCTTTGTGTCCCAGAGAAAAAGTCAAAGAATATATTGAGACTTTGGAAGACGAATTTTACGTAAACCATTGCAATATTGATAAAAGCAAGGCCAAATCTTATGTTTTTGCAACACCTCCAAATTTTGGTGCCGTTATTTATATTACAAATTAAAAATATATATTACTTTTATAACAAAAATATTAGGTATAAACCATTAATATTAATGATGGTATTTTTATCAGTACCACAGCCAAACTTGTCTTTTTGTAATTTATTAGAATAGGAGAATCCATTAAAAAAAATTGTATTGGATTAATATAAGTCAAGAGAATATAATTTCTTCAGTCATTACTTTTATTATGTAAATGCTTTATTTCATTAAATGTATGAATTACTTTACATTGTATTTATTATTGTTTTACAGTTTATTTTAATTATTTATTAATAGCTTATCATTATAGCATTAATTGAGTTTTTAATTATAATCATTCCTTATTTTAATAAAATATTCAGAAATACAATTATTTTTTATTGATAAACCGGTTATTTCCTGTATTGTCATAATTTTGATTTAAATATAAACAAGGGCGTCGCCAAGGGGGGGCAGAGAGAGGCAGCTGCCCCCCCCCCCTCTAGAGATTCTAAAAAAGTTGCCAAATATAATGCAACCAAAGTCCTAAGTATTTGAGTCGATTTAGAATCCCCGAAAATTATATTTTAATTAACCTAATATAAACAAACAACGACCATTATAATATTAAAATCTGATAATTAAAAAAAATACGCTGTACACTGTACACTTATTCAAATTCAAACTCCTTTTTATTCTATTTTTCTAATAAATGTTATTATAACTTATTTACAAGTTTCTTATTGCATAGTCAACAGCTCGTGCTCGTGTAGCTTTACACATTAGACTCTGTACTGTCACAGAATACCTATAATTCATACCTTCTTTACCTACAATTCATACTTTTCTCATTAATAGAGAATGAGAAAAGTATGAATTGTAGTCTGTAAAGTCAACTTGCCCCCGCCTGCGCCATCGGCTGGCGACGCCCTTGAATATAAAGTAAAACAAGATTAAAAAGTTACAGTAAAAATAAAGTAGTATCGTTTTAAATTCTAAGAGATACGGTAAAATTGTCTTGATTAAATTTTAAACAAACATTTTAACAGTATTTTACTGATGTTGAAAAAAGCAATGTTTAAGTTAAGAGTAATTACTATTTCGGAATACTACTAAAATTACATACTGTATGTAATATACACATTTACTTAAATAGTTTTATATGAAATAAAACTTTTCCTTCATATTTCATGTGATTTTTATATTATTTAATATTAGTTAAACCTATTCCCTAAATATAAAATAAATTCCGTAAACATAACTTTTAATAACAAAAAGTATAACGGAATTTTAATGACAAAAGAGACGCATCATCTATGGTATCATGGTATTTGTCCGGGAAATGTCAAATTTTTCATCACCTTTGATACGTCAGTTTAAATTTTACTAATAAAATATCATAATTGTGTATAACATTTATGAAAGGCATATTTAATTGATATTTCATTAGATATTTAAGCATTTCTGTAAGACGTCATCCAAGTCATCCCGGTTCCCGATAAGTATTTATTAAGTAAAAGGTATAGTTATTTTTTATAAAACTAACAATCTGATCTATTAATATTTTAATATAGAATTAATATTTATATTCTAATAAACATTGCAAATTTCTTTTTCCTCTCATACAAAGCTTGCCTAGGAAAAGCAGCTATGACCTTATCAAAGGTATTTAAAATAAGCTCTGTTATGATGTGTCAATCTTAAAGGTTATGTTGTAATGCTGATTTGTCTGTTGCAACAACTTTAAATATATAAAATGTGTGTGTTCATAATTATTTAACACGGCTACACACCGAAAAATAGATATTTATGAAATTTACAACTTCTATATGTGATATGAGAGCTAAATTAATATAACATACTAATTCTTCATTAGAATAATAAAATTAAACTTATTTTTCAGGAAAATAACCAATCGGAATCTAAAACTGAAATAACCGCTGCCAAGAAGAGAAGGATCAGACGAAAAAGATTAAGAGCTGCAAAACAATATAAAGAAGTGCAAAATAATATCTGTTACTGTGTTGCACTCAATACAAACAAACGAATAACTCCAATCGACTTACAACAAACTAATTCTACTACTGATCTTGATAATAATATTCTGAATAAGAACAATACAGAAAATAAATCAGTTATTGATATCAAAGACAGTGTTAGGGAAGCTATTGAAATGTTGACAGAACAAGAGAAAAGTCGAGATGAAGTGCTAGCAGCTAGGGAAGCTAAGAAGTTAGCTAAACAAAAAGCTAAAAAGAAAAATGAGGATACTGGAAATAGTGATATTAAAGCAAAAGAAACACCAAAACAAGTGAAAAATGAGAAGAAAAATAAGGTTGAAGGACAAACTTCACAAACTGAAACAAAAACCGACAAATCTCCTAATAAAGACAAAGACGAAGTAGACAGGGCTGTTGTAATTAATAAAAATGAATGTACAGAAATTGATAAAGAAAGAGAACTCGTTTTGGCTCAAAGATCAGCTAAGAAAGCAATGAAGGGTAAAAAGATTGATATGCCGAGCGAGGAAGTCATAAATGCAACGGTTAATGATGTTGTGAACACACTCAAAGATATTGTGAGTGTCGCCAGAGAAGTGAAGGAAGTCACAGATAAAGTAAGAGCTATAGATTTAGGTAAAAAGGTAAGGTTTTATACAATCAATATTTTAGTATTGTTTATTACTTTTATTTTATTTGTATAATTGTTTTAACTTTTAAGAAATATTAAGCTATCTTGAGAAATATAGGAATTTAATTGGTAAATATAAAAGATTTAATTCACCTACTTGGTTGAAAATAAAATCTTTTTAGGTTAAGAAATTGTCATAGATTTGATTCCTTGTGTCACATTTTCTTATTTCAATTTCGCTCTTAATTCATTACCCATTATTAATATCTGTTTATTTTTTGTTTGTAGTCCGAAGAGTCACAGAAAAGTAAAGCAGAATTGAAAGCTGAAAGACGTGCCAAGCAAGAAGCTCAGAGAGCAGCAAAACAAAAAGAAATTGAAGCTAAGGCTAAAAAGGCTGCTGAACCAGCAAAACCTAAAGAGGTATTATATATTTACTATTTTTATAATACATATACTAAAAAAATATGTAAAATAAAAATAATACAAGTTAGGGCTTCCTATGGAGCAATGTATACATTAATTCTATATTATCTACTTTATACAAATTCTCTTTTTTGTTTGCTTATTTTTTGGTTGATGTCTTGCTTATTTTTTTGGTTGATGTCTTCTGATGTTGTTTTAACATGATGATCTATTTTTTGGTATAATATGTTCAAGGTTCACCAGAACAAACAATTGTCCATATTATTTAAAACATTAAACTAAATATTAAAGTGTGTTAAAGTTCTGATTTATAGTATGTACAATGAAAACAGTCAAAAGTAGATGTATTATACACTAGCTAACCATGGAGTTCGGTTTTTCCTTTTCCTTTCAAAAGTCTGGGATAAAAACTATGTTCTTTCTCAAGGTCAACCCTATCTATGTACCAAATTTCATTAAAATCAGTTCAGTGGTTTAGGCGTGAAAGCGTAACAGACAGACAGACAGAGTTACTTTCGCATTTATTATATTAGTTGGGATTGTATTTCGGTTATAATGACGGCGGAGGGACCACTTTTATGTCGTCGCTATATTCGGAGGTAACTACATAACAATATTTTCTACCTGCCTTTTCTAGGAAAAACCTATCAAAAATAAAGTGCCAGAAAAACCGAAACCAAAGACACAGAAGATGAACTGGTTCCAGAATGTTCCCACAGAACATGAGAAAGAAGCTTTGAAGAAGATAGCTATAAATTCAAAGTAAATAAATATTCACATTTATATAACACAAAGTATTTAGTTATTAACAAGAGACATCACACCCAAAATATGGTGTTTAAATGAAACTATTATTTTTCGTACTACACGTTTTTAAATATTTTTTTAAGCAACATACTCCCGAAGTTTCTTTGCAGCAACCGTGACTACGGCCAAATGTAATTTCGTCTGTAGTTTGAAAATTACAAAATAACTCATAGTAATACGAAAATGTCAGTTTTATTTACATGAATACTCGCAAAAATCTTAGATATCATTAAAATATATTGTTTACAAAATCTTTATATATTAAGGAATATTTATATATAAAAGTCTTATATATGTTCCAGCTTGCATCCAGCTGTTATTAAGCTTGGAGTACAGCTAGCATCTCGTGTGGTGACCGGCTCAAATGCCAGGTGTATAGCGTTTTTGGATGCTTTAAAGAAGGTTGGTAATAATTGTTTATTTGATCTGTTTCGTTTTAGACTCTTTATATTTTAAAACCAATATTATATACTCATGCTATTTTCAACTCAGCATCTCATATAGTGTTAGTGTTAGAAGGTTTTAAATTAAACGAAATTATTCAGACTCTTCATAATTTTGTTGAGAGATAGTCATATTGAAGATGTCTTAAATTGTCATGTTTAAGTATGACATTTAATTTAATTTACATGAAAGACTAACAGATATTCAATCATGTAAAGTTCATTGAGTCCTATCTACATAGAATTATTAATTTATATTCTTAACACGTTCTATTTAGTATCCTTTGCTAATTTCTGTTTAATTTTGAATTATAAAAATTGAAACAAGCCTTAAATTTCTTTTAGGTATATAAAGTTAACGTTAACTTTATTTTCATAGGTGGTAGAGCCTAGCTGTAGTTAATCACTACAACTCGAACATGGGCTGGCTCGACCGGGGAAGTACCACCCTCTCACAGAAGATCGGCGTAAAGTAGCCTTCAATGGCTGCGTTTCGTATGATGAGTGAGAGAGCCGGATGCCCTTTTCCTTTCCCCACCCTTCCCTCTCCCGGAATGTTGATGTGTGTATTGACTTTCTGTCCTACATTAGTCTGAGTTTGTTTTGAGGTGTTGAGCGTGTTTCATTGGCATGGAGTCCAGGGAGACCCGATGAAACGGTTTACCGCTGGCCGCCCGTTGGTTCGTAGGGGACCCGAACCTAGACTGTCCCGATCTAGGAGGCTGTCCCACCGCCAATGACAAAAGCTCGTCGGTTGTTGACTGTGCCGGAGTGGGAGACCGGAGTGGAACCCAGTTTTCAACCGCGGGTCGGATCGGGGGTCCTTCCGTGCCTCATGCCAGCGACACACTAAACTCCACTCTCAATTCAGACCATTGGCAATGTTCTTTGACAGGATAGTTGATGGGCCATCAGCATTCCTCCTTCAATCCCATCTCCTGAACTAAAACTCAAATTTATGGTTGTCAAAAAAAAAAAGAATTAAGGTTTTTACAGCGGCACCCCCTTCCACGTTTGTAGTGGACTTTTGCAACATAAGGGGTATACATTCTAATCTACATGCCGTCCATTACCACCTAGAAAACGGCTAAGCCGGTCTTGTTATTTTTGACCGAGACGCAAATATCCAATCCTCAAGACACCTCGTATCTACATTACCCCGGTTACAGACTTGAGCACCTATTTCTGGCGCGGGCCGGGGTGTGCTTATTCGTCAAGGAGGATATTTGTTGTCAACGTCTTGACAGCCTTGAACATAAGGACCTGTCAGTGATGTGGGTGCGAGTTTACAACGGTAGCTCAAACCGTGTCTACGCGTGCCTGTACAGGTCCCATAGTGGTAACACCGAAGTCGATCGTCTTTTTGGACACATCCAGGAGGCTACAGATTTTGTACTCCAGCGGTATCCCAGCGCGGAGGTAGTGATCCTAGGTGACTTTAACGCCCACCATTGCGAATGGTTAGGATCACGTACCATAGACTACGCTGGAAAAGCCGCAAATAACTTTGCTCTGGCTTGTGGGTTAACTCAGGTAGTTCCAGAACACACTCGGATCCCTGATGTTGAGGACCATAACCCCTCTTTGTTGGACCTTCTGCTGACCAGTCGTCCGGATCGCTACAAGGTGTCCGTCAATGCACCCCTTGGGTCATCTGACCACTGCCTGGTGCACTCCGAGACACAATTAGTGCCAACAACGACTTCCCGTCCACCCGGAAGACGTCTAGTTTGGCACTACAAGTCGGCAGATTGGGAAGGATTGCGAGAATTTTACGCATCCTACCCCTGGAGACAGCTTTGTTTTTCTTCGGACGATCCTTCGATCTGCGCGAACGCCGTTGCGGATACTATTCTGCAGGGAATGGAATGTTTCATTCCCAGCTCTGTTATTCGCACGGGGGGTAAGTCTCAGCCCTGGTTTGGTAAATCCTGTACAGGAGCGTTGCGCTCGAAACAGTTGAAATACCGATCATGGGCTGCGGCATCAGCTGCGAAGGATCCAAAAACGTCCGAATTGAAAAAGGGTTATAATGCTGCCTCCAGGTCTTGCAAAAAGGAGATTACCAGAGCAAAGAAGGAGCACGTTCGCAGAATTGGAGAGAGACTACTTGACGTTCCCTCAGGAACTCGATCTTTTTGGTCTCTCGCCAAAGCGGTGCAAGGCAATTTCTGTAAGTCTTCCCTACCATCCTTGCACAATCCTGATGGAACGCTGGCTAATTCCGCAAAAGAGAAGGCTGATCTTCTGTGCACTCTTTTTGCGTCGAATTCAACTCTTGACGATGGGGGAAAAGCACCGCCTACCATCCCGCGGTGCAGGGAAAATATGCGCAATGTGCGTTTTACGCAGAGCGCTGTGCGTGCCGCCCTGTCATCCCTTGACGTCAAGAAATCCAGCGGCCCAGACGGTATCCCAGCCATTGTGCTTAAGATGTGTGCTCCTGAATTGACTTCGGTCTTAACGCGCCTATTCTCACTCTCTTATACTACTGGTAAAGTTCCGTCTTCGTGGAAAGTGGCCAATGTCCACCCTATTCCCAAGAAGGGTGACAGCACAGACCCATCCAATTACAGGCCTATTGCGATCACTTCCCTACTCTCAAAGGTGATGGAGCGGATCATCAATACGCAACTTTTAGGTTATCTAGAGGATAACCAGCTTATCAGTGACCGTCAATATGGCTTTCGCCACGGACGAAGCGCTGGTGATCTTCTAGTATACCTCACGTATCGATGGGCTAAGCCATTGAGAGCAAAGGGGAGGCCATGGCGGTCAGCCTAGACATCGCAAAGGCTTTTGATCGGGTCTGGCATCGCGCACTTCTATCGAAGCTACCATCGTACGGACTACCCGAGGAATTATGCAACTGGGTAGCCAGCTTCCTTCATGGGCAGAGCATACAGGTTGTTGTTGACGGTTCTTGCTCGGAACCCAAGCCCATCAATGCTGGTGTGCCCCAAGGCTCAGTGCTGTCACCAACGCTGTTCATTCTGCATATCAACGACATGCTGCATACCAGCAACATTCGGTGCTATGCAGATGACAGTACTGGTGACGCTTATTACATGGGCCGAGCTAATATTCCTCGTGACCAAGTAGAAGAGAGCAGAAAGAGACTTGTGTCTGAAATTGAGACCTCCCTGGAGCAGGTCTCCGAATGGGGTAAGCTGAACCTTGTTCAGTTTAATCCCAAGAAGACACAAGTCTGCGCGTTTACCACTAAAAAGACCCCATTCACTGTGGCTCCAAAGTTCCAGGACATTCCCCTTAAGATCAAACAGAGCATTGGGATCCTTGGGGTTGACATAGCGAACGACGTTCAATTCCGGAGACATTTGGAGGATAAAGCTAAACTAGCATCAAAAAAACTAGGGATACTGAGTAGAGCGAGGCAGTACTTCACACCGGGACACTTGCTTTTGTTATATAAAGCACAGGTTCGTCTCCACATGGAGTATTGTTCTCATCTCTGGTCCGGTGCCCCACAGTACCAACTTCTTCCATTTGACTCCATTCAACGTCGGGCAGTTCGTATTGTCAACGATCCCATGCTCACAGACGATCTAGAACCCCTAAGTCTTCGAAGGGATGTAAGCTCCCTTAGTGTGTTCTATCGTCTGTACAATGGGGAATGTTCCGAGGAACTGTTTGATGTAGTGCCATCGTCCACATTCCACCATCGCACTACTCGGCGTAGGGTTGGATTTCACCCACATCATCTGGATGCATTCAGTTGCAGGACTGTACGTGCGTCGCGTTCATTTTTTTCACGCACGTGCAGGATGTGGAATGATCTTCCGCCCGAGGCTTTTCCAGAGAGCTACAACTTGGGGTCTTTCAAACATCACGTGTTCAGGTGGCTCCTTCACAAACAAGGCCGGCAACGCATCTACAACACCCCTTGTGTTGCAGATGTCCATGGGCGACGGTGACTGCTTACCATCAGGCAGGCCGTCTGCTCGCTTGCCCCTTTGGTTTAAATAAAAAAAAAAAAAAAAAAAAAAATTTATTCTGAATATTTATGTTCACTTTAATCCCTGAGGATATATTTTTCGCATCGGTTTCCAAACCAGAAATATTTACGTGTTAGAGAATTTTAAAGCGCGTTATGATGATAGAGCTTACGGTTTCTTGAAAAACCAACATGCCCAAAGACCATACCATCAAGATCAATAAATATTACGAACAAAAAAAGGCTTCGTAGCTTTGTACGTTGTAGAAGTGGGAGCGTGAGGTATAACAGCTAAATCTCTCAACAACCTACTAAAAGACTTGGGCCTGTCCAGAACTAACATTAATTCATTCTTGGAACGTACTTTAAAGCCAGCACTAGTAGGTTCTTTTCAAATTTTATTAGGTATAGAGAGGAGCTTGCAAAGTGGAGGTGAGCGTATAACGCGCGTTAGATAGGGTCTCCTTAAAACTACACCTGAGTCGCAAGTCCCAGTCACTGTTAAAGCTCCTCTCCCTGCAACGATGGACTTGGCACCCTCACCGTGAATCCATTGAATGCTAAGAGATTTCGTCTCTGTAAATATCATTCCAGTATCTCTACTAATATTATAAATGCGAAAGTAACTCTGTGTGTCTGTTACGCTTTCACGCCTAAAACAATGAACAGATTTTAATGAAATTTGGTACAGAGATATAGTTGACCTTGAAGACGAACATAGAATAGTTTTTATCCCAGAGTTTTGAAAGGTTCTCTTGGAAACGCGATATAACCGAAAGCTTGTATAATATATATGTGTATGTATTAAATTTTTCCAGGTGGTAAGAGACTACAGCTTGCCAGCTAAGACTGAGTTTGCTCGTGGTCTTGAGTCTCAATTAGCCGCCAGCGTGGATTTCTTATGGTCTATGAGACACCCGGCCGCCTCACAGACTAACGCACTCAAACATTTCAGACATCACCTAACACAGCTGCCAAATAATGTGGATGAATTTGATGTAAGGCTAACTATTCACACATTTATTTTTAAATTCTTAAATATTTCAAATTTATTTTCAGCCAGTCTTTTACCTCTATAATCTTAGTAAAGTTTCAATATTTCAGATTTCATATATACTAACTCTTTGCTTAATACAAACCACAGTTATTTCAGCCAGTCTTCTACATATTTCAAGAATCTAAGTAAAGTTTCAAGTCTTTGTTTGTTTAGTTCAAACTATGCTATATTCCTTATGATCTTGTAACAATGTCTTAAGAATGCACAACTCAATTTTACTTTAAGAAAAAGTAAACGACTTAAAAATAGTACAGCTACATATATATCTATAAAATTAATATTAAATGCTTACTAAATTCTATTCAATATGTATGTAAATATTTGTTGATTGTAAGTATTGACGTTTAATGAGCTATTCCACTGCTATGTAAACGTCGTAAACTAGATATGCAACGGAATGAGTAGAAATAATTCATTACATTTTAAAATTAAACTATACATTGTCTAATTTAATAAATATATAATTACATTAGATAGAACAATAGCTGTAAATAAACAACAATTTTGACTAGAATGACTACACCTAGTCTTTATAGTATACAAAATGTTTTTTTTATTATTATTAAGAAACGGTATAGTTTATGTGTACGACTGTTACCCGGAAGGGATTCGTGTAAAGGAACAAATAGAAATATATTATATAATGAATACATTTATAAACTAACCTAGTTATAAGCAATCTACTAACACTTTGTAATGTAACATACTTTACACTGAAATTAAAGGCTTATAATTGACAGGCCAAGAAACGTCTCCAAGAGGAAATAGATCGTTATATACGTGAACAGATTGACATGGCGGGTGAAGCGATCAGCATCGCTGTGAGAAACAAAATAACACCCGGGGATACTATACTAACATACGGATGGTAAGTATTTTTTGGCGGGATTTTTGTACAATTCTAAATTTAAAATACTCGTAACCATAGACTAGATAGACCAGCTTTTGGTGAGCTGTTAGTTTTTAATGTTAATGTTGCCATTCAAATAATAAAAAACGTTTTAACTATTTTTTAAAAATCATTTAAGTTGAAATATGCTTTATAAAAAATATTTGTAGTTACTAAATAAGAGTTTCAACAGATCGGATTCATTTTAATACCACCTTAATAATAGCATTTTTCATAATAAGCTTGGAAGCTAGCTAGAAAAAAATCTGTCTTTTTCTAGGCCGGTACTGGAAGTAAAACTGAACATCCAAGATCAAGACTAAAACTCTACCTAACATTATACATATTAATTAGTAAATTATTCCAGTTCGTCACTCATCGAGCGTATTCTATGCGAGGCTCATTCAGCGGGTGTTTGTTTCTCTACGGTGGTTGTCGGCGAGAGAGGAAACCGCGGCCCTACAGAAATGCTGAGACGTCTAGCTGCGAAAGGACTGAATTGCGTATATGCTGACCTATCAGCGTTGAGCTACGTCATGAAAGAGGTCGGATATGTTTTATATTAGAACTGATAGGTCAATGACCCTTTGGTTTCATCTCAAGTACCTGTCAGAAAGTGAAAAATATATAAATCATACTATACCTATTACCTTTAGTAAAAAAATTCACAGAGAACGTTAAGGGTTCAGGATATAGATTAAAAAAAGTGCTATATGAAATTTTATTATATGATGTCGTTGTTTTTTTTAAATAAATAAATGTAGTATGATTGTTATTATATATTTTGTCTTGAGTCAATCGTTGTCAGGCACCTCTTTATGATGTAGCTACTTATAAGTCTCTTGCATCCCCTCTGCAAACACATAATAATGATATAAACATATAGTAATTATAATATATGCAAATAATAATAATTATTTCCAGACGGATAAAGTTCTAGTCGGTGCAGCATGTTTATTAGCCAGTGGCGCGGTTGTAGGGGCCGCGGGGACCCTTCAGACCGCGCTGCTCGCTCGAGCAAACAACGTACCTCTATTGGTTGCCTGTGAGACGCACAAATTTTCTGATACAGTACACACAGATGCTATGATCTACCATGAGACTGGTTAGTTATTTAAAGCATTAATATTTATTTAAATTGACATTATTTTTAATGTATCAGTTTGGAAGTATACACCGATAATTTTCTTACAACATAGTGTTACAAACAAATTATATTTTATTACTTGAGAAACGTAGTTACTAATTAATTTCTACAAAGATTGGTCTAAATTACTCGTGCTTTGGTGAAATTCTTACATTTTAGTTTTATAGTCATAACTAATAATACTAATTGTCGTGTAAAAATTCCAGTCCGATAAGATTGTTATCAAATTTTGCTATAGAGGGCGGCATACTTATATATACAAATCTTAATTAAATTACATTATTTTTTCCTTTACAGGTGATCCAGAAGATTTAATCGACAAAACCGATGAGAATTCACCTCTTAAAGACTGGCAGTCCAATCCCAACTTGAATTTGTTAAACTTAACGTATGACGTCACACCACCTAGTCTTGTAACGGCTGTGGTGACAGAACTAGCGATCTTGCCATGTACAAGCGCCCCCGTTGTACTTAGATTCAAATTATCCGAATACGGCATATAAAACATAAATATTGTCAAACATTTTCATTGTATGTTAGGGAAACATGTAAATCGTCATATTTATTCGGTAAACAAATTATATATTTGAAATGTATATAATATGAATGTAAATATGCACAAATAGAACGGGATATTTTAGTTTATGTAATTAAAATTGTCATTTATAAAAAAGATAGTTTTAGTGAATTGAAATTGTCTATTAAAATATTGTCTTTGGTGTCGAAACATTTTATAAATAACTATTAACATATTATCTCCTAAATATTTACTGGTAGATTTTTGTAATAAATTCCCAATCAAGTATATTAAACTTTAAACACACATCTTTTCTAACAAATGCCCATCATTTAAGGAATGTAAAACTATAGCTGAAGTTTGCCAAGTCTCAATATAATTAAAAAAAATATTTTTTGTTAAAATAACTTGAGAATTATTTGTTGTTTGGTTGTGTTCTCATTTTTATTGTAATAGTGTGTTTCTAATAAGACTCTACGTAACATGAAGATAAAAATAATAAAAATATATAGATTGCATTCTGATTGACTATTTTTATATTTCATCAACTTAAAGTGGATCTTAAGACTTAAGTAATTGTTACTAATTAAATGCTCAAAATATATTACATCTGTTCATTTAAATGTAAATCTCATAGATATAAATTTAATGAATATGCAAGTAATAATATACACGGAAAATAAAACAACAGTTAGTTTATTTTATTAATTTATTTCTCAACACAATTTGAGACAAAATATAAATTAGTGTAAGTGCTCAATACATGCTATATTGCAATACATCACAAATATTCAAAAAATTGCAATCATACATAATAACTTAGCTTCTGCTAGAGCACATAAAATTTACTCTTTTAGATGTTCAGGCTTATGAATGGAGAAATCTAGTCTTACATAGACTATAACACACAGGAATAATGCATATAGGAAGCCAACGACTAATAAAGGCTCTTGTAACATCAGGATTCTCGGGAATGTGTAACGAAGTTGAAAATCTTGTATGTGATTTTCGACGACATTGCTCTTTTTGAATGTAATCACTGGACGACCCTTCGTATCTAGATATGTGTAGTGCAGACTATCAGGCAGTCTTGTGACGGCGAATGGAAAATTAATTTTAATATTTGTTGAGCCTTCGGGTAATATAATTTTTGTGACGAGTTCGTCTATTTGCATATCATCGAAAACATGATCGACTGCTCTCATCTTCAGTAAGTATTCGTTTCCGGAGTGGTAGAGGTATTCATAGCTGGGAACATTGTAACCTAGAGTGTAGTGCGATCTCCAGCCACCAAATAGAGGGTATCGAGGCCTTAGGTCCAATTCAACTGAATCTTTCTTGACTTTCATGTTGGATGTTGAGATGTTACCGTTAGTGTCACGGTAATATACATCAGAAGCTGAAGCTGGTAGTAGGGTCTTATAAGACCTTACACTTGCGGGTCCACTGTGGTGATCTTGTTGATAGTCATACCTTGAAAATGGGCCTTTCAACTTTGCACCGCTATGTTCAATTTCAATGATTTCTTCAATAGCAATGTTACCCCAATGAGATACTTCAATAAGACGCTCCAAACGAGTCACAGTAAGGAACGGGGAGTTATTCTTGTAATGGAGACTAAGTTCTTTCTCTGTAAATGGCTCAATGTTTGAGTACGGGCCATAGTTGATATTGCCGTCTTGTTGGGAGAAAGGCTTAACTTTTGTGAATGATTCCACTGACTTAGTATTTAATACGACCGTCGTTTTCTGTGTTAGAACTTTATATGGTGTATAAAAGTACAAATTACTGTTGTATTTGACTAGTTGGTCTTCTTGCTGAGTTATTGCTGTTGGGTGTGGTAACAATGCTTTAGAGAACACTGCATCAGACGTAATGACTACACTGGCTGCAGCATTAACAGGTTCCTTTAACTCTACTCGATAAAATTTGACGTTATCGTGTCCTTTGACTGTTGTTTCCACGAGCCGCAAATCTTTATTATTGCTATCTCTGGCACCAATAAAAGCCAAGTTGTTTTTAGCTGCACCTTCTACGGCTAAAAGAAATTGTTTCACCGGCACTTTTCCTGCATTTTCAAAGGTTATTTTAGATGATATTTTCACGAGCTGTGAAGATATATCGATCGATCTATCAACATTTTTAATTCTTACATCACTAGAAATATTATCAACATTTACACTAATGCAATTAGAAGCAACATATAATAAAATAAAAGCAAAGAATTGTATTTTAGCCATCGCCGGTAACATTTTCTTTTGACATTTGACAATGAAGATCAACGCACTAAGCGGAAGTACACGCCAGCAGAAATTCCGGAAATTCGTATTATTACAATATTGCCATGTATTTAGTAACAATGTTTTATATTCTGTGTAGAATTTTTTTTTTTTAACTTTTTCTAATAATAAAAGTGTGTTTTATTTAACTTATGTCATGGGATTATATATTACATTGTAAGTATAAACTATAAACTTAAAACTGATCAGTTTATACATATGACTTATATAATATTTATTATATTTTTTTGTCTATGCTTTCCTTGGAATTAGGACTCTATGGTTTCAGTACCCAGAAAGCCAGAAGTATCAATATATCACAGAAATAGTGTCATACAATAAGTAATTTCCTTAAAGTAAAACTTCAAACAAACTTTTTTTAAAACTTAACTCCAAGTTTTTTTATCAATAATACCAATCAATAAAAAATATATAATGATTCAATTTTATTACACTAAACAAATACTATAAAACTATCATTATCGGAAGAACGGAAGTTCAAAGTTTTAAAAATGTTTAAAATTATTATTCGTTTAACTCTTATTTTATTAGGTGAGTGACTTTCGTTTTTCTTACTGATATTAAGCTGACTGCATTAATCATTTTTTGACTCATAATTTAATTTGTTTCAGTTATTAATTTATGTGTATCTTCGTGCGAAGGATTTCGTAACCGAGGATATGGTAGCAAAAGCGTAAGAACCAATAAGGAAAGTGCTAGAGCGAAGTCATCACTTACTTCTGGTGGTTTACCAACTCAACCCGCGCGCAGGGGTCTGGGTTTGTCTGCCTGGGGTATTGTAACTATCGTTGTTTCATGTATTCTAGCTATAGCTGGCATGTATTATTTCTCAATATGCTATCCTATTCTGTGTAAAAAATCTCGAAAGTATGACCCACTGGCTTTCATTACTTAAGTATTGAGCTAAGTAACATCACTCACCATGTTAAAATTTGATAAGTGGCTAAAATGATACTAACACTTCCAAATTACAGTAAATAGTTGTTACAAAAGAAACCTAGTGATTTGAATGTAATTTTTTACTTAGACTTAAACTATATAAAGTTGGTTGTGATGTGTACAAGTGCACATTTATTTTTTATTAAATATAAGACTGTTTTGGACCAAGTTTTTATACAAAAAAATATTGTCTTAAATATAAGTATGAACATAAGGTATAATCAAGAAATCTAGATGATATATGATCTGGTTGTAAAACTTGCCATTTTTGAATGCTCGAAATAATTTAAGAAGTAATTTATTGGAGTATAAGATGCTATTAAAATTTTTAATTTTTTTATGTTTTTAGTACAAAACTTTTATGAAACTTATTATTCTATACAGTTCTATCTTTGATATATAAATATATTAATATTATAATTTGTATGATAAACATTTATAATGCTTGTACTCCAGCCAAAATAAAGACTTAATAACTATTCGTAAACTAGAATTTTTAAGCAAAACATATGAAATCATATTTACAATTATCAAGTTAAAATGATTTGTATTTTAACTTAAAAGAAGGAAATATTTGTACATTTTCTATACAATTTTAATATAATGTGAATTAAATTTTAAAATTCATCACAAGTGTTAAAAATTTGGAATCATTGAAGTTTATTTGTGACATATACAAAGTAATTTGTGTCTAATTATAATGTATATTTGATGAAGAATAATTTTTAAAGAATATACAGATTTTCTATAATTTTCGTTCATTATTTTGGCTAAAGTATATTATTGCAATCTTACTGTACTTATTGAAAAATTTAGTAATTAAAAAAAGTAATTATTAAGGTATTAATTTTATTGCAATATATTATGTTTATATAAATTCTTATAATTATCCATTTTAATGTAAGATTTGCATTTATCAAATAATTCAAAGTCCATCAATTTGTATGGACAATGGTAACTTTATTTTGGATAGTAATTTTTTCCTATATTAAAAATATTTTTTATACATATCATTATGATTTATGAAGTGTTTGCTAACCTTGTGGTATAAGCATTTTTGTCCTGATACCTTATCTCAGTGCCCAGCTATTTGTATTTGAACAGTATTATTTTTTTATATGTATGTATATTTTCTTTATTGGTGCGCAATCAGCTATATTGTCATTTTGATTAAAATACGTAATATTAGTTAAGCTCAATTTTTGAATATATTTCTTTTAATGAAACTATTTTGTTTTGAATTATTCCTTTTTCCTAGATAATACAATTTCCAAGTACATAATTACTTCAAAAGAATCCAAAACTAGATACACAAGTCATTGTCATAATATATGATAGCAACTTTTTTTTCACTGAAAGACTAATCTGCTGTAATAATTACAGCCTTATAATCCTGACTTGGTTTAACAAGAATTTGATGACAGTATTTATTATTCAGAATCACTTCTAAGAATCAGATAAGGCATCTCTAATATTTTACTGTTCCACAAAAAAACTACATTTTATAGCTTTTAATGATTTTGAGAATTATTTTACTTAAATACATATAATCATAATTGCTGCAATTTTTGTCATGAACAAAGATGTTTTTCTTAACACTGTCTCTGAGTATTCAAAAGGATAAGTCTTCTTTTATGTGGATTAAGATTAGTCTTTGTAATGATAAGAAGCTTTATAATTTTTTATTGTCATTGGTAACAATTGAAGTTACAATGTATTAAACTTAATTTTTAGGGTGTTTTCAAAGAAAAGGTAATATGGATATGTAGTATTTTATTTTTTAAACTTTTAATTTTGGCGACAGTAAATGCATAAAAAACTTATTAAAATGGAAGATATGCTGGCTAGATATTTTTATAGATTTTCTTAATATTTGTGGATAATCTCTATAATATGTACTTCAATTATAAGTTTATAAACATTTTAAAGCAAAACTGATACTGATAAATATAAATTTCTAAAACTTTTCTTATTATAAAGATTAAGTATATAATAAAATTTTAAAACTGTATACATTACTTTTGTACATATTAGTATGTTATAGATTTAGTATGAAATGTTAATCAAAGGCTTACATTATGACACAAAAAAATATTATTAATATGTTAATGAACTTTTATCACTAAAAACACAAAGCATTCAAATTTTAGAGCACTATTCATAATTTAACACCCAACTCGTATGTCTCTATCACATTTCCTGCACAATAAATTCATATTCCCATCATTAAAAAGCATATTACACTGAGAATTTACATTTATTTCTAAATCAGTCATTTACAATTCATCTTTCTCGAGATCTATATCTGAGAGGTCTATGTCCTCTTCGGGGGGTAATTCACCGTCTTTGCCATCCCAAGGATCTTGTGTGATGATTTTTGGCATTTCTGCACCTCGGACTGGAGCTGTTTGACCTCGGCCAAAAGATAGGTCCCTGGAATAAATTATTCTTATAATAACTTAAATAATATGATGTGATAATTGTTAAGTTATGTATATAATGTATGAAAAACTTCTTTAATATTGTACCTTAAATTAACTTAATATTGTATTATGTATTAAAATCTATAGACTGTTCTTATATATCATACCTCAGGAACTCATTGATTCCAGTCTCAGAGAATGACCCTCGTAGAGTACTGAACTTCAGTTTCTTAGCATTAACTACAGCCATGGCGGGGTAGCCAAAGCCTCCTATTTCAAGAGCATCTTCCAGTGATGACTGAGCTCCCGCTTCTGTCCACACCCATCTAGAATTATATTAAAATCTATTGTTAATAATTATTTTATATGAGAGGAAACCTCTTAGCATTCAAAGGATTCACTGTGCGGGTGCCAGGTCCATCACGTTGCAGGGAGATTACTTCAACAGTGCCTAGAACTTGCGACCTAGGTGTAGGTTTAAGGGTTCCCTATCTAACGCGTGTTAAACGCTCATCTCTACCTAACTAAATTTGAAAAGAACCTACTAGGTTTGACTTTGATGTATATTTTAAGTTTTACTTGATGTTAGATTTGGACAGGCTAACTATCCTCTAAAGAACTATCGTTTCCCCAAAATAAAATACATCTGACTCCATTGTAAAGCTAGATGTAGCAGAATGTATATAATTTGGAATACCTATGACTTCTATAACTAATTAATTCATCAGAAAAAGTCCATATATGTTCATCAAACCTACCCCCACATCTTATTCTTGTATTTCTCTCCGAGTCTCCTGAGGATGTCGATGTATGAGTTCCTACAGGCAGCATCACAGTCCAATATATGAGGTAGTACTGACACAACACAGAGAGGCTTCTCACTACATTCATTCATGGTGGCTTGGTCAATGACCTGTTAAAGAAATAAGGATTAATTAAAACATTATTATATTTTTATATATGTATATAAAAATAGTATAAACAGACATGATTTCAATTAGTTGCTAAATGTATTGTTTAAACTTGTTTAATAAGAGAATAATAGATTTTCAAGTCTTATATTGGATTGAAGTTGTCATACTGAAGTCTTACATAATGATATTCTAAAATAAATGCACAGAATTATAATGAATCACAAAAAAATGTCAACTAGTTTGCAGTTACAGTTTTCATATGTTGGCACTAGTATGTTTATGTTGGCACTAGTATGTTTATGATTAACATATTACTAAAAAAAACCATATTTGTTTTAATATTTAAATATATACAGAGTGACTGGTGAATTACTATCAATATTTAAGGAGAATACTCGGTACATGATTCTCATTCGAATTATGGAAAAAAAATAGGTACTTAATTTTTGACCTAATTTCCGTATAAATAAATAAAACGTGGACACGTTCCAAGTGTGGACGCGTGCGGTGGCGTGCTGATACAACACTACGCCGCCGCACGCTAGTGTGTGTGTGTGTGTGTGTGTGTATACCTAATCTGTAGGGTGTTCATACGATGCGTAATTAATTACATAACTTTTGGTTAACTTTACTTAGAAGTTTATTAATATTTATGTTATATTAATTTTTATTGTGTCATATATGATCGTCAAATATCACGTCCTCAAGTATCGATAGTAATTCACCAGTCACCCTGTATATAATAGTTACCTGTACAACTTCTGGTGGAGCAATATTTTCAGCGAGCTTCTCAAGTGCCCATGAAACAATATCACTGGATGTTCTGCCTCCGTTGTATTCTTCAGCATTATCCTTCTTGCCGGATGGGAAGTATTTGATTGTAGGGTATCCTTGTACTTGGTACCGGGAAGCTAGCACTTGGTGTACTGTCGCATCCACTGCTCCAAGTTTGATCTGAAATTTGATATTTATAATGAGAATTGAGATCTAATATCGCTAGTATTAATTTCTTCTACCTGGCAATTCCCCAGCTATAGCCAGGGTCTGCCTTACATGTTGTGAATAGTTTTGGCTATTTGTTTTTACGACCGGCCGCCTGCCTGACATCAACCCTCTTTTGGGAATCAACATTAATCAGTGATGTCGAAATACTCTTAGAAAGTACATATGATTCGGAAAAATCACATTGGTACTTGCCCGGGCCAGGATCGAACCCGCGCCCTCGTGCATAGAGGCGGGCCTTTTAACCACTAGGCCACCACTGACTAATCGCGAGAATTCATTTATATGGAACTGATATTTTCAGATTGCTACGTACTCCCGACGTTTCGGTTACTTTGCAGCAACCGTGATGACGTATATTGCATTATAGTTTTAGTTTTAATTAGGTTAAATTTATAATTTATCAAATGTGGTACTAATGTATTTTATATGATACATATAATCTGATAATGTTCGAGAGTAATTAGACTATCAAAAAATTCACATGTATATCGTTTTAAACATTCGTGTTGCGTGCTTTCGTGAATTATTGCGGTGTTTGTGTGCGCATTTATGTGTGTGTGAGTATATTATGATAGCTCTTAAACGGAGTGACCGATTTCGATGTAGTTCTTTTTATTTGAAAGCCGTTTTTCTTGAACTGGTGCTTAGCTACGTTTGTCTGATATTGGTCCAACAAAACAAGAAGTTCACATGTTTTCAAAATAATGTAAGGCATTTTTGGAGTAAGATTACAAAAGTAAATGTCTTACACAAAAATATTCTGAATAACTATTAAAAGACATTTAATGTGTAGGGTACTTTCTAGAAATTTATGAAATATATGTATTATAACGAACTAAAGACAATTTGACTTAAGATTTTGTTCGAAAACCTAAAAAATATATGTGATGTTGGCATCACTCCCATTTTCACGTAAAACTTACACACAATACAGATTTTATGACTATATAAAAAATATACGATAAATTTTAATAAAAATAAAACATTTGAAATAAAATAACATACACGCATACAAAATATGTTATTTTTATAATTAGCGAGATTATCAGTTAATTCAGTTTAACAGGCGTTAAACATATTAATGTTATAAATTAAATAAATAACCTTCATGGTATGAAAATTAAATGTTATTTTTCTAATAAACAAGTCGGTTATGGGTATTCGATATTGCATTCTTTATGTATCGAGTTAGTACAAGATGTGATCACGTATGAAATGTGTGGGTGTTGAAATATTATTTGAGGTTTTATATTTTGTATATAGTCGGGGATAGTGCAAATACGCGTATCTTGCATAGGATTGTCCGCGTATCTGCTTTGGAAGCAGATTGATGGAAGGTTTAAGCTGAAATATTATCTAAATTAATGATTTTTAAGGCAATTTTTTCACAATTAGTACTTATTTTTTGTTTAATTTATTACTAATTGTGAAAAAATTGCCTTAAAAGTCGTTAATTTTAAAAATATATCAGCTTAAACTTATATTAGATAATCTTCTTCCAATGTAGATACGCGGATTTGTACTATCCCCGACGATTCTGTATATCCTACTAATACATATTATAATTGCGAAAGTTTGTGAGTGTGTATGTATGTTTGTTATTTCTTCACGCTCAAACGGCTGAACTTATTTTGATAAAATTTTGTATACAGGAAACTGACGTCCAGGAATAACACATATGCTACTTTACAACCCGGAAATCCGCGGGTAACATCGCGGGACGCAGCTAGTATAGATATATATTTAATATTACCTTGCCCTTTAGTTCAGTTGCAGCCTTAGCCCAGTGAGGTTCTAGGTTCTTGCAGTGTCCACACCACGGCGCGTAGAATTCAACGAGCCACATATCATCGCTCTCCAAAACCAACTTATTGAAGTTATCATCCGTCAACGTGATGACGTCAGACTGCAACAAATATATATATCTATATATATAAAAGAAAGTCGTGTTAGTTACTCCACTTATAACCCAAGAACGGCTGAACCGATTTAGCTGAAAATTGGCAGGGAGGTAGTTTAGAACCAGGAAATTTCAATAGGATACTTTTTATCCCGTACGACAATATTCCCATGGGACTTAACATGAAACGTCAGTCACTATAAAACGTGGAATAACGAAACACAATTGACAGATATGCAATTGACGCGATTGAAAATCATTGTTTTTCACATGGGCAGTTATAGTTAGTGTGTTCACGAGTTGAGAAACCATCCGCTTTATTTATGTTAACGTTAGACCAAAAAACAAAAAATGTGGTTTACAAAGGAGCACTTCAATGAAACGGATAATTTGCGGACACGTATAACGCTTGGATTCGGTATCTACTTTGGATTCACTTTCATTTACTTAGAGAAGTTCAACTAAATAACACTTCATTTTTGTAATCGAAATGAATTATTCATTACTGTTGTGAAATGAAATAAATATTTTCCTTTTCAAATATAAAACAAAAAAAAATCTTCATCTTTTAATCACCAAACGAAATGTTACATAAAACAAAGCCTTCTGGAGGCGAAACGGAGTTCGCCAGGTTTACTAGTATTTAGTATAAAAATAACACATTTAATTATTTATATTTTTAAACTGCTACCTAAATTGTTTCTATTTTACAAATACTAACATATATTTCGTCTATTTATGCGATTTTGTATGTTATTTTTTACCTAGTAAAATTTGTACTCGGATAACATAATTGTAGAAGTATGTGTGAAATAAAGACATATATATTTTTATAAGAATACAATAATTTTCTTTTACAGAAAACAAAGATGAAGCCGACGTGTCAATAAAATAAAAATTACATCGTTTTGTGTGGGCGTACGCAGGCGACTGTTCATTTATTTCAAACCTTACACCATATAAGCAACTTAGAAAATACTTTCGAAAGAACATACTAGAAAGCCGTTTGCGTGGGCTTATTTCTTTAAATTTGAAATTAAGGCCCAAACTTGACTAAACCTTAATAGAAAATTAAGAAAAACCTTAATAATAAATAAAAAAATATGACTCCAATAATAATTTTTAAAGTATAAAGAATAGTCCAAAAATTATATAAACCAGGCAATATTTTGTGATAAGACCAAAGTATTGTGTTATGCAAACACATTGAAGATAATAAGTTGTTAACCTCGTAAAATAAACATTATGTATATATTGGAATACAATACAATATTCATGGCTTAAATACTTCGAAGATTAATTAAAATACCCGCCATACAGGTATTTTTACATATATGTATATGTACTTTGTATGTGCCATTATAAATTTCACTAAAACTTAAGTACAAGTTATATAATAAGTTTATAACAGAATAAAAATATATTTATAACTTAATAATAAACCATAAAATAGTTTCTATATGTGGGATTTTTACAAAGATTTTAATCTATGATTCATTTTTTTTAATAGTTTCATTAAAATAAGACTGTGACCAATTTTTTTATTACCATCATAATCATTGATAATATGAATTAAAAAATATGATTCAATATGATTTTTATTTGTGTAACCTATAATTAAAAATTCCAGAGAATATACTATGAATAATAAACATATTTATTTTGACAAAAAACTTAGTTTTCGGTATTTTTAAAACTATTTCATTATTTATTATGCTAATGAAAAATATAACTAGTTATATGCAATTTTAAAACATGTTTATAATTATGAAAAATCAGTTTAAGGACTTAAATCAACAAAATATATTATTTATATATACATCCATGTGCCGTTTATTTTTTTCTTCAATCGAAATTTATTCACTTTTATAATTTTTGGTTTCTCGTAACTTGATGCTACTCTACGGAACAGTTGTTCTTGTATTGCATTAAATCTTACTTTTCTTAGAGATGAAATTAATGTTGAATTATCAATTGTTTTTGCGTCTTTTCTTTGGACCTTTTTCCAAGGTATATTGTAACCGTACAATCTTTTCTTTGTCGTCTGCTAATTATTTTCTTATTTATATATAATGTAACAAAAATAACCAAGTTTGGGATTGTAATAATTATTTTGTTTTATTTATACATAATTTTAGTGCAATTTTGTTTCTCTTTATAATTGATCAGTTTAAAAATTTTGTTTAATTTTTAAAATCGGTTCTGAAAGAATTGTAAACGTGAAGAAAGTTTTGTCAGAAAATTTACCTTATCGGAACTCTTTGCTTTCTTTCCGAGGCTCTCATATGCTTTGTCCTTGGCAGCCTTCAGAGCAGCGTCGACGAATGCTTCAGCGGTTCTCTGTCCCTGATATGGAGTGTGCTTCGAGCCAGTGAACATTTTGATAGTAGGAAAACCAGTGACGCCATATTTCTGAGCAAACTCCTTATAGTTATCTGCATCTAAAGCTCCTACTTTCACTATACCCTGAAAATAAGGCAATAATAATATAAATTTTTTCGTTTGTGAAAATATTTTAATGGAACACTAAACACTAGGCATCACTTACACCTACGCACTTAAGATTAGCAGTTCTAAATATAAATTATTTTTTTACCTTTAAAGCACGTGCAGCTTTGGAATATTCGGGAACGAGGTTCTTACAGTGACCGCACCAAGGGGCAAAGAACTCTACGATCCACACTTCATCAGATTTCGTTACAAGTCTTTCAAAATTATTGGGAGTTAATTCCACGACATCCGAATGTGCGTCATATAATGCATATGTCCCCGTAAAAAATAAAATAACACCTAAAAACAGCGATATATAAATATTTTCAAACGCCGAAATGAGAATTACTATCCATGAAGTATAATTTCACACTAGTTAACTTTATTTAAACTTACCTAATAAGCGTAAATGCAACATCGTTTCTAGAATAATACACCTATGTATTGTAAATTAAAAACAACTGTGTAAAAATAAAAATGTTTTTCTGTTACCCTTTTCAAAACTACGTGAACAATGAAACTTTTGAACAACACGTCAGTCAATACGATCGATTCTCTTGCCAAAATATCATGGACAAGATACTTAAATTGTCAATGGAATTCGTGGATACGTCCGATTGGTTGAATCAATTTACCCGCCACTTCGTTCTGTTTGTATTGAGACACATGGAAATTATTTGCCGAATGTAACAATCTATAAAATATAATAATATATTGTAAATAAAAATTAAATGAACTTATAAATAAATTCTTGCGGCAAATCCTTCGTGTTTTTTCCACACAGTAGGTACTCAAGATATAATTCGATCAACAAGTAAAAAGTTGACTTTGGAAGAACATTCAACCATCCAGGATTAAAATGTGATTGAAACCGTAGCTTTAAAAATAATAATATATTATGAACAAAATATTTGCTATATTTAAAACAAGAATTTAAGCCTAAAATTTATGAGTATTGTTTTTTTTATATTCTGTCACAACAGAAGAAAATAACTATCATACTAAAGATAGGCCTGCTGTCCTCCTATGCTTATTTTTTTTTAAATCATAGATCTATCTTTTAAAATAAATAATGTTTTTTGCTTTATAATGTTAATATAAGGACATAATAATTTATAATATCTCTATAACAAACTGTCTCTAGTCATCTCCAACATTATAAGACGTATGGAGAATTTAAAAATAAGATGCTCTATTTTCTGACTTATATACAGAGCTAACAAACCTCTTACTAACGAGCATACTATCCATTATATTTTTATTTTATATTAATTTTTACTTCCACTTCCCTTACTTATGTATCTCGTTATTATTTTAAACATTAGAAATATGTATAGTAATAGAGTGGTTATTTTGAAAACAAAAAGAGAAGAAAGCAACAAATAAATACAACTAATAATTGTTTATAAATCTATTACTTACTAAGTTATTAAAGATGTGACATATTCATATCAATAGTATTCTGAAAATGTAATAAATAAACTTAAATTAGTAAACCAAATTTTTAATTAATAAATTATTAGTACCAGGCTACGATCTTGTAAATTTTACATACTATGGTGTTATTATTAAATTTAGTGAATAAATTGGATTAATCTGGGAATTTTAAATGTAGTGTCTTCATAAACATTTCATATTTTGAAAAATTGATTTTAAAACGAAAAAAATACTAAAAACGAAAAAAGAAAACTTGTATTTTCTTATAGAAATAAATGCGTTCAAAACACTATGTTATTTATAATATTATCTATGCTTTTATGAATTTAATACTTAATATTATTTCATAATATATGTGTAATATTCTGTAATTATATTTTTTAATATTATTCTTTGTTTATTTCTTAACACGTACGTGACCGGCATTAACTATCGAGTTTTTAAACTGAGACAGATTAGTCTTTGACATTCCATAAGTATTAGTTATCTAGTATGTTTATGAAAATTTTGCTAAAATTTTAATATTATATTCATGTAGGTAGATCAAGGGTTTCTTAAAAATTTGATGGAATACTTTGAAAGCTTTGTGTGTCGATACTATGATACTTCGAAGAATCGGTATTTTGTGTGAAAAAGGTCCGGTAATATTTTTTAGGTTATCCAACCATGTTTTGTTTGTTATAAATTGACGTCTACAAGACGCCAACATTATCATCTGTCAACACTTTTTGGCGGCAAACCTTGTTGTTTGCTCGTATCGGGATACTAGTTTTGGGAGTCAGTTAGTAAAAGTTCATTCACTTTTCAGCGAGGAAACTTGCGATGACTTCAATCAATTCAAGACCTTTCACCGTCCTCGTAGAGGGCAATATCGGTAGTGGTAAAACAACGTTTGTGGAGCATTTTAAACAATTCGAGGATATATCGTTGCTGACGGAACCTGTTGAAGAATGGCGCAATTTACGTGGATGGAATCTTTTGGTACTGCACAGATATTTATAAGTGTAATGTATAGTTTAGTTATAATTATAATTTGCTAATCTAAAGTATGATTTTGTAGGATTTAATGTACAAAGATCCCGCGAAATGGGCTATGACATTTCAATCCTACGTAGCGATGACTATGTTAGAGATGCACCGTCGTCCTACGTCGACTCCCGTGAAGTTGATGGAGCGTTCTATATACAGTGCGCGCTATTGTTTTGTGGAACACATGAGAAAAGAGGGAACCATTCATCCGGCCCAGTTCGCGGTTTTAGACGAATGGTTCAGGTTCATTGACCGAGAAATACCCATCGAGGTTGACCTTATAGGTATTGTTCATTTCTATAGTATTATATATACATTATTAGAAATTTTAACTAATATATTTGTTGGTTTAGTATATTTAAGAGCGACCCCATCAGTGGTTTATGAGAGAATAAGGAAGAGGGCTAGGTCGGAGGAGCAATGTGTACCGTTGAGTTATCTTGAGGCTCTGCATTCATTGCATGAGGACTGGCTTGTGAACCGCACACATGCTGAATGCCCTGCACCTGTAAGTATCTTTTGATTACAATACATTTATATCCCATTTCTTGAAACAATTAGCATTATTATTTATTTGATTAAAAAACAACAGCTTAAGCTGTAAAGTCATGTTTTAAACACAGGGTTAACCAAACTTATTATATCTTCTGCCTTTTTTGAGAATGAATAATTTTTGAGTACTGCATTTTTTCATCTACTGAAAAACTACAACAAATTTATATCCCAGCTAAATTAAATTACAAATCACCTCTCAGATCTCTATGTAATGCCCTCAATTTTTTCTGGCTCTATTAAGCCTGCAGCATTGACATGGGGTACTATCACCCACTTTGGGGAAAGTCTGTTTTAACATATCCTGTTTGATGGGTTATGTCTAAGGTTAAGAGTTGCATACCACTTTACTATTGACAAAATATATTAGCTTAAATAATTACTATCAAATATTGTCTGAGCCTTGTGAAAACTGGCTAATCTGCTGGTTCACTATTTAGACTCAAAATGTCTGTTATTAGAGAAAGGTGTTCATATTGAACTTAAATATGGCTATTTAAATTACAATAGGATTAATACATGTCTCTTTTAATAATTTGCTCAATAAACTCAATATATGCCATCTATTGTTCTTAAACTATTTATGATGTTATAAAGTCTTATATCATAGATTTTTTGGGTTTATGTCTTATCATTTGTATATAATAATGTACATAAAATATTATATCACAAATGACTCATAACAAGTGTAGTTAGGATCAATGGAATCAAGTGTCACATCTTTGCTGTATAATGTAATATATTTCAAATAAATGCTCCATTGAGTAAGTAGTCAGTAACAGAATCTGCAAAATGCATTAAAAACACCAGTTATGTGAATTTAAATAAATACAGTGATTATGCAAAAAAAAAAAAAAGATTTATTACTCAAATAGCTATCAAATCTATGAATTCTTCAGTATGGTATTTTGGGTTCTTTTGCTTAATAAACTATTGTCCCTTGTCAGTTAATTAAGTATCTATATTTAACCTACATAAATATAATTTTAATTTATATATTGCATCAATATTGTTTTTATGATAATAACATAATTTTACATATTGTTTATCTGATTTTTATAGATATCTCTGAATCTAAATCACAGTGATAAGGAATACACTGAAAGTTTTTTATTGGTAGTGATAAAACATTAACTTGTTCATAATAAATCACCATTTGTTCATAGGTCTACATGTACCTATTAGAAGTGATTTCATATTACTAATTGGTGGATTTGGTTATTAACATTCATATATATGGGTTTATATTAATTTTTTTTGTTCAAGGTTAGGTATATTTGATTTAAATTATACTATTTAAGCCTAACAGAAACTCGCATAAGGCAGGAGTTTAGTTGCAGGCACTTATTAGTCAATTTCCGCACCCACACACTGAATTTATTGAATGCTAAGAGGTTTCGTCTCATATGTTAAATATTACATATTACAGGTTCTCATGATTGATGCAGATTTGGATCTATCACAAATAACAGAGGAGTACAAAAAGAGCGAACACCAAATATTGAGGCAGGCTGTGAATGTTGTGATGCAGTCACCGAATAAACTAAGTCCAAAGAAACCTATCACAAGCTCGGCTATTAAAATAGTACCACAAATGAGACTTTGATATGTATTATGATCTGCTAATAAAATGATATCACTAGTTTTAAAGTTTAAGATTTGTATTTAATATATAATAATAATTCAGTTATGACTAATGTGATTTAAATGTATAGAAAAATACACTCAGTGAATAATCAAGTGCTTTTCGCTAATAATAACATATAAAAAATATTTTTCTCTAAAGTATTGTTACAAATAATTGTCATACATGTACATAGTAAATGGTCAAGTACAGGAATATATACTAAATGTCATGTATTGTAAAATATGCATAATAATTTATTTGATTTCTTCAGTAAAAAATATCACAAATTTTTGTGTTCATTGTAAAATAAGTAGACAATGTTTATGAATTAGTTTGACTTGATAACAATTATAGATTAATTTAGTGTTTATTTAGTATTATAGCTTCTAAAATATATGTCTAAAATCTTAGTTTTTAAAAATATTTTGCACCAGTGACATTTTAAACATAACTACCAAGAATTGTATCAAAATGTCAGTATTTTTGGTAAAACAAAGTTTAGTTTTTTGAACATGACCCTAATGATTTTTGACCAAAAATGTATGTATTTAATTATTTATATATGTTGTTTAAACTGATTTATGTACTGCATTTAAGAATAAAGTGTGATGTATATTAATGTATATTTTTTATTAACTTAATGAAGTATATAAGTAACAAAACGAAGTTTCAGCTTAAACTTGCTTTTGAATAATTAAGCTACAATAGTCAAAAAGAAAATACGAAGTAAAAATTATGTAAGTAAATAAGGACAGATCACAAAATTCTACTTAAATTCTATGAATTGCAGTAATCATTTTCATGGATAGAAATGTTTCTCTCATATATTCGTGAGTTAAAAATAGTCATTTTTTGTATGTAAACCAAATATGTATAAATTAAAATACTCAACTAGAAGAAAAATGAAAATTATGTTCATTCCGAATTCACGAATTGGCATTTTATAATTTTTTTAAAATTGTTCACCATGTATAGTAATTTTTCATATTATTAAACTAATTACCGCAAGAATTCTAGAATTGTTAAATGTTATATATAATTTATTACTCCCAAATTTATAATGTAAGAAAAAAAGGAATGGTTTTAATTATCATTGAAAAAGAAAACTTAATCATGAAGGATTTGGTAAGTCAATTAAAATGTTGTTCATGTTTGATAAAAACTAAGCACTAATTTATAAGTAGGGCAACCATTCACTGATAATTCTTGTATAAAAGTTTTTAAGTGGTATTACTAACTAAAGTGACTGCACCTAGCATTGCCTTTTAATATCATAGGTAAATTTACTTTGACCACATTCAAAGTGCCTGTGTTTCATCAGCCCCAATTCACTTTAGGAACTTATTTGTGGTGAATGTAAACAGTTTTATTTTTGGCAACAAGAACGGAAGTATATTTTAAACCTGTTCATGTCTTAATAGAACATAGATAAAAAATAATACAGCTTGTAATTTGTATTATCTGTGACAGTTACAAAAAAATAAAATGTTGCTATGTTAAACTTGACCTGAATCTATGAAATGTTTTGCTTAATTATAATATACAATTAACACACATATTATTAAGTTATTATTAAAATTATTCAGAAAGTGAATATACATATCTTTATTATGATCTTAACTATAACCGTATATATTTATGACAAAAAACCATTGACATTTGAAAAATATTACACAATTCCGGTGTGAATGAACCCTTATAGAGAAAATCTACATACATATTATACTTTTTAAGTTAATGTATGCTTGATAAAGAAGTATAATCGTTCAAGATTAAAGAGTAGTAATATTATTCATTTCAGGTATACGTTAACGAAATAATTAAGTGTCAGGTATTGAAATTGTGATGTGGCTATAGAATATTGGACAGAAATTAAGAGTTATGACGGTCAGTGTAACGTGGTTGAAGAGTCAACAAAATATAAGGTTGTAAAAATATAAATATAATAAAAAAATAAGTTTTCACCACCTTGTACTTCTGAATTGAGTTTAGTGAAAGACTTTGCTCAAGAATACAGATATTGGAAACAAACTGCTGTTCTAACACGAAATGTTATTGTGGTGTTTCCTTTGAAATTACAAGGAATTTTGAGATCAATTGTAGCTTTAAGGTTACTTTATTATCTATATTATTGCAAAGTTCTCTTAAAATAGAAAAACATTACCTAACAAAAAATATAATTCTTATAGGTTCGTACATAACACTAAAACGATATTGTAATCATAGTTATTATTATTCCACGTTAATTTTTTATGTTAAATTCTACTAACTAATATTGAACTATCATTCTATATATTTGGTTTTCGAAAAGAAGTAGTACGCAATAACACATTCAATGTTATTCCAAATATAATTCAGGTATATTTTTTGTCTTAGAACAAAAGATACTCCGGTATTTACTTGGATTGTTGAATCGTAGATCCTTTACTTGAAAACATATTGAAAGTCTGATATTTTTCATACATATATTTTTGAAATATTTTAAAACGGCTATGGACTGGATTGTGATATATCTACACGTCCGGGAAATGCCAAATAGAATATCTTTTTCCCATACCATATATTTTTTTATAGATGTAAGATTTATGTTTCAAATATAAAACCATTTCCAATATAATGAAATTCCGTTTAATGAAACAATATTAATTTAATAAAAATTACAAGCGACTTATATTACATATCGTTCCACACTAGCAACCCAGACTATCTGTCAAAATTACAGAGATCATTTTGTCATTCTCAGGTGTTTACATGCCGATAATAATATATTTAGGTCAAATATAATTAAATTAATAGGAAATTCTATACAATTATTACATGTTATTATATATATCAATGTTTTCTTGTTATTTGTGATGAGTTCTTGTTGTGGTAACGAGTTAATTTATAATTCAGCGTTAAGTGAAGTTGTGTCCACAAATTTATCGCTTTTAGTAAAACTAGTGAATATTGATTACTGTACAGCCTCTATATTAATTGCCGTAATCGTAATAACGTTACTGGTAGCAATATTACGTAGATCGCGTCTCAACAAATCTATATCCTAAGAACCCGTCTAAAAGTAAAAGTAATGAGTCTGTTTGCTACACTTCAGTGAGCCGTAAGGTATGTATCATAATATATTTTATTGCATTCATATCTTTAATAAAGAAGCAGATAGATAGTGTATTAATATTAATATATTAAATTATCATCCCCCTATATATTTTTATCAGAATAAACATAGTAATTTGTTGTAGTGATGCATGTATGCAGAATTTGAATAATTTATTGCCCTCAATCTGTAAATATTAGCTCTTCCAATTTTGATATCATTTAAAAAAAAACAATAATTTTAATGCAGTTTAATGACTGCCTTCAGCATTATATAAATTTAATGCTTAAAAACAATAAAAATCTTATAAGTAATACTTTGTTAAAGTTTATAAAATATATTTAAGTGTCATAAAAAACTAAAGTAAAGTATTTCATAAAATACTACTACTATTCAATAAATATACAACTAGGTATATGTATTAATGTTTCTACGGCTCTGGAAATGAGTCCTTTTATGCCTACCTAGATATATATAATACACCTGTATTGCTTATATATAAATGCAACTATTTCAATTAAAATATTCATGAACCAAGTTTTTCCTTATAGTAAGATCATAATTTTTTTCTTTGATCCAATATAAATATGGCTTAGTCTCTTAATAGAATTCTAAATTATATGAATTTTGTCTCTTACATAATATCCTTGATAATTTTACTTATGTAATATATAAGCAATGCACAAAAATTCTTTATAGGTATATATATTTTTTTTATGTCAGCAACTGTTATAATTTATCGAGCCTCAATTTATATTAGTGATGTGCCAACAAATTTCTAGATTGTCTTTTATCATAGACAAAAAAATATGTTTCGAGAATATGATTAGATGCTAGAATATTTTAATTATAATAATTTTCAAGTAATATATATTTCCGTGATATGGTAACATTGGTTAACGAAAGTGAGTGTTGGTTCCCGCGCCGTCTCAATCATTACCTCACTGTACTTACATTTCACTTTCCTAGGCAGAAAGCGTTAACATTAGCATTATACTTTGTAAATTTTATATTTACGACCTTATTGGTTGAGGAGGAACGAAATCTCGTATCTACTTATATATAATTACGTCCGAAACGAGATATAAATAAATGAATGATATGATATCACTACTTAGATTATTTTATCTCGACCACCTTCAATGGAAATAAAAGTTATAGTAATTATAGGAGAAATTATACTGTTATTCTTGACGAAGAGTAAGCAAAAATTTATAATAAAATCGTAAAAAATCACGATTCATACACATGATAGTAACGCATAATGTTCAATGTACAAAATTCAAAGTACAAGAATCATATTAAAACACTATTATTAAAGGACTTAAAGATTTTTTCTTATAACTACGAATATTAATATTTTTATACAGTAATTTTTAGTATAATCGTATAATAAATGTACGTAAATAAATCCGTATACATAAACACTTTGAAAAATAGGTTATAACTAGAAAAACGATAGAAAAACAAGCTATATTCTTTTGAATAAACTTGAATTATTAATGTGAAAGACGAAATATTAAAATTAAGCTATTAAAATACACTCACTAAAAATAAAAGAATTGTGTAATGGAAAAATGTACGAGAATTGAAAACTTATTTTTATCAAACCAATAAAATACATCCTGTATAAAGAAACTCTTTGTATCGAATACAGTATGTTTCCTCTATAAAACGGAAAAGAAAACCGGCTGTAAATTTGAATTACTCGGTAATATCCTATATAAACAAATCAAGAATTGAATTTAATATACATATATTTGTGGAATTGAGAGAACAAAGAATATTTGTATTAAGAAATGTTTGTAATAAAATAAAAATTACACCCAAGTTAATCACATGTTTACAATAACGAATCAAGAGAAATAATTATAATAACATAGAA